CGTAATATATATATATATATATATATATATATATATATAATAATATTGAAAGTCGTCGTCTTCATGGTTTCACTTTTCAATTTTATGACTATGTACATGACTCCAAACAAAGTCGTCAAGTGAGTTCATCTCTTACACCTATTTTAATCAATTGTGTATTTGCATACATTGTTAAGGTGAAAAGCGAACCTCGAAGGCGACGCACGAAAAGGACGCTTATTTTTTTTGGCACACAGAGATTATGCTGCTGCTTTTCGTCAAGGACCATTTTCCGATCGAATGAGACTCGTTTCTACAGTCATCTATTAATGTTCTTCTGCACTTCCATTGAAGCAGAGATGGAGCAAGTCTGAATGCACAATCATCACGTTACGCCTCGAATCCAAATCACGTTTTTTTCACGTGACACATCTTTTCCTGCCTTTCTTTGTTTGTCGTTTTATATGCGTGTGCGTGCGCTTCAAGTTTTAGTATAGACCCGTGTACAAAAACATTAAGAAACGTACATTTCGGGGTAGTTCACTCGATTTAGTTTTTTTTTTCTCTTCTCTTTCCTTCAAAACATCCGAAACATGTTTCGCTCGGTGAAGATTTCTCGCGCCCCGCTCGCGGCTTTGAAGCCCGTTCTGGCGGACTCCGTTGAGACTCAGAACACTATTCGCCGCATGATTGGCGTCAAGACTGTCCACGCAATCAACGTCAACGCGATCAACAGCGTTGTTGAGAAGTTGAAAGGTGAGGGTTTGGCTGGTACAACTGCAACGGTCGCTCGCGCCAGCGCTTATCTGCTTTCGCGGAACCCGACCGACGCACTTGTGGAGGTGGAGACAGTGCTACCAAAGATTCAAGACAAAGCCTTGAGGCGTCTCGCAATTGGAATTCGCCTTCGCTCGCACAACGATCTGCTCGACATTAAGGAGGCTTCGCTGAACGTGTCCGGTGGCGCAACTGAGGCAGAGGTGTCGGATATCCGCTCCAAGCTGCAGGACGACTATAAGGAGCTCGTCGCAAGCTCTCCCGGGTGCTGGTTAGTGGAACTGGCTGCTGCGGAGTATAGCCTGTACACTGGCGCGAACGAAGAGGCATACAACCACTTTGTGGCGGTAGAAAAGAAGATCCAGGACTACATAAAGGCACCGATCCAAGTTTCGCAGGAAGTGGCGACGCCCGAGAACACGAACGAGTTCTCGCTGATCGCGTTTCAAATCCGTCGCGCGCGTCCCGGGGTGAAGCCACAGGACGTCAGCGCCACCGTGGCGGAGGGCATGACGAACGTGATGGCCGACCCCAATGCGACAAAGGCTCTCGAAGCGGCGAAGAAGGCGCTTGGGGGGCAGCTGTCGAATGAAGAGGCGATCGAGCTGGCACTCACGCTGCAGGAGGCCAATGTGCGCCACCATTTCCATGACTTCTTTCCTACCAACGCTGACCACTACGACGAATGGACTTCAGAGGGCGCTGTGAAGGCGAAGCAGTTGATCAGTGAAGCCGTGACGCCCCACAACACTGGGCTCAAGCACGAGGCTATAGAGAAGATTCGCACCTCGGTGCCCCACAAGCCTTTCTACGACTCCGAGGAGAAGCTTCGCGCTTTCCTCAAGTCCGCACCGAAGGATAGAAGCATCATTGCCTCCATTCGCGAAACTTTTGGTCCTGGTCCCATCACCGCTGTCAGTTCTTCCGACCAGGCGGTCGCCGATGCTGTGGAGTCGGTGGACTTGGCGGTTGTGTCGTCGGACACTGCCGCCGGAACGGATTACGCGTGCCGCGGGAAGGAGATTGCGAAGGCCCTAGCGAAGCAGATGCTGTATCGCACGCAAGTGCAGAAAGCGGTCGCGCTGACGGAGATGAATCGCTTGCAGGATGCGGTGGAGGCTGTTACCCCGGTGATTAACGCCAGCGAGTACATCTACATGTGGCGAGCCCTCCTAGCGCGCAGTCGCGCATACAAAGGACTTGGCCTCATCACCAACTCCGACAAGGACTTGAAGGAGCTCAATCGTCTGAAGCACAGTCTGACGGAGCGTACCCCGTACGAGAAGAAGTAGGTTAGGCGGGCAACACGTGTCGCTCTCCACTCGTTGGAGGGGCACCAAATTTCGATAGCGCTTTCTTTTACTTACAGAAAACTTATTTCTTATGTTAACCTATGACGCTTTTTGAGTTAGATTTTTGTTTTGTGTAGGAATTTTTTCTTCATGGTGCTGATGAATTCTTCTTCTGCCACCGTTAGTATCTTCTTTCTTCTTTTCCCTTTTCGAGCGAAAAAGGCGTGTGAGCATCATTTCACAACAAGGCTTCGTATGATCACCCGTAACCTGAAGAACTTTTTTGTTTTTCCTTGTTCGTCATTCATTAGGTCGTGGACGGTGTTGATCAGGACAGAATTGCCCTTCTTTTTTCTCCCTCCTAGCAGCTAGAGGTGAACAAGTCACAAAGAGCCACAAAAATAAATTTCCGCACACATGAAAACTACATAAAGAGAAGATTTTCTTCATGATGCACTTTCAATGTGTCAGAGAATTCCAAAACCCCGGCACGACAGCTGTAGATACGTCATAAAACACCCAATTGGGCTGTTTTCTGGTTATCGGATACAGTGAAAGGTTACCTTATTGACGCAGTGCAAGCAAGAAGCTTAGCCGTTTACAGTAAACCCGAAGACGAGAGCTGCTGATGGCGCCATGATTCTCCTTCTGTGGAAGACGCGTCTATTTCTGTTTTTTCTTTCTCAAATTTCTGTCTTGGCTCTTTTTCGTTCTGTCCCTTTCTCTCTTTTGTGTCCACGTTTTTTTTTCTCTCCTCTGCTTTATTTTAATACTTTTAATACACGTTTTTTCTTCTGTAATCAATTCAAGTGCACGCAACAAGTTCCTTATTTGCAACACGAATCAAAGCGTACACAATGAAACTCTTCAACACATTCCAAAGTGCGGCACAGGATATTACGCCGAAAGCGCCAGTGCTACCAGTTCCTGTAATACTGCTCCTTCTCGATGCTTTGCTTGTCGTGCCGCAGGCAGCATTCAGTGTTTACCATTACTACCGAACTAGGGGCAGCGTCGGGGATAAGATTCCCATTCATTTCGGGATTAATGGCAGTCCCGACAGCTTCGCCGCATCCTCGTATTTTTGCATCTATCCTGCCCTCAACGTTCTGATCGCTTTCACGTCGATCATCTGCGCCAACTACGTGCCAGCTTTATTTGGTGTGCTGTTCTCGATAACGATGGGTACGTCCCTTCTATTACTCTGCATCACACAACACTACTGCGGACCCATTTCAAGAGGTGAACTGACTCAAATCCCCTCAATAGTGTTTTACCCTTCACTGGTTCTCATTTTCTTAAGTACTATTGCTCTCATCATTTATGCAATTTATGCTTCCAGCTCGTGATTAAAAGCACCGTAACGAGCATTTATTATTGTGTTCCTCTTGTTTTCTGAGAGCTTGCGCCAGGAAAAAAACGCCGGGAGATGAATCGAAGGCTTCATGTTGTACTACTATCCCTTTCTCTTCTCTCCTCTCCAGTCGACCTCTCTCCAGGAAAGGCTGTTTTCTTTTTTTTTCCCACCGTCCCGCCCCTTTTCAACCCCACGAGGTGGAAATGCAGACGATCTGAGTCTGCAAGAAACTTCCTTTCGTAAAGTTCTACTAATTTCAGTTAAAAAAGGAAAATACCGCCGTCTACCCTTAAAGGAAAATGAAAACAATACAGGGATGTAACGACACTGTTTTGCACTTTATGGATCTTTCTCCTTTCTCCTTTCTTCTTCCTTCCTTCCTGATCTGAGAGTAGTCGACAAGAGTTTTCCTCTTTGCTTGTTGTGCACATTTCAGTTGCTTTCGCTGCGTGCTACTACGTAATACACAGCTACGCAAAAAAGAATTAAGAAGCTGGCCGGATATAAAGGATTGAAATTCCAACACAAATTACTCGCTTTCTCCTTTTTTTTTTCTCTTGACTTTCCTTATCAAACGTTCGCTCGACTGAAACTGAAAATGAAAGGGTAAGTAATGGAAAAACGCCGCGGTGAAGGTGAGGGTAATGTAATCAAGAAAGGAAGTACAACGTAAAAAAGGCCGATGTGGGTGCTAAAAGCTTTCACTCGTTGGAAAGTGCAGCGAAGCCACATTCTTCTTTGTAGTCAACAGCCCCGTGCTCCTACTTCCTTTTGTGTGTGCAACTGTATCCTCTTTTTCAACGTCTGCCTCTCCTCTCTTTCTCCCTCCGCAACACTCTGTAAAGAGAGAAAATTGAAACGCTGTGAAGGTGGGAAGTGAAATAGCTAACAGGTTTCACTTAACAGTAGACACTACGTTTTACCTTCTCTGTTTCAAACTCCAGTGAAAGAGTAATAACTAAAACAGTGCTCGTAAATTTCGAACTGCTTTACTCGGGTTCTTTTCCCTTTACGCACTTCCAAATATTTTGACGTAGTAGTGTCGCAGCTCCCACGCGTGACTGCTTCGCCAAGCTACCTTTTCGTTGCCAATCAAGAGAGCTTTTCTCTCTTGATCTGTCTGTTTAGTAGCCGGATATGTTTACTCAACTTCTCCAACTGACGGGCCTTGCACAGAAGTGGCCCACATTTACGCGCGAAGAAGTTTCCAAGCATAACACGACTGATTCGCTCTGGGTTGTAATCGATAATTCTGTCTTCGACATCACCCCCATTCTCGGTCAGCATCCTGGCGGGAAATGTGCACTGCTTAAGCGAGGTGGCGGTGTGAAAGACTGTGCCGAAGATATGATGTTCCACAGCCGCGCAGCCCGCCAAGATGCCAAGAAGTACAAAATCGGAGAGCTGTCACCGTACGACGCGCCAGTCTCTTCGCCTCTTTCACCTGCGTCCCCTTTTCCTTCCAAGCGGTTCGCGTCTTCCGTGCCATCCATCTCGAAAGTTGTGATAACGAGTGATACTGAAGACATGCAAGAGGACGGCACCGGATCTGCGCACTGGGACTCTGCTGTCAAGGATCACCCACTGTCATCCAGTGATAGTGACATTCATTTCGTTAGCGAAGATAGCATACTCCGCGCGGATTTGGTGAAATAGTGCAGTCGATCAATTCGAAAGGTCATCTTTCTCTTTTGTGTTCTCTCTATTTCCAGCATCAATGAATGCATGTGTTCAAGAGCGGAAGGGGGAGAAAATCCTCGTAAACGTTTTTGTTCTTTCCTCTCCGTTGAAAACACTTACAGTGAAATGAAGAAACTGCTTTCTTTTGCGTTTCCTTCTGACTTGTCGTGGTGTCTGCAACGTTACAACTTATGAACCTTAAAACTTCGTTTTCCACCTTTTATTCTGTTTTCATTTTACATTCTTTTGTTTTGCCGTTTTCTGTAGGTTTTCTTTGCTCTTACTATGAGGGAAAAAAACTCACTGAGAGATATGCAGAATGCGTTGACGGTTGATCTACAAGCCATAAAGTACTTCAGGGCACTAGCATGAGTAGACGCGGCACTGCTTATCAACGGCTAACCGAAAGTTCAGTCCATAGAGGTTCCTTCAACCAAAACTTAATTTCACGATGGTGAAAGCGATACGCAGTCGAACCAACTCATGTCTTAAGAGGGAGTTCAGTTTTACTATCAGACCTCTATTTCCCTGTTCTCTTGAAAACCCAAGTCACAAAACCAAATGTCAACATGAGCAGCGGCAAAAGGGAGCGTTCTCAGTAGTGTTTCTTTCTTTCTCTCTTTTTTTTTTCTTTGCAGACACGATATCTGCCTTTGTAATTAGCGGAGCGATGTTTTTTCTTTTTCTTGTGTCACAGACCTGATTTACTTTTTTTTTGCTTTCTGGTTTTGTAGGAGGTGAAAGAATTTCTCTTTTACGGTTTTAGCTTTTGCTCATTTCATCCTTGAAATTCACCAAGCGTATCAAAAGAGCAGCTTGAAACCTTTTTTTTTTTTAGAAGAAAAGGAATGGAGCAAATGCATTCAAACGTGAAGTGTTTTTGCATATCTTCTAGTTGTCTGAAAGAGAGAAGCTCGACTGTTGATCTATCCGCAGTGGTACCCCATGCAATCTCGAGGCAGTTAGATACAGCATCAGCGCTTCGATATCTTTCAATATGTATTTTTACGTTTTATCTACTACTGTTTTGGTGTATGTCCTGGTTTCAAGTGTCTCAGTTTGTGTCATTGTATTTAACTTGCAACTTTACGTTTTCTCTCTCCTCAGCTTTTATTTTACTCTCACAAACTAGAAAAGAAACTATTTGGAAGGGGTTCATGTGCGGATAGACAAGCAGAGCGTTGCGGTATATCTGACGCAAAGTGGGGTACGCTGCAACCCGATGATTTCAAGCCTGCAATTGCGTAGTGTAGTAAGGGAGAAAACTTAGTTGTCGACAAGACGCCGAGTAATTACCCGTGCGCTTTTTTTCTGATTTGAAAGGACTTAAGATGTCGCAGAAATAAAACGTGAGCATCTCCCTCAGAATTTCTCTCCCTTTTCTACCTCTTTTTTGTTTCTGTCAATCACACAAAATACATATATATATATGTATTCCTTTTGCCGTTCAAAAAGTGCTGTCAAACGCAACTGTCAAGTTGGAGGACTTTGCTTGCGCTGAAGTAGCTCATCATTTTTTAATCGTCTTCTTTCCAAATTAAACTATCCCCGGCGAGTGGAAGGAAAGCGAAGCGCTTTTTTTTTGCTTCAACTACTGACGCAAACGCGTACGTACTACAGAACTTCATGTGATGGTGTTCTCGGGGCGACCCTATAGCTGTAGAGAAAAACAAATACGGTTCTTTCTCTCTTTGTGCTGCTCGTAATATCTGTTCCACACTGTATTTCCTCAATGCTGCAGTTACTTGTGAAGGTGTTATCTTTGAGCGGACTCAGGAAAGACTGGCCGCTCTTCAGCGAAGACGAGGTTCGAGTACACAACTCGCGGCGGTCTTTGTGGATTGTATCGGGTAACTCAGTGTACGACGTCACCGCAGTGCTCACCACGCACCCTGGGGGCGAGGCCGCAATACTACGCCGGGGTGGCGGGGCAAAGGATTGCAACGCAGACTACGCGTTCCACAGCTTTTACGCCCGTCGTGAATGGGATGCACGCAAGGTGGGGGAGGTCACGCCCGAAGCTGCCGCAAAGCTGTTTCCTTCCAGGCAAGGGGAGCTGTCCACTGAAGGGCGTGCACAGGAATTTCACCAGGGATCTGCCTCCACGGTCGCCGCCATCTCACACACGCGCGTCGCTTTCCACGAGGAGAGCCACACACGCACTGTGGACACATATGCGAGTACCACCGTGACACCAGACCAGGCATACAGACGAGCGGAGTATGAACTTTGTCTTCAGCAAGTTCACTGAAGTGGTTGCGCTGCCGCATATATTAAGGGGAGCAACTTCCCACAAATACATGGTTGAATGTCCACGTTTGTGGCACATGTCCCTGCGTACCTCGCCGAACTTGTTGCTGGTGACACGGCTTTATCTTGTGAGAAGAGAGGATAGCTGACCTTTGGTGGGTGCGTGGTGATAGCTACCTCAGGAGCCTTCCTTTCGGTCTTTGTCTTCCGCACAGTGCTGTTGCTTTGCCTTACCGGCTCACAGCTTCTTTTGAAACTCTCGCGCTGCGGAGGCGACAAACAAGGTGAACAATTTTATTTCTCTTCTAAAGTATGCAAACGCTTGTTTATTGAGTTTAACCAGCACGGCGGCGGGGACCAACTTCCCATATACCCTGTGTGCCGGTTCACTCTCTTGTTTTCTGTCTTTTCTTCTACTCTTTTCCAGTCTCTTTTCACTTTGAATTTGTTTGATCAACTTCGTCACTTTCTTTTGCGTTTTGGTGTTATTGCTGTTTTTCTTTTTTGTCGTGATTGATCGGAAGACTTTGCTTGAAAGCCATCATCACAGCTGCTATTTAATTGTGGTAAATCCATGCTCACATACTCACAGTAAAGTATGCGGTGAAAAGCAGCTCTTTTCCTTTTGCCAAACAGACCAAAGACGAATTCAAGCCCTCTTTTTTATAGTTTTTTTTTTTTGTTCTCGAGAATCCTGACAACTAAACACAACGTGACTACCTTGCTACATTCACCGTCACTACTACTATCTCTTATATATTGTATGCACTTTTTTTATTTTTTTTATTTCTTTTCATGTTGAGATAGAAGTACAACTATCAACTGTTAATGGACTAGTAACGATGCACGTGAAAGAAAAAGAAACAAAATTACCTACCTGTCGATGTCGACAAATGCAGCAGTCGATAACGAAGACAAACGCTTTACGGGAGACCGGCAACCTCCCAACGTGATGCTGTTGGAGGGCCCAAAGCAGAGAACAAAACTGCAATATTGCCATGCCTTGAGTTTTTTTGCGACTTCAAATAACACATGTTGTTGGACAAGTCGCGGGCACGGCTACAAAAATTTACACTTGAAAACAAAATTAATTGTGTGGCGCAAGAATCTTTTCCCTGTCTTGTTGAATCTCTTCATTCCTTTCTCTGATTGCCTATTCTCTTTTTTTTTCTCATCGTTTTGTCAGCCTCATTTTTTCAGTTCTCTACACTCTCTTGAAAAGCCAAGCAAGAGGATAAGAGCACAGCAAAAAATGTCCACGCATACGTTCGTCGGCACCGTGTTTGAAACTCCAGACCGGCACACCTTGAATCACATCCCGGATGCCCTCATCGTTGTGCAGAACGGCACCATCCAGCAGCTGATTGATCCCACGAAAGACGCGACTGGCTATGCAAGTGCTCTACAAGCCGCTGAGGCAGCCGGCACGCTCACGCGGCTGAAGAAGGGCCAGTACTTCATTCCCGGTTTGATTGACCTGCACGTGCACGCACCTCAGTGGCCACAGCTAGGAATGGCGCTGGACAAGCCGTTGGAGGAGTGGCTCCAGCATTACACTTTCCCGTTAGAGGCGAAATACAAGGATATCGAATTTGCGGAGAAGTCATACAGCTCACTGGTGTCGACTCTACTGGCGAATGGCACCACAACCGTTGCGTACTTTGCGTCCATCCATCTCGAGGCAAGTGTGCTTCTTGCGCGAATTTGTCTTGATAAGGGCCAGCGTGCGGTCGTCGGCCGCGTCACAATGGACGCGACGGACCAGTGCCCAGCGTACTACTGCGACCCCTCCCCACAAGAAGCGCTTCGTCTTTCTGAGTCATTTGTACAGCAGGTTCGCGCGTTGCCCGGCAACACCAAGGAACTGGTGCTTCCTGCTGTCATTCCGCGTTTCATTCCAAGCTGTACGGACGAGTCTCTTCGTGGGCTGGGCGAGATTGCGAAGAAGTACGGATGTCACGTTCAAACGCACTGCTCAGAGAGCGACTGGGAGCACAACTACGTGATTGATCGCTTCAAGAAGCACGACGCGTTTGCCTTGGATGACTTTGGCCTCGTCACCCGCCGAACCATCCTGGCGCATTCAAACCACCTGTCTCACGAGGACATGGAGCTCATCAAGGAACGGGGGGCGGCTGTGGGACACTGCCCGCTTTCGAACGCGTACTTTGCCGGCGCCATCTTTCCTCTCCGCAAGGCGCTGGACATGGATATGCACGTGGGAATGGGAACAGACATATCTGGTGGACCGACTGCCTCGGTGTTTGAGGTGTGCCGCTACTCCCTGATGTGTGCTCGTGTACTGGAAAGCGGCACCGATGCTTCTCTTGTGGCGGCGCGGCGCAGCCAGCGAAGTGGTTCGCACGTGAGCAGCCTCGAGGCGTTTTTCGTCGCCACGGCCAACGGTGGCATTTCGCTCGACCTCAAGATCGGCCGTATTGCTCCTGGCTACTTTTTCGATGTGTTGGTGATTGACACAACGATTCCCAACAGCAGCCTCATGATCTTTGAGGACCTCGAAACTCCAGAGGAAGTCTTTGAAAAGATCGTCTACAGCGCCGCACCGCACAACATTACTCACACGTATGTTAGCGGACGCCTCGTCTCGCAGCGATAAGCGAAGAAGTTTGGGGAGTAGACGGGGAGCAGGAAAAAGAGCCCGGCGCGCAGAATGAATCGACGATACATATAAGTATCCATTGTTTCTGAACTCTTGCGCCAGGAAGAATTCGCCGGGAGATGAATCGAAAGCCACGCGTTGTATACTTTCCCTTTCTCTTCTCTCCCCTCCAGGAAAGGCTTTTTTTCTGTTTTCCCACCTTCCCGCCCCTTTTCCAACCCCACGTGGTGGAAATGCAGACGATCTGAGTCTGCAAGAAACTCCCTTTCGTAAAGTTCTACTAATTTCAGTTAAAAAAGGAAAATACCGCCGTCAACCCTTAAAGGAAAATGAAAACAATACAGGGATGTAACGACACTGTTTTGCACTTTATGGATCTTTCTCCTTTCTCCTTTCTTCTTCCTTCCTTCCTGATCTGAGAGTAGTCGACAAGAGTTTTCCTCATCCGAGGAGGAAGACACTATGGTGTCGAGCAAACAGCGTTAATGTTTGCATGCCCCAAAATGGCCATTATTTTTTTTTCCTTTTTCCTTTTCCTCCCCTTCTCCATCTCTACGCATGAAAACATAAACATTATTCGTTTCTGAAATTTTCAATCGTCTTTGGGGTAGATACGTTGAGTTCTTTTTTTCTACATTAATGAGGTTGATCGATTTGAAGGCAACAGGGCGATGTGGTACCAGAGCTGTCTTTCTTTTCCCCCAAACGCCATGTATGCTAACCAGTTGAGGTTGGCGCGAGATCGCATGGCTACATTTTTCTTTTCTCTTTTCTTTCGGCAACGACTAAGTTGTGTACACGACTCAATCGGGGCCCTGCCATAAAAGAGACAAAATGTGTTCAACAACAACATAAACTTTCTTTTTTTGAAATTATAGAACTTTACGGACGTCTACCCAGTCCGAGCGAGTGACCAATGGGTCCGCCTTTCGTCTCCCAGAAGCGTTTACTTCACGAAATTGTAGGAAACATACGCATGCTCATAACTGAGATCCCGCTCATTGACTCCCTCTCCTCTCTCTCTCTTCCTTGTTGTTTTCGGTTTATAAATGCTCTATTGGTAGTGGACACACCCACACACGAGTGAAGCTGCGGTTTTGTTTGTGTTGCACTTTGCGTAGGTTTCCTTTTCTTGGGCCAACATGGAAGAGCCTAAGCAAACTCTGTACATTAAAGGTTTGCCGGATAAACCTTCCGCGACGGAAGTGAAAAGGGCGCTTTACCTCTACTGCACCCAGTTTGGACCCGTTAAGGCGGTGCTCTACGACAAGTCGAAGGACTTCCACGGCCAGGCGTTCGTCGTGTTCACGGATGTCGGCACGGCAACCACGGCCCGTCGCTCGCTGCACGACCGGCTATTTTATGGTCGTCAAATCCAAGCATTTTACGCCCACCGCCAGGCGTTTTGTGTCGATCCGGGAGAGCGTCGCCGCCGCGACGTTGCGCGAGAGAAGAAGCGGCTGCACGGACTGAAGAAAGAGTAGAAGGTGTGAGGAGCTTGTTCTTCCTCACATAGTCACTACCGTCTGTTAGATTGCGTAACGGAAAAAAAAACGTGCTCATGATGCCTTTGAGTGAGATACGAAGGTGTGCGGAACAGAAACTTTTGTTTTGCTGTTTGATCGACCTATAAACCTGGTAAGAGAGAATGGCAAAGTTTGCTTTGCTGCTGCTGAGGTGGTGAGTGCTACGCGTGTTTTCTCGCTTCGCACCTGCGGCACTTTGTGTAAAGGAAGGCACTTCTGTACGTGCCGTACTGGCTCCTACACAGCAATGTTCGGAGCTTGGGTTTCAATTATTCTTTTAAAGACGTGTGAAGCGTTTTGAGCGATGATTACAGGGGAAAGCGGCGGTACTGCTCTTTTGCAACTTCTCAAGGACTACATGAAAAAGAATCAGCAACTGTTATGGCTTATATCTGCTTCTCTGAAGAAGAATATTCCGGATGTGTCTAATTTGCGACATTGCGATTCAGGGAAAAAACATCATGGGGTGGAAAACTAACCCTTTCCACTAGATTTATTATTATCATAACTGGCTGCTTATTCCTCTGCGTTTAATTCGCCTTTTACTTCTCTTTCCGTTCTTCTCATTCTCATTCTCAATTATTATTATTATGATTTTTTAAAACAGAAAGTGTGACGTGGACGCTGCACTGTTTTTTCTCCCGCCTTGTCACTTGGAACTGTTATGAAGGAACGCTCTGCCTGCTCTCCACAGACGTTTCTATCCATGGCTTTCGACCGTGTCACGCCGGAGCTGAAGGTTGGAAGAGAAGAGTGTCTGGCCGATGCACCCGAGCGCTTCGCCACTGCTCTGCAGCAGTTTGTGTGGGGCAGTGGACGACGTGGTGGAAGCGAAGCATCGTGGAACACTTCGGAAACTCGTGTTGCCGACTCCCCGACAGCACTAGACAAGGTGAACGTCCTATTACCATTGCCTTCATCACACGCTATACACGTACTACGAGCGCTTCGAAGTGTTCTAGATGCGGCGCGGTGCTGTTCTTGTTGCCCGCGTGAGGACCCCGTGACGGAGGCGGGGCTGTTTATGCTGCGTCTCACACGGCTCATGGAGCAGCAGACCCGCACACATGTGCAAAACGAAGTGGACTCCTGTTTACGTGAAACAACATCGCCGGCGTGCGTGTCGCCGTTGGCGCAGTCCTCAAATGCGCTGCTCGATGAGAGCAGTGCATTGTCGAGAGGCAGGAGAAGTAGCCCACGTGGCATCCATACAATACACCGCCGTGGGCGACGGTACACTTTACCGGACGCGTCCTCATCATATTCGCCATCACCCTCGTCGGTGTTAGACGTGAGTGCGCTGTCCGATTCGAAACCGGAGGCATCAACAGGAGAGTCCGTGTCACCGACCTGGCGCTTCCACGCTGATCTGACGCTCCAACTGCAGCAGTGCATGCTGCGGTCCATGTGCCTCCTCGACACGGCCCTCATCGACCATTCAGCGGAAGACGGCGGATTGTGCGGCATCCTCACTCGTCCCCGTGCCGCCGAATTTCAACATATCTTTGTCAACGCCATCACCGAGACCTTAGTCAGCGCACGGGACAAGTGGAGGGCAGATGTCGCCTTCACCAGCTCTACGGAGGCAGTGCGGGAAGTCTCGGTGGTGCTAGAGCGCCTTCAGCAGGTAGCCCACGCTCAGCGGCAGGCCAACGCGTCGCCGCAGCTGCAGGTGTGCGAGCTGACCACAACAGAGCCCACCCGTCGTAGTCCTCCTCCCTTCGCTTCGTGGAGGCGTTCTGATTCCTCCTCGCAACGTGGTGGTGAAGGTGACGTGAAACGCGAGTCTGTAGACGCCTATTCTGCGTCAGACCATCGCAGCGACATTGAACGGTGTCTGGGTGTTGTGGGCTCTGACTACGCCGCTAAGCTCGTCGCTCAGCAGCTGTGGTGTGCGCAAAGGCTGCTGTCCCAGCGCTTCCCCTCTTATGCCGCCTCCTGGGACCACCTCGAGCGGGCGCGCTTCTTTGTCGAATCGACGCGGAGCCCGACCCCGACGGTTCCGCGCAACGACAGCAACGAGCGGCCCACCGTCTTCGGTGCGTCTGCGTCGATGGCGCGGTCTGACGCAACAAGACCAGATAGCGTGCCGCGGCACGACGGTGGGACGCCGCCGCCGTGCGTCATCACGACGCAGCGAAAAGGTGAACGACCTTCCAAGGCAGCCACGCCGACCTCTCCCCCTTTCCGCAGTCTCATGTACAGTGAGGAGCGAACGGAGGAGAGGGAGGAGGAAACCAAAGACGGCGTGGCAGTGTCGACTCTGTCGCCCAACCACCGCCCTCCGGCGCCACTTCCTCGCCTACTACCCGTTGCACGGTGCCCATTGTGGGAGAACCTGTTGGTTAGTTGTGGCGTCTCTGCTGGTTCCGCAGTCGCGGCTATTCAACAACTGATGACAGAGCAAGAGTCATCGCCGACACGCGAGGCGCAGCAGCACGAGCAACTGGAATCAAGCTACGGGAATCGGTATTTGCAAAACGCTCATTTGAATCACTCGCGCGGGAAGCAGACGGTCGCCAAGCGCAAGAAAACGTTCAGTATCGAGACGGAGCACCGTGGTGAAAACCGAAGTCCTCTTTTTCCTATGGAGCGCTTTCATGCCCGAAGCAGATGATTTAAGCGTAAGTCTGGTTGTGGGCATCCCTGTTGGTTGAAATATCAGGCGGTCGCGTTTTTTTTTCCTTTCCAAGAAGGGTTCTCACGTGCTGTGAGTTGCAGCTTCTCAACAGCATACAAATATATATGTTTTACTGCTTTATCTTTCACTACACCTGCGTTCTTCACGCTCTTTTTTTTCTAGATTCAGTGTTTCACTTAGATGGGCGTTTGTGTTTCAGCTTTTCCACACCGTGGTGCAGCTCCGATACACGCAGCAACAACGGCGACAAATAATAATAATAGAACAGATGCCGAGACGCAAAGAGAAACAAAAAATGTTATCCGGCTTTAAAGGGTCGGCCCTTTCTTTTTTCTTCTCATTATAAAAGTCGAAGCGCGCTTTGAAACGCGAAGTCTATGCACTGGCAAAGGGAAAGGGAAATATGTGCAACTGCATTGCTCTGATGCGAAGGCTTGAAAGTGTGGCAACCTGCAAACGCCACAGAGTATTCTCACAATAGGCTTAAGGCAGAGGCCTTCCGAAAAATACTCATCAGCGTCGTCGCCCCGTTGAAGACAACCTAACTGGCCTCCACGAGACTCACTTTTCCTTTCAAAGCTTTTTTGTACTGCATTGCACTCGAACAGCGCTGTTGCTCTTTAAAGAAATCCTTCTTGGGCCGCTTCGCACTCTCTCTCCTCTTCTGTTTTTTTTTTCGTGTGAAGGATTTGTGACGAAAAAGACGTTTTCCTGCGCAGTAATTTGGCTTTTCGTGTTTCTCTTCTCGCCGACCTTCACTCTCTCTACACGGTTTGCCTTCGTCGCGCTATTATTGTTACTATTATCACTCCATCCCCCATACAAGCAAAAGCTAACCATGGCGGAACTCCCCACCGGTCCTCTCCCGACTGATCTGGAGCAGTCGATGCTGCAGATTATGCACGACGTTGGTCTGAGCTCTCTGACAAAGAACATTCTGCGTAAGCGCCTGGAGGCGAAGTACAAAATCGAGTTCGCGTCGCACGCCGCAGAGGTGGACAAGACAGTGAGTAAGCTCATGATGACTCCTGAGATCCAGCGTGAGCTCGCCAAAATCCAGCAGGAGAAGGACAGCGTCAGCGCCCGCCGCGCGGGTGCGAAGCGCAGCGCCAGCAGCGACAAGAAGTCGAGGAAAGAGGAAAAGAAGGAGAACAAGCGTGAGGTGAAGGCGAAGAAGCCGGAGGACTACCCGAAGGCGGCCTTGTCCGCATACTTTATCTTCGTAAACGATAACCGCGACAAGGTCAGGGAGAAGAACCCTGAAATGAAGCTCACCGAGATCCTCTCCGAAGTGGGAAGCATGTGGAAGGCCCTCTCCGAGTCTGAAAAGGCGCGATACCAGAAGCTGGCTGACGAGGACAAGAAGCGCTTCGACGCTGACATGGCAGCTTACACTGCAAAGGGCGGCAAGGTGTTCAAGCGCAGCGTCAAGTCGTCGAAGAAGGCGAAGAAGGAGAAGGACCCGAACGCGCCGAAGCGCGCTATGTCCGCGTACTTCTTCTTTGCCGGCGACTACCGCGCCAAGCACACCGGTATCCCCGCCAAGCAACAGATGACCGAGGCTGGCGTGGCCTGGGGCAAGATGTCGGAGGAGGAGAAGAAACCGTACGAAGAGCTCGCGGCGAAGGACCGCAAGCGATACGAGGCGGAGCGCGCGGGGCACGGCGGCGCCAAGTCATCTGCGAAGGCAGATGCTTCCGAATCCGAGTCCTCCTCTGACTCTGGCAGCGACTCCGAGTAGAGCGACGAACCAAAGAGTAGTCGAGAAAAGTATATATATATATATATATATATATATCTGTTTGTCGAATGACCCTTCTCGCTTCTCCTGCCTCGTTTGCCTCTTTGGTTCGTTCTTTTTCCTTTATCGGTTGGCTGACGAGCCGTGTGCCATTCATCGATGAAGAAAGGTGAGCCGACTTTACGTTTTAGGTGAAGCGTATAGGAGCGAGAAAAGCCAGGAGGTTGCGCGTTTTGGATGGGAAGAAGGGTCATTGTGCACCGATACTTTGGCGCAGTGATACAGAAATGTTCCTTTTTTCCCTTTTCTTGCTACGCACACTTCAGACAGGGAGGAGCTTTTTTAAAGGTACGTGTGTGTCTGTATGTGTGTGTGTGTGTGTCCATGTGTGTGGGTCTGTGGGAGATTCCGCGGGATTCACCGGAATTTGTTTTTGAGATACGCTGTTTCTACCTACAGCAAACACTTTATAGATCCTGCAGAGAGGGAGAGAGAGAAGGGGGGAGGTGGGATATGCAGTTTTCAATGGCTGTGATGACCTGCAAAAGGACGCTGACATCAGCAATAGCGTCATTCCGAAGAAAAGAGCGACGGTGACACTCCATCTCTTCGGGTACACCCTCGACGTCTCTCTTTGATGTCCAGGAGTACCGAAACTCATAGCGCTATGTTTTACAATCAGTTAAAGAACAATAAGTAAAAAAATACTACGCTTTCTTCCTGCGCCAGAGTCGTCAGCTACTTGAGCATGCAGCCTCTCTTCAGCGTTTTTCTTCTTCTCTTGTTTTTCTGGTTGTTCGAATCAAGAAAACCGCCGAACAGAAATCCGATGAGACGTAAATGACTACGCCACGCTTCTCTTCCATGGAGAGCAAAAGTACCTCGTGTGCTGCCCAATTTCTTTTTTTTCTTCTTCCACACTTGAGGCAAGTGACGCACACACAAGCATGCACATACCCTCGCCTGCGTGTGTCTGTGTCTGTGTGAATGCTATGGAAGGCAGAACATGCTCGTCTGCGAAAAGGAGGGGAATAGGCATCCCAACCAAAGCCTGCAACTCGTGTGCAGGGAAGGGTGATGTGCTTTGTGGCTCAACCTGATGCACCTATCAATTCGCAGAGGTTCCGGTTATCAGCAGAGGAGTTTCTAAAGGACCTCCTCCTCTGCCCGCGCATTCACCACTGGCTCTGTTCTTCTCTTCCGCCTTGTCTTCTGCCTTCAAACGAGACAACGTTCTTCCTGATCTCCCCCCCCCAAAACAAACAAACACCGTTTGGCGTCGCATCCCCAACAAATTATCAATGCCTTTTATGTTTCCAACCTCAGGACACCGCTTACCGCTTGAACCTTTGAGGGAAAAGCCAAAGTAAGGATATCTGCGTCTTGACGTGAACCAAGGTGACGACGCAGCGTTGCGTTTGTGCCTCTCGGTTACAAACCGTTACCGACTACCGCTCACACAAACACACAAAGCGAGACAACAGATAGTTATTGCTGCTCCCTTGTCACGCGCCAAAGATACCTGCTCTTAAAAAGAAAACCCTTCTGTCAAAGCTGTTGTCTTCCCGCCGTAATATATAAGATGTCCTGCGAGCGCATTGACCCAAAGGACTTTCACGGTCCTGCCGCAACGCAGTATACCCAGAACAGTCTGCAGGAGCTCGCCAACAACCCCCAGTTCCGATCCTACGTGCACCACGTCGAGTACAAGGAGCGTCTTTACCTCACCTGGTTCCTTGCCCCGTTTACGTTGTTCGGCGTTCTGTACTTCCATCTTGCCATGTTTGGCAGCAATGGCGTCAACCTTTTCATGGAACCCTCCGCCAGATCTGAGTTAGTCCTGCGCGACGCTCCACTCGGGGTGATCGTGGCGACGCTCATACTGCTGTTCTACGCCATTCCGTGCATCATCATCAGTCCTTTTGCCGGGTTCTTTGAGGAGCAGAGCCGGTGGGCTAGTCTCGCCGTGCTGCTCTTCACCACGGGTGCAAACGTCGCCGCCGTTTCCTTTGGGGGGCCGCGTCTGCATTACCCGCCGTTTCTGACGACGTCACCAACGCTGCCGGAGATGATTTCTACGTGGAGTCCGATGGACATCGCGGGCGTCTTTGTGCGTGACATTTTGGTGCGCCGTGCGCTGTGCTTGGAGGGCTTCGTCGTTGCCGGGTACGCGGTTGCCGTGTGGCGGCGCAGCTACTGGCGGCGCGCGTGGCACCCACCGCTACCGCTGCTGACGATTCCGCTGAGCGTTGGCCTTGCCGGAGTGGGCTGGTGGGTCGTTTTCCAGAAAGCCATCCCTCTTTTCCTGGATGCGCTCGGCACGCCCACGCCCGTGGCGGAGGCACTGCACTGGTCGGCGGTGCAAGCCGACCCCATGGGAGCTGTGAATCTCTGCGGGCGTGTGGTGAAGGAAATCGTCCTTCGGTTGCAGCAGGATGTGCTGCCGCTGGTGGAGCGACGGGAGCTTCCCTTTGCCTTCCGAGACGCCTCCGCATGTTTGTCGCTCTACCTCGCCGCTTCTTCGATGGCGTTGGTGCATCTGCTCCTCCTCTTCGCGAAACCGGTGCTCGATTTTGTTGTGGATGCTTTTTTCTTTCTACTCCCTACTGATCCTACTGTTTGGGGTCTCGCGATGTTGGCCAGCATTGGTTCGTTCGTCTCACTCTGGCGCGCCGCAGAGGGGTCTGAGTACGCGGTGTATCTAGCAAGTTTAGCGTGTTTGGCGGCCGCTCTTCTGTTCAACGGCTTTGTGGCGTGATGACATCCTTCGTACAGGAAAGGTGTTTTAGTTTTCTTTGATATACGGAAGGGAAATGCAACGAAAAATAAAGGGACAATTAGATGTTGGCGATGAGACCTCAGCTGAACGGCGCAAGACCGTCGCACCAACTGGTCATGAACCCGCAAGGTGGTTTGCTCTTGCGCTTTGGTCTCGTTAGACTGCCCCACACGGCTGTTTTTACTTCTCACTTTTGACGTTTTATATAAATCAGCTCAACTCCCAACGACTGCTCTCATGGTATGAGTAAAAGAGAGTAAGTGGGCAGAGAGTGCACTAGATCTGGTGGGATGAACAAACGTTTAACCATGCACCGCAGCGAAGAGAGTTGTGGGTGCGAAGTGTCAAAAAAACAAACAGAAAAATACCTTCGAGTAACATGCAGAGCGTCTGCTTAGCTGGTGCGTTTCAGTAAGTGCACTGAAGATCAAGTTTCCGCGTTCGGTTTTTTTAACCTGCGTCGTGACGCGCAACCACTTCACCGCTTTTTCGTGTATCTTTGTGAAACTTCATTTACGCCAAGGAAGATGTTGCAGTAGATGGCGTCTTGAGAGCTTCTACAATACGCTGCACAGTTACACCTGGTCTGCTGTACGTAATGTTCTCGTTGCTTCATCTCCCTTTCGTTGTTTGGTTTTTCTCTTGTCCCCGTTTTGTGGTGCATACAGTGCTATCAGTTGGTCCGCTATCACACACAACTTAAAATTTTCAAGGTGCACTTCGCAAGACTGTGGGTTTCGCACAGAATAAAAAAGGACACACCATTTTTTGTTTTGTAGGAGTTAGTCACCGCAATGGACCGTACGGATGGTGAAGCAGCGAACGCTGCCATGGAATGCGGTGAGGCTGCTGCTCCCAGCCAGCCGGCGCCACCTCCGGTGGAGAAAACCGCTGCCCTCCCTGACACGGCCGCCGGCGCCGCTCAATCTTTTCCTAATCGAGAGGAAGAGGAAGGCGATGAGGAAGAGGTGGAAGAAGAAGAGGTGGAGGATGAAGAGGAGGAAGACGAGGAGGACGAGGAGGACGAGGAGGAGGAAGACGAAGAGCTTGACGGAGAGGTCAGCGAGGAGGAAGAGGAGCACGAGTATGAGGCAGAGGAGACGGTAAACTCCAACGCCACGACGGTCAAACCAATCACCATCACGGTAGGCAACCGCGAGTACAAGCTTTCTTCGTTTGTCAAGAACAGAGGTTTGTCGTACGTGCCGGGGAAACTGAAGTCCAACCCGGCCGCCACCTTCACCCCTTGCGTCATCGCTGCACCGCACAGCATCCTGGGCTGCCAGCATCTGCATTTAGCGAATCGTGGCATCCTCGTGCGGGACCGCTACATCCGTCTGAATATGCTTGTCGACAACCGCGGGAAGGAGGCGCTGCTGCGCAACCCAGAAAGATCGCTGAAGATGCAGATCTGCCGCCGTGACGTGGAGGGCAGTGACAAGGAATCCCACAACCCGGCCACCTGCTCTGATTTGCATCTCCTGCCCAACATCGTTTTTATCGGCATTCCTGGACTGCGGACGGCGTACTTCGAGGCGGAGCTGCGCTTTAACCTGGCGCTGACGAAGCTGAAGGAGCAACCGTGGGAGACGCAGTGCGGGACGTGGTGCCGCGGGCGCCGCTCGCACGTCGTCACCACCTGCTCATTCTTGCACTACAACCACGGCAACAACCACACGGAGAAGCCGCACCCGCCGCACCGTCCGCTGGCCGCCATCCCGGACCTCACGCCGAGCCGCCCACCGCAGGAAACGGACGCTGCGCGCCGCCGCGGTCGCGGTGGCCGTGGTGGCCGTGGGGGCCGCGGTGGCAGGGGCGGCAGAGGTGGCAGGGGAGGTTATCGAGGACGTGGGGGTCGCGGCGATCGTGGCCGCGGTCGTGGTGCTGGACGAGGGGCACCGCGTGACATCCTTCCCAAAGCGTCTCAGGCCGGCTACGCCCCTCCGACGGTTGACGCAGCTGAGGCAAGGAGTGCGGCAGCTGCCGTTGCTGCCGCTCCTGCGAAGAGCAAAGCGGCAACGAGTGGCCCCGCTGCTCTCGCTGCGCCGGATTGGATAGCACATGAGGAGCAGGAGGACAGCAAAGCAGATAACGGACTGCGGAATCTTCTGTTCGTTCTTTTGGCTGTCTTTGGAATTCTCATTGCTGTTCTGCTCACTCGACAAGAAGGGTCTACGCGTGGGGAGGCGTAGAGCTGCGTTTGACGAAAAGGACAAACACTATCTGGCGAACCGCTCTCTGACAGGCCACGCACCGTGCCGCGCGCACACGGTATCAGGTTCAGAGGACATTGCAAACGCAGCGTTGAAAACGTGAGTATTCAAAGCATAGGACGATAGGTGTGCGAGGGCACCGCTTCTCTTCTGTGTGCTTCCACTTTGTCATCCTCTTTGTTTCCTTGTGAGCCATAATTTGTTTCTCAGTGGCGTTGCTACACTTTCGGCTGCGTACGACGCTGTGCAACGCGCTTTACTTAATTGCAATAATTGTAATGCGATTAATAGGACACAACACACCCTTTCAGGCAAGTGCTGCCGACACGAACCTACCCGTAAAGAAGAGACAACATAGTTTCAGAAACGCACATAGGCGAAGCAGGCGAACATGTTTTGCCTTCTTTTCACGTTACACGTAGGTACAAGCAACGGTGTGTTCTCACTCGGATGCAGTGGGAAACACTTCGCTGTGATGAACTTACATTGCTTACTGAGTGAGATCTACAGTCCTACTAGAGGCGCGAAGCCGCGACGTACTCTTTTTTCTGTTGTTGCTCAGTCCAGCTCATGCGAGTGATTTTTCTACGCGCAGAGTTCTATGCTTGCAGAAACCTCAACTCTGCAACGTCTTTTCTTTTCTCGACAGTACTCGCTCAAACGCATCTTCCTCTTGTTTCGCGTTTTTCTTTTTCTTTCTGTCCTGACTTCGTTGTCACCGTATCGCACCACCTCCACCCCGTCTTTAACGTCATCTCCCCCCTCTCTTCCCTGACTGACCGCAAATGTAAGTTGACGTTTCATTTCGTTACTTTACCCCGTTCGGGATAAAAAAGTGCTACTTTGTGTCTTCTTCCCTGCTTTTCAAACTCTTCTACTCTTGCTCCGTACTGCTAACCCTAAAAGAAAAAAGAAAACATGCGCTCCTCTGCCAAGTTCCTTGTGTGCTTTGTGGCGCTGTTTACCGTGCTGCTGGCCACAACCGTGAGCGGCCTCTACGTCGCTCCCAAGGCCGCGCCGCTCCTGCACAAGGATTTCATCGCTGAGATCAACGCGAAGGCGAAGGGCCAGTGGACGGCTTCTGCGGAGAATGGTCACGTAATCACCGGCAAGAGCCGCGATGAAATCCGGCGCCTGATGGGTGTGCGTGACATGCGCAACGACGCCCTCCCGCAGCGCGTCTTCACGAAACAGGAGCTGGCGCGGGACATCCCGGAGTCGTTCGACTCGGCCGAGAACTGGCCGCAGTGCAAAACCATCTCCGAGATCCGCGACCAGTCGAGCTGCGGCTCCTGCTGGGCCATCGCCGCTACGGAGTCCATGTCGGACCGCTACTGCACCCTCAGGAACATCACGGACCGCCGCATCTCTACGGGCGACCTGCTGTCCTGTTGCATCGTGTGCGGCATGGGTTGCAACGGCGGCTTCCCGTCGGCGGCGTGGATGTGGTGGGTCTGGACGGGTCTGACGACGGAAACGTGCCAGCCCTACCCCTTTGCCCCGTGCGCTCACCACACGAACAGCAGCAAGTACCCCGCCTGCCCGAGCACCATCTACGACACCCCCTCGTGCAACTCCACCTGCACCAACTCGCAGGACAAGATGGTCAAGTACAAGGGCACCTCATCGTACGGCGTCCGCGACGAGGAGGGCTACCAGCGCGAGTTGATGGCGGGCGGCCCGTTTGAGGTCGCCTTCGACGTGTACGCCGACTTCACGGCCTACAAGAGCGGCGTTTACAGCCACGTCACCGGCGAACGCCTTGGCGGACATGCCGTGCGGCTGGTCGGCTGGGGCGTGCAGAACGGCGTGAAGTACTGGAAGATCGCGAACAGCTGGAACGGTGACTGGGGTGACAACGGCTACTTCCTCATCAAGCGTGGCGAAAACGAGTGCGGTGTTGAAAGCACCGGCGTCTCCGGCGTCCCCGCCACCGATTAAAAGAGACAAGAGAAAGTGAAGATGGCCCCGAAATATATATATATATATAATCCCGTTTTTCTCTTTTGATTCTTACACCGCCGCAGTGCCACACACCCACACACACACAATGACAGAGACGCTGTGGAAATTGCGTCCGTCGCGGCGTTCCCATGCACGCGGAAGTGCGTGCACAACTCGTGGGCTTTCAGTTTTCTTCTTTTTCTTTTGAAACACGCTGATGGAAAAATTGATGATATCTTTTCTTTTTACGTTTCTTCGAACGACGGAGCCGCAGTGGTGTTTTCCTCTTTTTCCGTTTTCTTTCCTTCAATTTATTTATTTCTCAACTAGGCTAAATTTTCGTTTGCTATGTTTTTTGTTTATCGCTTTTGTCGATAGAACGCCTCAGTGTGGCTGCCTTTCCTTTTCCCTTTTTTGAAATTTACTAAGCAGATACGCTACGCTGTTGCGTTGATCCATCCACATATACATGACCCTTTGTCTTCGATTTGTTTCCCTTGCGTGAAATCAGCAGAGCAGCATCATCTACACTTACGAGCTCTTTTTTTTCTGAGGAAAGAGGAAACGTCGAGCAGCAAGGAGTTCAAAAAACTGCAAAATATAAAGAAACGATAAATTTGTTTGCATCCCTGTCACGGTTAATGAAGCGCTTCGAAAGAAGCAGAAGTGGTGGCCAATGCTGAAGCAAAAGGTGGAGACCGGAAAGCACTCAACGTTCTACGTTTGTGTTCGCGAAGGCACACCCGCACCCGCACACAGCATTATTCGTTGTTTCCTCTTTTGCTTTCGCATCTGAATGAAGGAGTGCGGCATTGCCGCTTCTTTTTTCTTCTCCGCGGAAAAGAAGACAAGGCGCATTGCTCTCTGCTTTCCAGCTTCTCACTACTCTTTCGTCGGTGACTTGTATTCACACCGGTAATCTGTATGTACACACACACAACGTGCGCAGAGGGATTGTTATTTTTCAACTATTGAGTGAAAGCGTCAAGAAGAAAAGAAAACTCGCCACCTTTTTGAAACGTGCGTCTTATGCCAGGTCTGCGGCGCTACCTCCGACGCATCTTCCAACGCCATTCGTTCGAAGGTGCACCGATAATCGCACGTGGAGTGCGTTGGTGCAATGATGCGCTGAATACTATCATCTGTGGAGTCGTAGTGATGATCAATGGCTATGAAAAAAGTGCAGCGCGCTTATTTTAACTGCAAGAATTGGAATGCGACTAGTGGAACACAACATACCCTTTCAGGCAAGTGCTGCCGACACGAACCTACCCGTAAAGAAGAGACAACATAGTTTCAGAAACGCACATAGGCGAAGCAGGCGAACATGTTTTGCCTTCTTTTCACGTTACACGTAGGTACAAGCAACGGTGTGTTCTCACTCGGATGCAGTGGGAAACACTTCGCTGTGATGAACTTACATTGCTTACTGAGTGAGATCTACAGTCCTACTAGAGGCGCGAAGCCGCGACGTACTCTTTTTTCTGTTGTTGCTCAGTCCAGCTCATGCGAGTGATTTTTCTACGCGCAGAGTTCTATGCTTGCAGAAACCTCAACTCTGCAACGTCTTTTCTTTTCTCGACAGTACTCGCTCAAACGCATCTTCCTCTTGTTTCGCGTTTTTCTTTTTCTTTCTGTCCTGACTTCGTTGTCACCGTATCGCACCACCTCCACCCCGTCTTTAACGTCATCTCCCCCCTCTCTTCCCTGACTGACCGCAAATGTAAGTTGACGTTTCATTTCGTTACTTTACCCCGTTCGGGATAAAAAAGTGCTACTTTGTGTCTTCTTCCCTGCTTTTCAAACTCTTCTACTCTTGCTCCGTACTGCTAACCCTAAAAGAAAAAAGAAAACATGCGCTCCTCTGCCAAGTTCCTTGTGTGCTTTGTGGCGCTGTTTACCGTGCTGCTGGCCACAACCGTGAGCGGCCTCTACGTCGCTCCCAAGGCCGCGCCGCTCCTGCACAAGGATTTCATCGCTGAGATCAACGCGAAGGCGAAGGGCCAGTGGACGGCTTCTGCGGAGAATGGTCACGTAATCACCGGCAAGAGCCGCGATGAAATCCGGCGCCTGATGGGTGTGCGTGACATGCGCAACGACGCCCTCCCGCAGCGCGTCTTCACGAAACAGGAGCTGGCGCGGGACATCCCGGAGTCGTTCGACTCGGCCGAGAACTGGCCGCAGTGCAAAACCATCTCCGAGATCCGCGACCAGTCGAGCTGCGGCTCCTGCTGGGCCATCGCCGCTACGGAGTCCATGTCGGACCGCTACTGCACCCTCAGGAACATCACGGACCGCCGCATCTCTACGGGCGACCTGCTGTCCTGTTGCATCGTGTGCGGCATGGGTTGCAACGGCGGCTTCCCGTCGGCGGCGTGGATGTGGTGGGTCTGGACGGGTCTGACGACGGAAACGTGCCAGCCCTACCCCTTTGCCCCGTGCGCTCACCACACGAACAGCAGCAAGTACCCCGCCTGCCCGAGCACCATCTACGACACCCCCTCGTGCAACTCCACCTGCACCAACTCGCAGGACAAGATGGTCAAGTACAAGGGCACCTCATCGTACGGCGTCCGCGACGAGGAGGGCTACCAGCGCGAGTTGATGGCGGGCGGCCCGTTTGAGGTCGCCTTCGACGTGTACGCCGACTTCACGGCCTACAAGAGCGGCGTTTACAGCCACGTCACCGGCGAACGCCTTGGCGGACATGCCGTGCGGCTGGTCGGCTGGGGCGTGCAGAACGGCGTGAAGTACTGGAAGATCGCGAACAGCTGGAACGGTGACTGGGGTGACAACGGCTACTTCCTCATCAAGCGTGGCGAAAACGAGTGCGGTGTTGAAAGCACCGGCGTCTCCGGCGTCCCCGCCACCGATTAAAAGAGACAAGAGAAAGTGAAGATGGCCCCGAAATATATATATATATATAATCCCGTTTTTCTCTTTTGATTCTTACACCGCCGCAGTGCCACACACCCACACACACACAATGACAGAGACGCTGTGGAAATTGCGTCCGTCGCGGCGTTCCCATGCACGCGGAAGTGCGTGCACAACTCGTGGGCTTTCAGTTTTCTTCTTTTTCTTTTGAAACACGCTGATGGAAAAATTGATGATATCTTTTCTTTTTACGTTTCTTCGAACGACGGAGCCGCAGTGGTGTTTTCCTCTTTTTCCGTTTTCTTTCCTTCAATTTATTTATTTCTCAACTAGGCTAAATTTTCGTTTGCTATGTTTTTTGTTTATCGCTTTTGTCGATAGAACGCCTCAGTGTGGCTGCCTTTCCTTTTCCCTTTTTTGAAATTTACTAAGCAGATACGCTACGCTGTTGCGTTGATCCATCCACATATACATGACCCTTTGTCTTCGATTTGTTTCCCTTGCGTGAAATCAGCAGAGCAGCATCATCTACACTTACGAGCTCTTTTTTTTCTGAGGAAAGAGGAAACGTCGAGCAGCAAGGAGTTCAAAAAACTGCAAAATATAAAGAAACGATAAATTTGTTTGCATCCCTGTCACGGTTAATGAAGCGCTTCGAAAGAAGCAGAAGTGGTGGCCAATGCTGAAGCAAAAGGTGGAGACCGGAAAGCACTCAACGTTCTACGTTTGTGTTCGCGAAGGCACACCCGCACCCGCACACAGCATTATTCGTTGTTTCCTCTTTTGCTTTCGCATCTGAATGAAGGAGTGCGGCATTGCCGCTTCTTTTTTCTTCTCCGCGGAAAAGAAGACAAGGCGCATTGCTCTCTGCTTTCCAGCTTCTCACTACTCTTTCGTCGGTGACTTGTATTCACACCGGTAATCTGTATGTACACACACACAACGTGCGCAGAGGGATTGTTATTTTTCAACTATTGAGTGAAAGCGTCAAGAAGAAAAGAAAACTCGCCACCTTTTTGAAACGTGCGTCTTATGCCAGGTCTGCGGCGCTACCTCCGACGCATCTTCCAACGCCATTCGTTCGAAGGTGCACCGATAATCGCACGTGGAGTGCGTTGGTGCAATGATGCGCTGAATACTATCATCTGTGGAGTCGTAGTGATGATCAATGGCTATGAAAAAAGTGCAGCGCGCTTATTTTAACTGCAAGAATTGGAATGCGACTAGTGGACACAACACACCCTTTCAGGCAAGTGCTGCCGACACGAACCTACCCGTAAAGAAGAGACAACATAGTTTCAGAAACGCACATAGGCGAAGCAGGCGAACATGTTTTGCCTTCTTTTCACGTTACACGTAGGTACAAGCAACGGTGTGTTCTCACTCGGATGCAGTGGGAAACACTTCGCTGTGATGAACTTACATTGCTTACTGAGTGAGATCTACAGTCCTACTAGAGGCGCGAAGCCGCGACGTACTCTTTTTTCTGTTGTTGCTCAGTCCAGCTCATGCGAGTGATTTTTCTACGCGCAGAGTTCTATGCTTGCAGAAACCTCAACTCTGCAACGTCTTTTCTTTTCTCGACAGTACTCGCTCAAACGCATCTTCCTCTTGTTTCGCGTTTTTCTTTTTCTTTCTGTCCTGACTTCGTTGTCACCGTATCGCACCACCTCCACCCCGTCTTTAACGTCATCTCCCCCCTCTCTTCCCTGACTGACCGCAAATGTAAGTTGACGTTTCATTTCGTTACTTTACCCCGTTCGGGATAAAAAAGTGCTACTTTGTGTCTTCTTCCCTGCTTTTCAAACTCTTCTACTCTTGCTCCGTACTGCTAACCCTAAAAGAAAAAAGAAAACATGCGCTCCTCTGCCAAGTTCCTTGTGTGCTTTGTGGCGCTGTTTACCGTGCTGCTGGCCACAACCGTGAGCGGCCTCTACGTCGCTCCCAAGGCCGCGCCGCTCCTGCACAAGGATTTCATCGCTGAGATCAACGCGAAGGCGAAGGGCCAGTGGACGGCTTCTGCGGAGAATGGTCACGTAATCACCGGCAAGAGCCGCGATGAAATCCGGCGCCTGATGGGTGTGCGTGACATGCGCAACGACGCCCTCCCGCAGCGCGTCTTCACGAAACAGGAGCTGGCGCGGGACATCCCGGAGTCGTTCGACTCGGCCGAGAACTGGCCGCAGTGCAAAACCATCTCCGAGATCCGCGACCAGTCGAGCTGCGGCTCCTGCTGGGCCATCGCCGCTACGGAGTCCATGTCGGACCGCTACTGCACCCTCAGGAACATCACGGACCGCCGCATCTCTACGGGCGACCTGCTGTCCTGTTGCATCGTGTGCGGCATGGGTTGCAACGGCGGCTTCCCGTCGGCGGCGTGGATGTGGTGGGTCTGGACGGGTCTGACGACGGAAACGTGCCAGCCCTACCCCTTTGCCCCGTGCGCTCACCACACGAACAGCAGCAAGTACCCCGCCTGCCCGAGCACCATCTACGACACCCCCTCGTGCAACTCCACCTGCACCAACTCGCAGGACAAGATGGTCAAGTACAAGGGCACCTCATCGTACGGCGTCCGCGACGAGGAGGGCTACCAGCGCGAGTTGATGGCGGGCGGCCCGTTTGAGGTCGCCTTCGACGTGTACGCCGACTTCACGGCCTACAAGAGCGGCGTTTACAGCCACGTCACCGGCGAACGCCTTGGCGGACATGCCGTGCGGCTGGTCGGCTGGGGCGTGCAGAACGGCGTGAAGTACTGGAAGATCGCGAACAGCTGGAACGGTGACTGGGGTGACAACGGCTACTTCCTCATCAAGCGTGGCGAAAACGAGTGCGGTGTTGAAAGCACCGGCGTCTCCGGCGTCCCCGCCACCGATTAAAAGAGACAAGAGAAAGTGAAGATGGCCCCGAAATATATATATATATATAATCCCGTTTTTCTCTTTTGATTCTTACACCGCCGCAGTGCCACACACCCACACACACACAATGACAGAGACGCTGTGGAAATTGCGTCCGTCGCGGCGTTCCCATGCACGCGGAAGTGCGTGCACAACTCGTGGGCTTTCAGTTTTCTTCTTTTTCTTTTGAAACACGCTGATGGAAAAATTGATGATATCTTTTCTTTTTACGTTTCTTCGAACGACGGAGCCGCAGTGGTGTTTTCCTCTTTTTCCGTTTTCTTTCCTTCAATTTATTTATTTCTCAACTAGGCTAAATTTTCGTTTGCTATGTTTTTTGTTTATCGCTTTTGTCGATAGAACGCCTCAGTGTGGCTGCCTTTCCTTTTCCCTTTTTTGAAATTTACTAAGCAGATACGCTACGCTGTTGCGTTGATCCATCCACATATACATGACCCTTTGTCTTCGATTTGTTTCCCTTGCGTGAAATCAGCAGAGCAGCATCATCTACACTTACGAGCTCTTTTTTTTCTGAGGAAAGAGGAAACGTCGAGCAGCAAGGAGTTCAAAAAACTGCAAAATATAAAGAAACGATAAATTTGTTTGCATCCCTGTCACGGTTAATGAAGCGCTTCGAAAGAAGCAGAAGTGGTGGCCAATGCTGAAGCAAAAGGTGGAGACCGGAAAGCACTCAACGTTCTACGTTTGTGTTCGCGAAGGCACACCCGCACCCGCACACAGCATTATTCGTTGTTTCCTCTTTTGCTTTCGCATCTGAATGAAGGAGTGCGGCATTGCCGCTTCTTTTTTCTTCTCCGCGGAAAAGAAGACAAGGCGCATTGCTCTCTGCTTTCCAGCTTCTCACTACTCTTTCGTCGGTGACTTGTATTCACACCGGTAATCTGTATGTACACACACACAACGTGCGCAGAGGGATTGTTATTTTTCAACTATTGAGTGAAAGCGTCAAGAAGAAAAGAAAACTCGCCACCTTTTTGAAACGTGCGTCTTATGCCAGGTCTGCGGCGCTACCTCCGACGCATCTTCCAACGCCATTCGTTCGAAGGTGCACCGATAATCGCACGTGGAGTGCGTTGGTGCAATGATGCGCTGAATACTATCATCTGTGGAGTCGTAGTGATGATCAATGGCTGTGAAAAAAGTGCAGCGCGTTTGGCGCAGTATTCATGTCTTGTACTCAAAGAAGATGTGAATCGCACTTTTCTTGTTGCCAGTTCTAGTTTCTGTTTCGACTGCCCCGCTTGTTCTTACTCGACTGTGATATGGGGACTCATTCTCATCTCTTTTCCTGTCATTTATCCTTCCTTTTACGTTCTTCTGCTCCCACTCAGCTTGTAGGTTGTAGGTGAGCACAGGCAGGAACGAAGATCTATGTAATAGGCGTTGCTTCCTTGGGTCCACGAAGAGCAACCACAATTACTGTGCCCCACGCGCCAAAAATCCAGCACCGGAGGTCACGGTAAGGTGTACACGGGCGGGACTCTTTTTCACGTTCAAAGCTGCAAATAATCTTGAAAAAGAAAGGCCAGACGCCTTCTGGAAGCATAAGAGAAAAGCCGAAGAGGACTTAGGTGGAGTTCTACGAAGAAAGACAAAAAAGAGGAGACACGCTACGTTGCCTTCTGTTAGCCTTTTCCAAAACGAAGAAAGTCAGAAGCGTATTTTCGTTTTGGTTAAAGAAAACCGCGCCATTGAATCATTAAAGTTTTCAACGTAGTGTTTGATCTTCACTCCGCGACATCAAACGTGTAAGTTGACCCAGCAGCTACTCGTAGGTCATGTTCGGAGCATCATCCTCGCCTCCCAAGATGGAGCTGAAGCACAGCTACGTCGCGGCTGTCGCTGGAGTCGCTACCGAAGCAAATGGAAACCGCCGCCCTCTCAGCCGCGCCACGGTCGTCGTGGGCGCGACTCTCGCTGTCGGTGTGTCCATTCTCGTCGGAGGCCGTCTCCTTTACACAGCCGCGCATCGCACGGACGAGGACGAGAAGGGCGGAGTCACATCAGCAGCCGCAACGGAGGCGATACCATCGTGGTGGCAGCGGGCGTGGTCAAATCTGCGTCTCCACCGGTTTGCAGAGGACGACGACGACGCGTTCGCCGGCGGCACCGGGACGGCTAATTTGTTTGATGCGGCGAAGACAAAGGCGCGGCAGCTTTCGAAGGACAAGTCGAAAATGGGTGTTCGTCTGGGTGCCGCCTCGCCGCCAAGTACGTCAGTGAAACCGGGCAGCCTTCCCATGGCAAAACCCGACGGGTCGGCCGACATTGGGTACCCGTCGGACATCCAAGAACGCGCGCAGCACATCAAACTCGTGCGTGCGCTTCTGCGGCGTCAGGCCGGCATCGAGTACAGCGACGACGACAGCTCCACCAGCTCTGACTCAACCGACGTGTCACTCAACTACCACTTCGCCACCACAATGGAAGCCACCGCGCGTGACGACCTGCTCATCGCGTTTGCCACCTACGAGGACCACAAGGATGAAGTCGCCCTCGTGGGGACCGCGCCGGAGAAGAATACAGAGGAGGAGGCGGAGGAGCTGCAGGTGAACATTCTAATCAAAACGCTCGAGTACCTGGACATGTCGAATGAACGGGAAAAGCTGCGCTGTCGACGCATCGCCCTGCACAGGGAGCAGGGCCGCGCCACCCCTGCTTCGTCCACCGACGCCGTGTATGGCGGCAAGGACGACGACCCAATAAACGCGATGTATCGAAAGCTGGCTGCGCGGTACGGCCCGCAGCACCCGTACGAGGAGGACGATGACGACGAGGACAACGGCGGGGAGGAGGAAGGCGACATGAACAGAATCAGAGACCACGACTTCCCCAACGCAGCCAGCCGCCACGCGCGGCAGTTTCAGGCCATGTTCGGCCCATCCATGATGGGCATGGATCCCTCGAATGGGGAGGACCGAAACACCGCCGACTCCGTCCTCGATCGCATCCTCGGGCAGGCGTCTGCCGCTGCGGCGAAGAACGGCGGACGCGGCGGCTTGATGCTGTCGCACCACACGGCCACCGCGCACGGCAACGACGAGGACATGATGGAGGAGAAGTGGGAAGACGAGGATGACGCGGAGGAGGCGGACTTTATGGACTACCTGCAGCAGCCCGACGACGCAGCGCACTTTTACTCCCGCAAGGAGCTGCGTCAGGCCCGCCGTGATCCTGACAACGATGTGCGGATTGTCGGTTCGCACGGCGCCGTCTTTGGCTTTCCGGACGACGAGGCAGAGGCGGAAGAGGATTGGGAGGACGACGGCGAAGATGGCGCGGACGAGGAGGTGGAGGAGGGCGAGGAGGACATGATGCCGGCCGAGCCGTGGAGCCGGCAGGACAAGATCGACTTTGAGCGCGAGCTCTTTGGCCGCATTCACCAGCTCGCCAACACGTACGCCCTCACCGCGGCTGCGGCGGAGCGGGAGGCGGACGACGAGGACGCACGGAAGCTTGCGGAGAGGGAGCAGCGGCGGCGACAGCAGCAGCAACAGCAGAAGTCGCGTGTCGTACCCACAATGGTCGCTACTGGCGGAAATCCCCAGTCGCTCCCGCCGGTGGCAGAGGGCGATGAGGAGTGGGAGGATGAGGGGGAGTGGGAGGATGAGGACGAAGATGAGGAGGCGTAGAGGTGGCACAGGGGAGACCTGCATTTGTAATGTGATACACCTTCTCCTTCGCGCTTCTCCAAATGCGACTCACATAAGCAATCAAAAGACAAGCATTCAAGTCACCTGTCGAGGCGCAACACATGGCTTGCCACACACACACAAAATAATACATGCCAGGCACGAAATGCTGCGAGTGTTAAAGAAAACGCAAGGGAGACCCGCACATATATGTATGTACAGCGGTGCTTTGAACCCGTCCGCCGAAATGATGCTAGTGGCAGAGAATTAAGTTGCCACTCGAACAGTAGAGTAACATCGGCAGCCCATTTTCTCTCTCTGTCTGAAGCACTGCGTGTTGCACTTCCATCCAAGTCCCAGGAAGACACGCCACTTTGCACGGATCGAAAACTCTCATAAGTCTTCTTCTAGGTGACATCCGTTTCTTCCCTCATCCCATGCACGCTTGGTTATCAGAGGCGTAAACTCAAGACAAGCTGTTGCCGAGCAAAGGCTTTTTTTTTCGAACACAACGAAGCAGCAGACGTACAGTCCGCGAAACGGTTCCTACAACCTTCCTTGACGGTATTTCCATATGAAAATTTACCCCACGTAGGTAAAGGCACCGTTTGTTCTCCATAGATTCAGCACAGCTATTGATAGACGAGGTATTTGTACTACATCTTCTCCTCCAACCCACTCGCTTTTTCTTCTTCTCATTCCAACGTGTGCCTTTAAGATTTGACGGTCCTGGCCCAGTCAGGTTGCACCGAACAATTGACAGCAGCATAGGCGAAAAAGATACGCGTACGTACACAGGGGCCACACACTCATCCTTCACCTCCGCAATGCTGGCGTCACCCGAGGAGGCGTACACGGACTACCTCGAGCACGTCGTCACCGAGGCCGGCGTTGACCCCGTCGTGGTGCGCGCCACACTACGGCAGCTCGACTACGATGACGCGACAATTGCGGTGATCATGGGCGAGGCAAGCGGCACTGCCGCGTTGTCTTCCTCATCCTCCTCGACTTCCACTCTAACGGAGTCGTCTCCATCGGTGCAGTATTCTGCGACGCGGCCGCGGGACGCCGCGTCGGGGTCGGCGTCGTCGGTACGGTCCGGGATGTCACACCCCCTGGTGTCCGACGCGCGCTTTACGCAGCCGCCCTCCATCACGCACGAGAGCAAACCACCGAGCCGCGCCCCCACCTCCGCTTCGTCTTTGTCCGCTTTAGGGTCTACGGCGTCCGCAAAGAAACGGGACGAGTCTGCCGTCTTGACGGTCGGAGTGGAGGACAAGGCAGGTGACGAAGCCGACATGACGAGCGTGTCTCGTGGGTCAGAAGCGGAACCGCTAATTTCGTCTGCACCTACTGTGAATCTTGAAGGCGATGCGCAGGCAGACGCCACCGCCTGCTCTCCTCACGCTGTCCTACGCAGCTCCTGGGGCGCTAGTGCCCCTTTCGAGTTATCCTCTCTCCACACCCAATTGACGTCAAGAGAGCGGGATGTTCTGTCACGGTGGATGAGGGAGTACAGGGCGTTGCTTCTGTCATCTGCGATGCCTCGGCAAGTCTCCAACGCACGGGCTGATGCCCTGGCAAAGATAGTGCCGCTGGAGGAGCCGTTTGATGAATGCCATCCTGTGCTCCACACCGAGGCGAGTAGTGAGAGCAGTGCGTACGAGAGCGGGCGCGGTGAGAGGTTCTCGCGGGGCTGCGAGGAAAACGGACGTCCGCCTCGTCGTAGCCGCCACGCAGATGATCACCGGTCCCCCAAAGGACTGGGCGATGACAGCGGCGTGTCTGCTGCCTCTTCTACCTCCTCTGGAGGCTTCAGCAGCGATGGGAACATATTTTCATCGTCGTCTTTGTCGTCGTCATCGCGCGGAAGGGCACGCGTCTCTCGGCGCAATAAAGATGTCTTCCCCAGGCGCTCCGACTCTCCTTTCGTGCACCGCGAAAACAACAACGGCTGTTGGCGCCGCCATGCGTCTTCGCACTCCGGTGCAGCGCCTCCAGATGCTTTTCGCCACGTCGTCCCCAAGGCCAAGTCTGCGCTCTTTGTGCCGACGCGTGGAGTGCGCAGCCCGGACCGCAGCGTAGCCTGCGTGCAGTGCACCTCCACAGAAAGGGACTGCCGCCACCCGTACCGCGAGGCCCAGGACGTGCGGATCATCCGGGCGTCCCAAAGCCTTGCCGGCGAGACTGGCCGCGCAAGGTCGAGTGATGGCGTCTCGCGGTCACGCGCGCGTCAGCTGGACATGGCGAGGCAGACACAGCACACGTCGCGCGCCGAACCGGCGAACGGGCGTCGTATCCCTGTCATGCAAGCCCCGGTGCGACTTGCTGTGCACCCGCGAAGTGGACTCGCAGGTGGGCGGCAGACAACGATGCTGCCAACGTTCGCGCGAACCGATCGCGTGGCCCTCGCTCTCTACTACCGTCGCGAGTGGGAGAAGCAGGGGCGGCGCACGACTGTGGCATGGCGCGATGCGGCGTGAGACGCGCGATACGCGCGGTTGAGCTACACCAGCACTCCGCAAAGCTCGTAATTGGTGTCGCAGGGACTGGGCGTGTGTGTGTGTGTGTTACCGCCATGTATCCCCGTTGACTTTGTACGTTTAGCGCACAAGAGCGTACCTCTCTCCCAAATAGATGACGGTTTATAGAGGATACAAAGAGTGGTCTGAGTTTCGCAACGTCAAAGGCAAAGATACTTTTCTTCTTACATAGATCGCGTACGTCTGTCTCTTCTTTGAGGGGAATACATTGCTTTTCTCTTCACTGTGGTGAGCAGATCATGTGAACACCAACAACAGCAACAAATAAGAACGACTGCCCCCCAAAGGGAAAAGATTGAAACAGCCGGAGCTCATCTCGTCGACCCCCCGAAGCAAATCAATAGAAAAAAAAACACGTCAATACTTCATCATTATTGGTGCCTGGTGCACCGTTATTGCACAGAGAAAACAGAATACAACTTATTTAAAAGAGAAACGAGTGTCACCTTTCAACGGCAACGCATCGAATGTATTTCTTCACCTTTCATCTCTTTTTCTTTCTTCCTTTTCATTATCGACACACCAATATTTGGTGTCGCTTTCCCGTGGCTCATCTTCATGCATTCGATTTCACCATGTGAGCCGGGATTTGCAACGCCGAAGCTAATAACTCAAAGAGGTGCTCCGAACACACTCTAGTATCAGAACTATCGTTGCTGTGGGTGGTAGCTGCGCAGGTGGCACAACCTCACACGCAGAGGGCGAAAAGTAAAAAGCGGACAACGATCACGAGTTCGGCAGGATGTCATTTGGTGGTTTTGGTGCGAAGCCGGCAGCCGCGACTTCCGGCTTTGGGAGTACGACCGGCGGCGGCTTTGGGGGTGCGGCACCCGCGGCCGGGAGTACGGGCTTTGGTGCGAAGCCTGCAACCGGCGGTTTCGGTGGCGGCTTCGGCTCCGCTGCCCCGGCACCGAGTGGTGGCTTCGGAGCTGCTGGCGCTGCTACCAGTGGTGGCTTTGGTGTCGGTGCTGCGGGTGGCGGGTTCGGTGCGAAGCCGCTGACCACCACGCCGAGTTTCGGTGCAACGGGCAGTGGCGGCTTTGGCGCACCTGCCGGGGGGTTGACAGGGTTCAACACCTCCACAGGCACCACCGGCTTTGGCGCAGGACGCGGCGGGTTCGGCCTGAGCGGCGGCTTTGGAGGTTTCGGCGGCACGACGACCTCCACCGCCGCCGCCAACGCGGCCCCCACCGCGGCGCAGTACCCCTACCCGGGGATTAAAGGTCCTGGCAACGCCATGAGCTGGGCACGCGAGGTGGACTTCTCCCTGGTGACGGAGCAGACCCCGTTTGAGAGTCTTCCCCAGCCGCTGCAGCAGCATCTGATGGAGCTACGCAGCTTCATGCATGCAGAGCGGGAGGCGACCAAGAAGGTCTATGAGTATTTGAACGAATCAGACAAGACCGCATCGCCGTCCGTAGGTGCTGCGTCGGCGAAGGGAGATGCCGGGGAGACAGCTGCGGCGAGCTACCGCAGCCTCCTTGGCAAACTTGCCGCGCTGAAAGGCGGTGGCAATCGCGCTGTCGATATCGTCGCCGTGCACTGCAACCAGCACGAAGGGCAGGCGCGGCGTCAGCTGCAGCGGACGGAGAAGCTGGAGGCCAGCGTGCGGGACTACGAGCGCCACGTGTGGGAGCCTTTGCTCGATCAAGGTCTGCCGCTGTCCGCCAGCAGCAGCAGCAGCGCGTCGGTCTCACGGGGCGGCGCCTACCGACCTGCGGTGAATCGCAACGCCGCGTCTCCGTTCGCCTCGCTGGTGGAAGAGCTGAGTCGACGGCTGGACAGCGTCCACGAGGAGCTGGCCGCACTAGAAGCCACCCTCGTCCCCCCCGGGCGCCCGCTGCGAGGGTCTGGCTCGAATGACCGCCCTGGCCACCGCGGCGGCAGCGCCATCCCCGGCGACGCCATCGCGCAAATCAACGCCTCTCTCTTGTACGAGCTGAACCAGCTGCGGGACTTCTCCTGCGTGGCGGCGCACCTGCACAGCCTCACCGACACCGCCCGCGAGCTCTTCACGCGGCAGTACGGCCAAGCAGAGGCGGACGTGCTGTTCACCGACACCGAGGCGCAGCGCAACAGCATGGCGCTCTTCCGCCGTGCCACGGCCTCGGCGTACTTCGACATCCCGCCGTTGCCGCGGCAGCAACCGCCTCCGCCAGGTCCGGCGACGACCACCGCGACCACCACCACCACTGTGGGTGGGTTTGCGGCGAAGCCGGCCACGGCAGCCCCCACGACGACGACGGGGGGCGGCTTCGGCGCCCCGGCGACGGGTGGCTTTGGGGCGGCCTCGCCAACCAATGCCGCTGCAATGGGCGGCTTTGGCGCGAAGCCGGCTGCTGCCTCTACCACCACCGCTGCTGGGGCTGGTGGCGGCTCCGGGTTTGGTGCGGCCACCGCGGCGCCGGGTGGGGCGGCAGCCGGCGTCCCCAACACCGCCACCACCACCGCCTCGTCCACTGCGCCGGCCCCAGTTGGGTTTGGCGCCTCCGCCGCCACGGCCGTTGCCACTCCGGCAGCAGCGGCAACGGGTGGCTTCGGCGCGCCTGCTGCGCCGACGATGGGGCCTGCGTCGCCCGCCGGGGCGCCGACTTCGTTTAGTTTAGGCAGCCCGGCGACGGGTGCTGTGAGCTTCGGCTTCGGTCCTGGCAAGTCCGCGGCTAGCGGCGACGATCGCCCTGCGCGGCGTGCGCGTTGACCGGTTTCGTGCGCCTGAAAGGGACGTTCTTCCCACTGCGAAATCGGATCTTCGTGGTGACGTTCGATTCTCGCGCTGTCTGGTGGGGTTTTGAGCGCGTTGTCGAGGGTACTCCGCTGGGAGTACCGCACGTAGGAGAGCAGGTGAGGAACATAAAGAGAATTTTAACTTGTGTGTGTGCGAGAGGGAAGTTCGACTCGTTGATCTCTGGAAGTGTTACGCTATCAACGAACACATTTCATGTGAGAAAGAGACGAAAGGCAGTTCTGCGCGGAGGGACCTGCAACGTCGTCATTGCCCTTCGATGGCTCTCTCCGTTGGAATTGGCTTCCTGCATTTTGGGAGCTTCATTGAAGCAACAAACAACAACGCAATGCGGTGGAAATGAATGTGAACTGCGAAATGTTGCACTGGTATATGACGTTGATGTTCTTAGCAGCCTCTTTCTTCCCCGATGAAAGGAGAACGTGCGCCAGCAGATGCGCTGTAGCGAGAGGTTTAGATCTCTTCTTGTCGATCCGCTCTGCCACCCTGCTCTTTTTTTTCTCTGCTCTTATTGCATCGTGTTTCTCATGGGTTTTCACAGCAACGATATCTACAGTAGAGAGCTGGTTGTGCGTTTTGGGAAACGTTGGAATGAATAAGAGCCTTTCTTTTTCTTCTGCACCGCCGTCTCTTTTGAACATGCGTGACTTCCGTATCTTTCACAACTCGAACAATTTCATTTCTTCTCCCTTTTCAATAAGAGGTACACACACACACACACACGACTGACGCACGTTGCTTTACGTCTAAATAATAGCTTTCTTTGCGTTTGGTTTGTTAAGCCGCTATTGGGAAAGGGAAACCCTTGCCTTTCTCTCTCACGACTTCCCTGTTTTTTTGCCTCTTCTCCTCTTCCCCTCACTTCACCGTACTTTCTTACTTTGTCAAGGGGTGAAGATCGAGTCTCACTGCAACGGTACACTTAGTCTTCTACGGTTTTTTTCTGCATGTTTATACACTCTTTGCTCCATGCTCCATCGCCGGCCCACGCTAAGGTCATCTGTGGTGCGTGGCACATCTGTGTCGGTCACCTTCAAAGGGCTGGGGACCTATGACTACCCTTCTGCGTTCACGTGGCCGCCACCGCAGGATGAAACTGCAGGCAGCGAAAACGGGAGCGCCAGAAGCCACGGACCGCGGCCACCTTCTACGGCCCCGTCTTCCTCCCCAAACTACAATAACAGCGACGACTACGTAACTCACTACCGATCCCCCTTCTCTGTGCTGCGCAGCCGGCAGTCGCGCGTCAACCGCTGCGCCGCTGGCATGCTTGGCTCGTCCTTCGACACATCTACCCGTTACCTACTCGGCAAAAGCAGCAAGGCACCGTGCGCGCAGCCGTATTGCTGCTGCAGTGCTCTCCTGTACCCCGCCACCTTCGCGGCGCAGACAGAGGCAGCGGAGCGCGTGCGCGATGACTTCGTGTGGTCGCTGAAGCTCGGAGGCGTAGAGGACCTTCTACGGACCACCCTCGGCGTCGACCTGCACACGCGGCTGAGGGACACGCTCGGCGCGCCGCCCGTGACTGCAGCGGTCCTCAGCTGCAGTGACCCAACTAAGATGGCCCAACTTATGTCTCACACAACACCATCTGCCGTCGCCGGTGATACTCAGGCAGGAAATGTTCCTGTCCCGTCCAACGCGGATCCCGCGAACGCCGCTTTCATCGCGCGCCTCCTCCTCAGCGCGGACGAGGACAATCGAATCCGCTGGTTGCAGGAGGAGTCCGCCTCGATGGAGCTGGCCGACTACTACAGCCGTGCCCCGTCCCTGCGCGCCCTCTTCATTTTGTGGTCGCTGCTGCAGCATCAACAGCGTGTGCGTGGCGCCGCGGTGCGCGGCAGCAGCGTTGGTGGCGGTGATGAGAGTCGATATGGTGGGGACAGGGATGGCGGTGATGGCGACAGGTGGGGTGAGGTGTCGAGGTATGACGGTGCCGACGGCCCACGCATGCGCGGCTCGCCCTCGTCCCTCACGCCGTGCCCAAAGATGAGCGAGATACGGCACGTACTGCTGCGTATGGAGGAGCGGCGAGTGGAGGTGATGATGTCCGACATCGCTGCTCTCGCGGCCATCGGGACAGGCGGCACCGGCTCCACCGCAATCCCTGATGGCGACTTCTGGGACAGCCTTGCAAAGATGCTCAAACCACAGGAAGTAGCCGCAGCCCTGCACACGTCGTCGTCTTCCACAGCTCCATCATTATCGTCGCCCGGACACACTACGACGATGACGGTCGCCGAGGAGGCCCTGGGGCTGCAGCATATCCTTCTGCTGTGTCTTCTGCTGCGATACGTACTGTTGGTGCGGGCGGAGGCGGCCCAGAGAGACGCAACATTGTCGCAGCCACCGTCAACGTCGACGTCGGCGCTCGCGTCGCAAAGTAAACTGCCGCTGCCGATTGCCGCCTTTGCGGCGGTCAGCAGCGTCATCCGGCTGCGTAAGGCGTTAACAGCGGCGCCTGCGGAGGGCGGTGCTAACGTTGCCGACGTTGCGCAACGCACTTCTTCTGCGGTGATCCAAGACGTCATTGTGGTGCTCTCTGATGTTGTGTTGAAGCATGCGTACGAGATGGCCGAAACGTCGCACGTCCCTGCCTCCAGCCCACACCTGCCGGAGCTGACGACGTGGCTGCTACGTGAGATGGTCTCCAGCCCTGTGTGCGAGTTTCACTTTAAGCGACTGGTCGACCGCAGCATCACCGAGGCCCTCGTCGCGCTGGAGAAGAGCGGGCTGGTTAATCGATCCACCATTGACCTGAAGGTCGTCGTGCGCCAGCTGTTGCCGTTGCTGGAGAGCTGCAGCAGCGAAGACCTTTACACGTCCGTGCTGCGAGACGTGCTGTCGGCACTCGAGGAGAAGGCTCGACGCGACGGCTACGCCTTCTCTGCCGAGGACCTGCAGTACCTAGCGGAGCTCGGCACAAAGCTGTTCTCCAGCGGTCCGTCGGACAGCACCACCGGCGGCTACGGTCTTCATGATGAGACGGTACGCGCGCAAATGGAGGAGCTGCATGTGATGGACGGCAGCCCCTGGGCCCTCTGCGTGTCGTCCTACCGGTCTCTCAAGGAAATGCTGCAGGGGATTGTGCGGGATCAGCGGAGGTTGAAGGAGCAGGTGCAAGACCAGCTGCGCCAGCTCTCCAACGCCAGCACCTTGTCTGCCGTGATGAGTGGAAGTGGTGGGGAGACGGAGGCGGAGGCAACGAAAGACACGAGCGGCACCGCGAAGAATTCGAAGGCCCAGCATACACCGAGCTCAGAAAGTAGTGTGCACGACATCACTTCGTCCGCATCGACAGCGGCAGCCCCTCTATCGGGACAAGCTGGTCAGTCAGAGGGGGAGAGGAGTAGTGCGGGCGGCGGTGCAGCGCAGGACGCACGGCCCACGCCCGCCGCCCCACCACGCATTCCGGTGCCCCCGATTCTCCGCCAGCGTTTTCTTAATCTCATTGAAGAGTTGGTGAAGTCGCAGGTGGACGAGAGCTCGGCGCACTCAGAGAAGCCCATCGTGGTGAGCAGTGAGCTCTTTGCCTTCGTCACGCAGCACGTACCGGTGCCGAACATTCAAGATGAGTACCGTCGCAAGATTTTTTTGCTCGTGAACGTCGCTGAAGACCCGGCGACGACGCGGCAGCGCATCGCACAGCGCAGGGAGGAGCGCAGGCGCCGGCTGCGCGCAGAGGCGACCGCCGGGCCAGGAGGGGCGGAGAGACTGCGTCGGAGGATTCGAAAGCCGAACAGAGGCGATGCCGTCAGCGCGGAGGAGGAGGAGAATGCCAGGTGCAATCCGGTGGATATGCGTGTAGAGAAGGGAGAGAAGGATGAGGCCGACGCAGACCCGCATGGAGGGGCCAATGACATCCCAGCTGAGCTGCGCTTACTCGTCAGCTCGCTACCCCTCACGTTATCGCCGTGGGCGAGTGTCATGATCCTGCGCGAGGTCCTGGCGGAGTCGGCGGGCCGCAACCCGCGCTACACGTACGTGCTGAACGCAGCGATTGATCTTCAGCTGCCCATCTCCACCACCCGCTCCCGCATTGCGACGACGCTGAACATGTGGCGCTTCCTTAATACCCAATCCCACAAGCTGAGCTTGAAGGAGAGTCTTGTGATGAAGCAGCGCTGTGCGTGGAATCTGCCCCTGTCCTACATTCTGTCGTCCTACTGGTCCTTGCTGACGTGGCTCGCCCTGGCCAGCATCGTCGCGCTGAACGTCGTCGGCATCGACTGGGAGTCGCAAATTGTGGCTAGTTCGCTCTTTCGCATGTTCGCCCCGTGGGAGGAGATTTGTGCTACCCCGCCCGATGAGGAGAGTGCCGGGGAGACGTGGACGAAGCAGGCCGCCGCTGACCTGGCCGCGGACTACTTCGAGCAAGCCGAGATCGCCGACCGTCGTCGCGAGGAGCACCGGCGCAGCAGCACCAACGTTTTCCTCTCCTCCGCGTCGTACCTCGTTCTCGGCTACGACGACCAGCGGCGACCCATGACGGTCATCCCTATTGGCAGCGACGGTGCGGCGTCGGCTGAGGAGCGGGCTGCCGAGGAGTACGCCGCGGCGACCGCCGTCCTACGCGAGCTGTCTCTCCACGCACCCTTCCCCTTCTTTGTCGACATTGAGCGTGCACTGCCGATTGAGCTGGTGGAGACGCGCATTGCGGATCGAATTCGTCGAGTGTCCTTCAACAACACGTGGTTCCTGCCTCGCATGATCATCCGCACCTTCCCCCTCGGGCGACACTACACGGAGCACAAGCTTATCCTGCACACCTGCACCCAGGCCAACTTAACCCGACGCCGCGTGACGTTCCTCTTGTACATGCACGATGGCGTGGCGGTCACCCCACAATTCATTCAGAAGCTGAACGAGAGCTACCTGTCCAAGCACGCCAACCTCGTTCTCGTGATGCACGAGTCGAGTTTGCGGAAGGGCGGCACCACCCCCGCCTCTCTGGCGAAGATCAGCCAGTCCAGCGTCACCACCCACGGTGCGGGAGTTAGCGTGGGCAGCGTGGAGAGTGTAGCGAGTGCGGCGGCGGACATGATGGAGTCGGTGCTTCCGGATGAGGTGAGGGAAGCGGCGTTTGCCGCGGCCTACGCCGGCGTCGCACCGGACCAGCAGGTGCGTGTGCTGCCATTGTGTCGCCAGTACTACACCAACGACGGCACAATGGTGTCGGAGGCGATGCGAGTCAAGATGGAATCAGCTGGCACGAGCGTGCAAACAACGGCAGCAGCGGCCGAGGAGACCAGCGGGTGGTGGCATCGCTTGATGTCGTATGTACATCTACACGGCAGCTCCTCGTCAAGGCCTGCTGCGGCTGAAACAGCCGCGTCGCTTCCCCTCTTCGCGTCCGCATTTAGCGCACAGCGCGCCTCGCTCCGTCGCAGTCATGAGCAGCAATCAGACGATGTCACGAGCAACACGAGCAGAAATGCTTCCTTTAGTGCGCGAGCAGCTCAGTGGTGGAAGCAGACGTTGTTCGACGCCGTCGCCCCAGACAGTGGAGTAAAGAGAGCGGAAGATAAGAAGGAAGAGAATACGCAAAGGAGGGATGCGCCAAACACCGAGCACACCCCGACACTCCAAAAAACAGAGACCACCACGACGTCGCACGCTGCCCCCACGGCGGAGAGGCATTCACACGCCGACTACCCCAGCGGCTTTCAGGATGATGCGGTGGAGGATCGAGCGGGCAGGAACGTTGTCTCCGTCTCCTTCACGGCGCTGCGCCGCTTGATGGCGGAGGTGTCCGCGCCGGTGCCAATTCCGCGCAAGAAACACAGCTCCAACAGCAGCAGCAACGCTGCAACGAGAGGTTCCTTGTCATCCACCGCGGGTGTGACTGGATGTGAGGAAGGCAGAGACGCTTCTCCACCGCATGACGCGCACGCGTTGTCCCACCCCGCCCCCCACTCCTCCTCGTCCCCGGAGGAGGGATGGAGGCGCTTCTGGTCCGTCTTCTACGGCCGCACGACGGCGGCTCCCGCCATCGCCGAAGAAAATGCGGAGGCGCCGACAGCATCGTCAACTTCCGCGCCCACGCCGCAAACAACACAGGAATCTTCAGCGTCGTCCTCTTCTGCGCCACCGCCCCCGTCGCCACATGTGTCGCCGCTGTCCTTCTCTTCGATGCCGACGGCTGACTTGGCTCGTCAGAACGGCTCCAAATGGGAAGGTGAGTGGCAGAAAACGGACGAAATGCTCGCGCAGCTTCGACGCACCACCGGCGCAAACGCGTAAACGGCGCGTCCTTGTTGTGTTTTCTCTTCCCTCGGCCCATCCTGCAATCGTCTAGAGTTCGTCACGCATTTTTTTCCCCTTCTGTCGCCGCGTTTTTGCAGGCTGCGAAGGAGCCGCAGTTGCATGAGCGAAGCGCTGAAGCGAAGAAGGAAACACAAGGAACACCACAGAAGAAAGAGCGAAAAGAAAGACGGGGATGCTCGCAAAACGTTTTCTTCTTGAAAGCCGCACATCTTTTTATTGCGTTTTAACGGCTTTTTGAAAGTGTTGTCGCCTTGTGGATATCTGCGGCAGGCGCAGACGCAATCTTAAACCTCCCTTTGTAATGCTCTCTTGCTTCCACTCTTGCTTCCACTCTTTTTTATTCTTCTCTCTCCTCCGTAATCGAATCACAAATTCGCCATAATGAACACTTCTATGGTGTTTTTGTTCTTCTCGTCGATACACCGCCCTGTTCTTCACGAAGAAGTATTTCGTCGTCGTACACTACGTATTTTTTCTTCCTTTCTCATAAAGTAACGCAGCGCAGACATTGTTTCACCATAAAAGCACCTTAACTTGACTCACACCACTTCTTCCTTTTTACTAGGCTTCTTTAAAGGCAGGAGTCGCTAGACCATTTATCTTGCGAGCGCCCCCCGCCCTCAATCACACAAAAAATGGCCGCTCTCGCTGCAATAGACGCCTACGTGCAGAGCGGCGCTCCCATCGATGACCCCAGGCTCGACCAGTGGGTGCAGATGAGCGACATCTCCAACGCCGGCGGCTTCTTCGCAGGCGATGCCGTGACGGTGGCGGAGATGACGCGGCGCGTGACGAGCACCATTGTGACTAAGTACCTGAACAGTGAGGACACCAAGGAGGTGCCGCTGCGCCGCAAGACGAAGTTCTGCCTGCTCCTCAACAACTTCGCGCTGTACAAGCCGGTCCGCCAGGTTGTGTTCGAGAGCCTCGAGGCGATGACGAGCATCTTTGAGAAGTCTATCAAAGATGAGGGCACCATGCCGTTTGACTCCGAGCTGGGCCGCATGTCGGAGCACGTGCTGGTACTGCTGATGCGTGTGATGGACTACCAACTGACGGCCTCCGCGGTGCACGAGTTTGCGGAGCACAACACGCAGTTTGCCATTCAGCTGTTGTTGGCCATCTTGTTGAAGGAGCCGCCGTACGAGTTTGAGCTGCGGTGCAACTGCATTAGTGGTCTGCTGGGCTTCACGCAGCCCCAGGCGTTCTTCGGCGCGGGGGAGAAGATCGAGGAGCACAGCTGCACCAACTTCACGGAGAAGGTGGACTTCATGCTGAGCCTGATGCTGCGTCTGCAGGCGGTCCAGGTGGTGAGCGATGTGCTGGGCGACGCCATCGCCGCGACGGACGACGTGACGCCGCTGGTGCAGCACGCCGTGAACAACACGATGCGCACCATCATGAACATCTTCAAGTTCTGCTCCAAGGAGGCGACGCAGTGGCGCCAGCACATTTTGCTCTCTACGACGTTCCTCGACGGCACGGTGATGATGTACGTGCAGTCGCTGGCCGCCACCTTGCACGTCGCGATCACCGCCAACCCGCCGCGCGTTGCGGGCGAGCTGCTGCACTCGCTGAACCTGTCCTTCATCTTTGGTGCCTTCGCAACCTACAACATGGAGGAGGCCAGCGAGGAGGTGCGTATCTTCTGCACATTCTTCCACGACCTCTTTCAGCTCTCCATCCGCCCCGTCGTGACAGACGCGCGCCTGTCGGGTCAGGTGATGGTGATGTACACCAACCTGCTGCACTTTATGTGCAACGTCGATGCCATGGCGGACACCGACTTCCCGATGGACGACCTACTGCCGGAGCTGACGAGCTCGGCCCTGCGCGCCACTGTTGACGCCTTCATCCGGAAAGAGGTGGGCGGCTGTGGCTTGCCCTTCACCCAGGCGTGGTACCAGCAGTTTCGCCGCAACACGGCCGACACGCTGCTCGCGCAGGACTCATCGACCTACCAGTTTATTAATAAATCCTTCACAGACGTCCTGGCGCAGCTGTCGGCGAAGCAGGTGCCGGTGGTGGCGCCGAAGCAGCCCACTACGCGCCTGCTGGGCGAGATGCCGACCCTCAAGCCGGAGAAGAAGAACAAAATTTCCATCGCCAAGGCGGCGGCCCCGATTCAGCACAAGATTAAGCCGGGCGCGAAGGCCGACAACGTCGAGGGCGTCGACCCCGACCTGCTGTGCGCGCTGACCGGCCGTGTCATGAAGAATCCGGTGTCCTCGCCGTACGGCCAGACGTACGAGAGGGAGGCGATCATGACGTGGTTGGAGCAGAACGGCTCTGTGTGCCCAATCACCGGCAAGCCGTTGACAGCCGCGCAGCTGCGTCCGAACGAGGCGGTGGCGTCGAAGATGCTGCAGCAGATGGTGCGCCAGACCATGGCCACCCAGTCCGCAGCGGACGACGACATGTACAACTTCTAAAGCGTGCTGTCACAGCCGTGGCGCGCTAAACGCCAGGCGTGCGTCTTCGTTGTCTCCGGGGCTCTTCACTTCGTCCTGGGGTCGTGCGGTGTATGAGGTTGGGACGGTGGGCCTACTCCAGCAATTTGGGATTTCCTCCCCAGACGAAAATTCGATACGTCAAAGAATAAAAAGGAATAAATAGAGGGCTCTCATGCTGTGGACATCCGTCATATATAAGTAACAGAAGACAGTTGTGAGGCGAAGAAGCGTAGAGGTGAAGAGGACGATTGCTACGCGCACGACACAGGTGCGGAGGGAGATAAATCACGGTGCGCATCTCTCTCGAGCGTTGCGATTTGTGTTTGCGCTCGTCGTCGCCGTCGATGCCGTTCTCTCCTTTGATCGACGTCACTATTCGAGGTCTCAACACTACCTTTTTCTTTTCTTTTCACCGCCTTTATCGACACCGTGCGCACGTCAACACAGCGGCAAGAAGGACGGGTGGGGGCCGCCGAAGAATGTGCTGTAGTAATAGAGCGACGCGGAAATCGAACTGCGTGTTCATCAACTCGCGTCTGTGCTGATTAGAAGGGTAGGTGGAAAAGCTGCCGGAGGCTTCTCTTCTTTTACTAATTTTTTCCCTTTCAACCTCCGCTCTGCCTTTGTATTGGCTTTACTCTCTTTTCCTCGTGATCGCACGCACGTTTACACGGTCCTTCGAAAACAACTGTGTCGCACTGCATCTCCGTTTGGCAGCTTCTCGGGTCGTTTTCTGTGTTTTCGTTTTTTTTGTAAGAAGTATTATTTATAAAGCGTTATTTTTTGTTCCTCCTCGTCGTGGGAGAAGTCGCGTTGTTTCGGATGATCGGGACGGAGAATTATTCTTCTTTTGTTTGGATGGATGCTCTTCTTTGTGTTGCACAGGCCCGGTGCGGGGCGTTGGTGACAATGATGTCGTGCCAAGATGGTATTCTTATTTTTCGTTTTGAATCAGAAAGCTGTGTTGAGGAAGGTACTTCGCTGCTTCTCTTGGTCCCTTTGATGTGCATACGAGAGCCGAGGACTGGGTGCGCGTGCGAGTTGCTGAGTGATGTATATGAAAGCTGTTGAAGGGTAGAGGAGGCACGCTGAAGAGCAAGAATCCATCAACCATAAAAACAAAACCAGTAGGCCCTTGTTGCTTTTAACGGTGATCACGTGAGATCAATTGCAGTGAGGATGGTTACTGCGTTGTCTCCCTACACCGTCGCGGATCCTCTGTGCGAAGCGACGTAGTGGACGCGGCGCGCTCCACCGGAGAAGGGCGATGGGGTCTTCACTAGAGTTTCCCTCTTCTTTTTTTCCCTCAAACCTAAACGCACAAACACACACACACACACACACACGCACACGGGTGTAAGCTGGCGCCTCCAGGTCACAATGCAGCTCAGCGGCGTGCTTGTCGTGGAACCGAATTTGCATTTCTGAAGTTTCTGTCTCAGATCCCCAATCCATGTCTGAACAAGTCATCAAGTTTCTTTGCTGTTACCCCTCTTCTTTTCATTCTCTGACTGCGCCTGTTTTTTTTTTTTTGGCGACCATCAAATCTGCACCTTTTCGGGCGCCACCCATTCTCAGCTTATCAACTGGGGGCTGGTTTCTCCGCGTGGCGCACAAAGCAGCGGTGCCGCAATCAGGGAACAATAACGATAACTGCTGGTTGTCAAACACACCGTTTGCGAAACGGCAATCAAAGAGCCGTCACACTTCCTCCCCCTCCTAATAGATAGATAGTTCACTGGCGCTTCGTCATGTCTGGTGGAGGCGGCTTCGGCGGTGGACAGTCTCCCGGTGATGTCGTCAAGTCAACGCGAGACGTCACGGAGTCGGTGAAGGCGCAGTTCCAAGCAGCTCGCAAGAATCCAGAAAAGGAGCTCGGTATCCCGCTAGAGGAGCTGAACCGTCGGCAGCAGGAGGCCCGCAAGCCGCACACCTTCGTCAACAAGGAGACAGCGCGCAAGTTTGAGGTGAAGAGTTCCGCACGCGCCCAGCAAATCATGAACAAAGGCATCGACAAGTATCAACGCGAGAAGCGTCAGAAGGACCTCAAATTGAACATGTCTGTGCTGCGTAAAGCGCAGGTGGTGCTGTGCGCTGTTGCGGTTGGCTTCTTCGGCTGGTTCGCCGTCACCTATCTGTTGCCGCAGTACGCTGCGGTGCAGCATCGGAACCGACGGATGCAGATGCGTTACGAGAGGGCGCAGCACAGTCTTGAAGGCGCCGCGGACACGGGGATGGGCGGGAGGCCGGCGGACGTAGCAGCCATCGGACCACTTGTGCGTGTTTTCCGACTCGAGGATGATGGTGACACGGAGGTGAAGCGGCCCATTCAATAGGCGCGACACAAAGAAAAGGCTGATGCTCTCCGTCTTCGCTTGCTCGTCGTGAAGCATCAACAAATGTGGAGCTGCGCGGAAAACGAGTGTTGAAGAACACGCAATGCACGTAAGAGCACTGTCAGCTTTCTCTCCTCCATTTTTCTGTTCACCGTAGTCATTCCATTTTTTCTTTTTGCAAATGCCCTCCTTCTCTTTTGTTTTTGTCCGGGGTGTGATGGTGTTGGTGTGTTCTTTCCTTTAGCACCTCGTGCTACGTCACAGTGATTCAAGATGCGTCGAAACGGAGCAGCTCCAACAGCCCCGACAACACGCAAAGTTCGCATTTTGTATGAGTGTGCTGCGACCATTTTTTTTTTCTTCTGCCCACGGCGACAGATCACATCTTCACATTTTAAGAGGATCGTATCTGAGACCGTTTTTGTGAATGGGCGCGCGCGTACGTATTTTGGCGTTGTGTCCCATCTATTCAATGAACGTTTTATTTTCGATTCTTTTCATGTTCTCCCTTTCTTTTCTATCCTGCGATGAACTCCACAGCTATTACCACCGCTTTCAACTTTGTAAGACATTCAGTTCCATAAAAGGAGTTTCTTTCTACGGCGTTGGCGACAGGGGTCACCTGCAAGCTGTTCCGTTTTCCTCTATTATTTTCCAATATTTCTCCTCACTCAACGTTAACATATTTACTTTTCACGGTCTTGTCCAAAGAAGAAAAAAATATGCGCCGCTCACCTCTTCTACGCGTCGCGCTGGTGGCGCTCATCTTCCTCGGCACGATCTCCGCCACGTCGGCCGGCGACGGCCGCGGCACCCCCATCACCTTTCAGGCGGAGGTTTCGAAGATGCTCGACATTCTGGTGAACTCCCTCTACACAAATCGCGCCATTTTCCTGCGCGAGCTCATCTCCAACGGCAGTGATGCGCTGGACAAGATTCGCGTGCTCTACCTCACCGCACCAAAGGAGCCGCTAAACGCGGACGGCGTCTCGCCCACCATGGACATCCGCATCTCCTTCAACAAGGAAAAGAGCGAGTTGGTCATTCGCGACGGTGGCGTCGGCATGAACAAGGACGATCTTGCCGGCCACCTCGGCTCCCTCGGCACGTCGGGGACGAAACGCTTCCTGGAGAAGCTGCAGGAGGGCGGCACCGCCGGTGATCAGAACAACCTGATCGGGCAGTTTGGTGTCGGCTTCTACTCCGTCTTCCTCGTCGGCGATCGGGTGCGGGTGGCGTCGAAGAGCGACGACGGCGATGAGCAGTACGTGTGGGAGTCAAGCGGCAACGGCCAGTACTTCCTCTACCCCGACCCACGCGGCAACACGCTCGGCCGCGGCACGGAGATCACGATTGAGCTGAAGCCGGACGCGGAGCAGTTCCTCTCGGCCGAGACGATCAAGAAGACGGTTCACCAGTACAGCGAGTTCATCAACTTCCCCATCTACGTGGAGGAGGAGGTGACGGTGGAGGCGGCGAAGAAGGAGGACGCGGACACGGAAGACAAGGCCCTCGACGAGGATGAGGTGGAGGACGAGGTGGAGGCCGTCCCCGTCACCGAAAGGAAGTGGACGCTGGTGAACGAGAACCGCCCCATTTGGACCCGTCCGATCGGTAACGTGACAGAGGCGGAGTACAATAAGTTCTACAAGGCCTTCTCCGGCGACTATCGCGACCCCCTGTACTTCAATCACTTCCGCGTGGAGGGCGAGGTGGAGTTCGACTCCATTCTTTTCGTGCCGGCTGCAGTGGACCCAGCGACTTTCTCGGACGACAACACAGTCCCCAACACCAACATCAAGCTCTACGTGCGTCGTGTCTTCATCACCGACGAGTTCCGCGACCTCCTGCCGCGCTACTTGAACTTTGTGAAGGGCATCGTCGACAGCAACGACTTGCCGCTAAACGTCTCCCGCGAGGTGCTGCAGGAGAGCCGCATTCTGCGTGTCATCAAGAAGAAGCTGGTGCGCAAGGCCCTCACAATGTTCTCCGACATTGCGGAGCAGGACGAGGCGATTGCGAAGGGCACACAGTCTGAGAGTCCCGCGCCGTCCGGGCACACCCACCTCACCCAGCCCACCTACGCGAAGTTCTGGGAGCTCTTCGGCAAGCACCTGCGCCTCGGTGTCATGCTGGACAGCAATAACCGCAACCGCCTGACAAAGCTGTTCCGCTACAAGTCTAGCAAGAGCGATGGCGCCTACATCAGCCTGCAGACCTACGTGGACCGCATGAAGAAGGGTCAGAAGGGCATCTACTACATCTCTGGCGACACGATCGAGCGCATTCAGAAGTCGCCGATGCTGGAGGACGCGGTGAATCACGATGTTGAGGTTATCTTCATGACGGACGCCATTGACGAGTACGTGGTGGCGCAGGTGACGGACTTCGCGGGCAAGAAGCTGATCAACCTCGCGAAGGAGGGGGTGCAGTTTGAGGAGACCGATGCCCGCCAGCGCGTGATTGACAAGAAGCGCAAGGAGAAGTACGAGGCCCTCTTCACCCGTCTCCGCTCCCTCTTCGGCTACGCGGAAGTCCGCAAGGTTATCTTGACCAAGCGGCTGACCAACGAGGCGTTTATTCTCTCCTCGGGCGAGAATCAAATCACGGCGCGCCTGGCGAACATCATGCGCGGCCAGTCCATGGCGCTGATGGACCAGCAGACGACGGCGGAACGTGTGCTGGAGGTGAACTACCGCCACCCCCTCGTCGACGAAATGTTTAAGCGCTTTGCGGTGGACGAAGACGACGCGGTCGCGATGGATGTGGCGTGGGTGCTGTACGACACGGCGAACCTGCAGGCGGAGTTCCCGGTGGCGGATGTTGCGGCCTACTCGCGCCGCATTAACCGGCTCCTGCGCAGTAGCGTGGATTTGGCGGCGGATGAGACGCTGCTGCCGCCCGACGACGCTGAATACGCCGTTTCGACCACCGAGGCAGCGGAGGAGGAGGAGGGCGAGGCGGCCGCGGAAAACGCCAACGCCGCGGAGACGGACGACGACGATGAGGCCGACTTGTAAATATACAACGGCGGAAGAGGGAAGAACGATTTATTGGGTTGTGCTTCTTCGCTTTGCCTTTTTCTTTTGAACCTGCGGGGAGGACTTCTACGTGGGCAGGATCGCCGTGTGCACACACAACAGCGCTGAATTTAGCGCCCCTCCTTTTTTCTCTTTTCTTTTCACTCCAGAGACGACGCATTCATCACGACAGACGCGTTAATTGATGACTGGGCTTTTTCAGATTAACGTGATCACAACACCTTGGCATCTGCTTAGTAAAAGATATCGATGCACTCTCTCCGTGTTGATGAAGGAACCTTCTGCACCACGTGCAGGAACTTCACTAAGAAAAGGTGTGTTCGCTCTCTTAAGACAACGATAACTAAAAAGAAGAAAGAAGACACCAATGCGCCGTATCCATTTATGTAAAGGAAAGCAATCAGTGCAAGCAAACGTGCGCGGTTGCTGTTTCAAAGCAACGTCACGTGTGTGTCGTGCCCTGACTGTGGTGGAATAAGTGCTGGCGTGTGATACTGTGTTGGAAAACGAATTCAAACGATGCAGGTGGAAAAGGACGGCAAGTCAGCCCTGCACGTGGAAAAGCGAAGGTATTCTGAACATAGAAAGCAGTACTGACTTGCCATCCTTTTTTTTTTGCCTGCAAATACCTCAGAGAGAAGGTCATACACTTAACATGCTGAAGCAACGTGGCAGAGTTCTCTTGGCTTCTGATCGATGGATTGTGTTCTTGATGCCTCGCGCTTTACACGTGTGATGGGCTCGCGGTTTGCCCAAGCAACGTACTGCGTGTCTGCCATCCAGCTTTGGTTCCGTTACTATGAATCCTTGTGTCCTTCCTTTTTCTTTTTTTCTGATATACTTATACACCTGCTGCTCAGCACTTACTGTGTTGAAAAGGAAAAGCGGAGTTGAGCTCAGGAAACCGAAATTGCTGACCTACATCGCTCTTCTGTTTGCAAGGTTCGAGAAGAAGAAGATCTGGGTCTGCTGCTGCGTGCAGACAACACCTATCTAACCCCACCTCCGCACGATCACGTGTATTGTAAAAACAACAACAGCAGAGTATTCAGCTCAAGTTTAGGATGTTCGCAGAGAGTTGCGCCGCCACAACGACCACCGCGTCATCGCCGGCGAAGGCGGTGAAGCTTGGCGGTCAGCTTCGCTCCTCTGTTCGCGTGATGGATCGGCTGACGAGTAGCCACCTCGACCATCTCGTCGCATCGCGCCGCAGCGGCGACGCCGTCTCTCGTGACTCCCTCGCTGCCCTCTACTCTCTAGCGACGAAGCTGCATTCACCCGCTCTGCGCTTCGCATCGAATGCGATCGAAACGAGTAGGGAGCGCCACATCACGACGGAGCAGATATGGGGGCAGCTGAGCATGCTGCTGCGGCCCGTCCTGCGCCAGCTCCAAGAGGGTGTGCGCAAGGCTGAGAAGCTGTACGGCGATGGCACGGAAGGCAGGAAAGAGGGTAACAAGAGGAGACGCGCAGCGCAGCAGCTGAGGAGGAAAGAGAAGGCAGATGCGGACGATGCCAGCGATGCCTCAGACAAGGACGAAGACCTGCGTGGTGTGGGCGGCTCCGGTGCGGCGGCCGACGACGTCCTCTCCACCCGCACCTCCGAGCTGGACGAGAGCGACCTCGACGAGGAGATCGCGGACCTCCTCCAGCGTCAGGCGGCGAAGAAGAAGGCAAAGGGGAAGGAGGCGAAGAAGGACGACGACGGCGCGGATGCGTGGCGCTACGCGTTCGGCAAGAGCAACCTCGATGAAGACGACGAGGAGGAAGACGACGACGACTGGGACGGCGAGGACTCGGACCGCGGCACATCACGTCGTCGCCGGCGCGAGGAGGCGGCCGCAGACGAAGAGGCGGAGGAAGACGAAGACGATGATGAGAAGGCAGGCGACCGCCGCACCCGCGATCGCAACCTGCGTGCCATGGCGGACGCCGATGACGAGGAGGAAGAGAACGATGCGGATGAGGAGCTGGCAGCCCTGAAGGAGCTCTACGGGGAGGACTTCGAGGACGATGGGCGGGGCTTTGTCGGCGACGAGGAGGACGAGGACCCCGGCCTCGCCGAGGACATCGAGCTCGACGACCCCGCCAACGAGGACGGACGTGGCGGTGATGCCGCCGCGTACAGTGAGCGAGACGGCATCTACTTTGGCAAGGGTGACATTTTAAACGACGAGGCCGGCGACTTCGAAGGGGCGGAGGGCGGCCTGTACGGCGACGAGGCCGCCTTCGAGGATGAGGACGGCTTTGGCGACGAAACCGGCGACCACGGTGGGGCGGATGGAGAGGCGGAGGAGGAGATGGACGAGGAGCTGGAGGCAGCTCTGCGCGATCCGAACCTCTCGGACCTCCAGAAGGAGCGTCTTCGCGAGCAGCACATGGTGCGCAAGATGGAGGAGAAGCGGCTGTTTGGCACGGACTGGAGTATGACCGGCGAGACGGCCGCCAACAAACGTCAGCGTGATGCGCTGCTCGAAGTCGACGATCTCGAGTTTGAGTACGGTATGAAGGCGACACCCGTGGTGACGGAGGCTTTCACGGCAAAGCTGGAGGACCGCATTCGGCAACGCATCCAGGACGAAAACTTCGACGACGTGCAGCGCAAGACGACGCTGTCGACGGAGGCGGACATCGCGAAGCCCAAGTACGACGCCGCCCTCGACGCGCAGAAGTCGAAGATGTCCTTGATGGACCTCTACGAGAAGGAATTCCTCGAGAAGCAGCGACTGGCGGAGGAGGGCGCCGGCGGGCCTGGTGCCCCAAGCGCGGAGCCTCTCACCGAAATCGAGAAGGACGAGCTGCGCGCTATTCAGATGTGGCAACGTCTCGCCCAGCACCTCGACGCCCTCAGCAACTTCCACTTTACGCCGAAGCCGGTACAGCAGGACCTCGACGCCCGCGTGCGTGCGGTGGAGAATCAGGCCCCGGCGGTGGTGATCGAGAACGTCGGCAACTTCGCCACGACGCGCGAGAACGCGCTGGCCCCGCAGGATTTGTACCGCGGCTCGTCACACCGCTTCGCTGATGTTGGCACAGATGAGCTGACACCGAAGGAGCGTCACGCTCTGCGCCGCGCCAAGAAGGAGACGGGGAAAAAGGACAAGGAGCGCAAGGAGGACCGCGATAAGCAGCGCAAGGAGGCTCGCAGGAAGAAGAGTGAGGAGGAGGCTGTGGCGAAGGATGCGAAGGGGAAGTAGCTGCCGCGAGCGGTGACGAACGTTCGTGTTTTCACTTCACGTTTTCTTCTCTGTGCTTCACGCCTCTACGGAGGGGAGAGTAAAATAACGCCGTTTTCTTGCTTGGCAGAGAGAGCGCCTTTTTTCCTTTGTTGCTGCGATTAATTGACGTTTTTATGTAACTCTAAACGTGCGATTTCCCATTTTTGGGCGAATCACACAGCGTATAACGGAATCTACCTGATAAGGCATGCGATGCTGCCGCTGCCATTTAAGGCCCTGCGGTAAGAAGGAAAGAGAACCCTCGCATGAGAGCTGCCACGCAGCAGTGCAGCGACGCTGATATGAACATACACGCGTTTGTATGAGCCGTTGACGCACAAAGAAAAGGGAGATCATTCGTATCTTGGGACCGACCTAAATCGTGTGCCGCAGTTTTATCGTGATGGCTAGTTGAGAGCTGAGTGTGTGCGTGTTTAGTAAGCCACCGTTTTCTTTGCCCCCCCCGAGCATACATATTCCTTTTTATGTTCGACAAAAAAAAAGAACTGGCTTTTACTTCTGTCCGTCTGCGGGCGGAATGCCGGTGCGTTTCGCTGTCCGCGCCGGCCTGTGTGCCGCCTGTTCTCTACTCGGGTGCGCTTTTCTGCTTCTGTCCGATGCTTTTCATTTCCATCCTGCACCGTACTCCTGCAGGTGACTTCTCTATATCCAATACAACGCGTCTCTAAACTTTTTATCTTTGAGGAGCAAACGGAGACCATGCACAACTGCGGACGATTGAGTTAATAGTTGGTGTGGCATTGCCCTTCTTCTTTTTGCTCCTTCTTTTTTGTTTTGTTTCGCGTCTCCTCGCGTCTCCTCGCTGCAATGAGTGCTTTCCTTCCAGCCACGGCAGACACCGTGCTCACGGACAGGGAGATGGAGTTGTGCCTGGGCCACTACACGAGCGACAAACCCGCGAAGGCGTGGATCGCAGAAGGTGACTCCGCACCCCGCCTCGTTTGGGACGCTCACGACGAACTCGCGCGGTATAGCGACGCGCTCACGGGCACATCTGCCGCCGCCAGCTCATCTGCACCTCTCCCAAGCTCGAACCCACGCTGGCGCGATCAGTTCTTACAGCTGCACCGTTCAAGGACTGCGGAAACGGCTCAGCGGCGCACCGGCGCGCCGTCCGCGTCGAAGAAAGCGAAGGCGGAGACGGAGTACGTGCTCATATCCGAGGACGAGGGGGAGGAGCAGGAGGCAAAGGAGAAGTTTTCTGCCAGGCCTTCACAAAAGCCAGAAAGATCCGCGACGCGACGTGAGCAGCTCGCAGCTGTTGCGCCGCGCAACGACACCACGGTATCTCCCTCTCCCCGCCGTAGTGGTGGTACCAGCGCTAGTCAGAGATCGCAGCGGCAGAGTACGGGTAGCAGCGTAGTGGTGATGAGCCAGCCGGCGAAGAAGGCGGCCGATGCCGACGCCGAGAAGTCGCGCAGAGGACACTCTGCCACCTCCACGTCCGCCTCACGATGGCGCGAGCAAGCGGACGGCGATGAGGTGGGGCAGAAGCGCCAGCGGTCAATGGAGGAGTTCATGTATCGCGGAGCGTAAGGAGTCTTGTGCTGGGTGACAGGAGGCCGCACTGATGCCGCAGTTTCGGCTGGATTGCCAACGGCCTCGGCTAGGCATTATCTTTTTTTTTTAGTCCTTTTCTTGCTGAAGAGACATTTTTTTCTTCTCTTCTTCCTTCACGTGTACCTCCTTTTCTTTTTAGGTTTCCTGAAACTGCCGGACCCGCTTTTGGTGCTTTTGCTGCCGCGAGACAGCGGTGCACATTTCTACTTTCACCCTTTGCTGAAAACACATACACCACCTTTTGAAGAATTACCCAGCAATACGATATAAGACGCGCTTCCAAGCAAGAGGAGAGCCAAAATCGTAGGAATCATTTCGCACGGTGTGGTGCGGGATGTGGTTGTGTGTGCTTTGCCTAAGCAACGCACTTCAACGGTTTCCTCTGTGGTGGTTGCACCCCAGAGAGAAGATGTAAAGGAGTGGACGTCGTGCCGGACAGCATCGTCGCAACTTCTACGTGGCTGGTTGGTGGTTTTCCCTCACGCTCTCTTCGCTCCCTCCTCTTCTTTTTTTTCCGGTTTTCGACGTCTTCCGCCGTACACTCTTCACGTCAGTTGGCGGCAGCACACACTCGCACGTTCTCGTGTACGGACGTTTAGAAGTAGGCTTGCGCCGACCGGACCGCGACGTCTAAGTGCCTCCCCCCTTTTTTCCCTCTTGCGTACCTTCTCTTTTTTTTCTATATTACAGCAAGTTATTTAAATAAGCGTTAACGTAATTATCAAAATATATATATATATTGAAACAAGGAAGCGAATACAGTGCAACGCAGCTTCTACCCACCTCGCTAGCGAAAGCTGTGAAGGCCTCCACCTCATCAAATACATATACATATATATATATTTCTGTCCGTTGTCGATTATAGCAATAATATCGTTGTTTTAACACCACAACACCTTCAAAACAAGGAGGAGAAGAATGCCTTCGTTTCAGATGCACCCCGGCTTTGCCGGCCAGAACATCCGCAGCAACCCATGGAAGCCGACGCAGATGATCATCTCCGCCTCGCAGCACTTCGGGATTGTGGGTTCGGGTAAGGTGTACATTGTGGAGACAGCGCCGGGTTTTCAGGCCGGTACCCCGGTCTCCCTCCTCGGCTGCTGGGGTACGTCGGACGGCGTGTTCGACGCCTGCTTTAGTGAGATGGACCAGAACATCGTCGTGACGGGCTGCGGGGATGGCGTGAAGGTGTACAACGTCGGCATGAGCGCCAACCGCGACTGCGTGATGCCGCTGATTCACAACGCGGAGCACCAGGCCGAGGTGTCCTGTGTCGCCTGGAACACGGGTCGCCGCGACACCTTCTACTCCAGCAGCTGGGACACAACCATCAAAATGTACAGCGCCGCCAAGCCGGAGGTGTCCATCCTGACCATGCAGGAGCACTTCAAGGAGGTCTATGAGGTCGCCACGACGTCGCACAGCCCGTCCTCCATCTTGTCCTGCTCCGGCGATGGCACGTGGAAGCTGTGGGACACCCGCTCGCCGCAGCGCTCCGTCCTCACGCAGATGGCACACCAAAACCAAATTATCCTCTCCGTCGACTTCTGCAAGCGCGATCCGAACATCTTCGCCAGCGGCGGCGTCGATCGCACGATGCGGGTGTGGGACGCCCGCCGGCCGAATCAGCCGCTCGCCTCGTTTCCCGGCCACGATCAGGCCTGCCGCCGTGTGCGCTTCTCCACGCAGAACTCGTCGATGATCGCGTCGAGCGGCTACGACATGCGGGTGTGCATCTGGGACCTCACGAAGCCGCAGCAGCCCCTGGTCGCACGCTACCAGCACCACCGCGAGTTTGTCGTTGGGCTGGAATGGTCGCAGGCGGCGCCCAACGCGATCGTCTCGACCAGTTACGACGGCACGGCGTTCTTCTGGTCGCTGGGGCAGAACCCGACCCCCTCGCCGCCGGCACAGCAGCTGCCACCTGCGATGCCGCCTCCGCGTGTGCCGCGCCCACGTACGCGGGTGCTGCCGGGGCTGCCGTCACCGGGCATGCCGATGCCCATGTCTCCCCCGCGCTCTCCTCGCTCACCTCGGTAGCCACAAAAATAATAGTTTTCAAGTACAAGTATATACTAATGAAACACTCAGCAGGGTATGCGTGTGGGGGTTGGGAGAGGTCGGCGGCAACGACTTGCTGTGCAGGTCGATATATCAAAACAAAAAAGAAAACGAACCCAACTTCGTCGTTAATGCTGGCGTCAGTCCTCGGTCATCGGGGGGTGGAAGCCGGTGCCCTCCGGCGGTGGGCTTTTCGAACTGGTCATTCCTTATACTAACACGCGTCTTGAGACGGCAACAAAAGATATTTTTTTTTCTGTTCTAAGAGTTGTTATGGGTCTCGCTCTTCGCGAGCGGTAAATAAAGAAAACCGAAGGCCGTCTCTGTCGGCGCGTGATGCAAAAAAACAGAAAACGAAGCGGGGCGTCTCTGCATCATCAGCAACGCTTTTGCGCCCTCTTCTTTCCTTTTCCCTTACCCTCTCGTTGGTAATAGCAAAGAGTGACTGACTGAGGCGGAATGTGCGTACCACTACTGCGCCGTCTCATTCGGAGCTGCGCGTAGCCTTCGCCAAATTGTCCGGTGTGATGCGGACAAAAGAAACACGAGCAGTACTTTGTTTGCATATATATATGTGTGTGTGTGTGTGCCCTGACGTTAGCTCTCCTCATCTCTCTCTTCTTCGCTACACTTTCCTTTTGTGCTCTGCCATCCGTAGTCGACATCTTCTTGTCGTTAGCGATGTCGAGCAGCCGCGCCTCCTCCCCGCGCGCGAAAACGCGGGCGTCAAAGAAAACGGCTGCACACGGAAGTGGCCCACCCAAGCTCAACCTAAACGTGCAGGACCGGCGGCACAAGACGCGACTCGAGAACGAAACACAGCGGCGCAAGGACCAGCTGCTAGGGCTGACCACCTACGACGTCGCTGCGCACCTGCACCGCTACACCGCTGAACCGAATGTGGTGATGGACGAGAGCAGGGAGGGGTGCGCGTCATCACCCATGACGAAGCAAGACAAATCTCCCACCGGCACGAGCACTTCCCCCGTAGGTGCCGGCGCGACGGGGATTCTGCGAGCATCAATGGGTGGGGAAAGCGACGTCAACACGCGTTGGCAGTCGCAATACGCCCAGCGCATGCAGCGCAAAAGAAACACCGCGGAACTCGCACAAAGTCTGACGTCCTCCTCCCCTTCGGCCTCTCCGCGGCTTCGAACTGGGGACAGGAGCGCCAACGACGATGAGGACGAAAAGGCACTGCCGCCCCCGCCCAACTCCTATGAAGAGTGGATAGCCGCCGGCTGCCCAACTGGGTCGTGGGCGGCGCTGCTGCAGGATGAGGTGTACGCGCCGGCGGCAGCGGAGAAGGCGCTTCTGGAGGCAAAATACGACCCGAAAGGACGAGTCCAACCGCAGCTGTCGTGATGTCTGCTCGTGTCCGGTTGATGCCCAAGCAGCTTCCGAAGGATATGGCGATAACCTTGTCGGAGCACTGCCTTTCTTTTTCTTTTTGAAAAGCCGGGATGTAAAAGAAGCGTTTCCCTTTTAGCAATGATCCAAGAATGGATTGCTTACGCTCTTCTGCTGCCTTTCGCTTTTTTCTTTTTCCGCTTCTTGAATCACAAGGTGCTGAACGCGTTCACAAAATTGCAGCACGGTGCGCTCTTCTGGTGTGACGACGCGGAGCTTGCCGGCGTCGTGCGGCAAAGTCCACCCCGCGGGGGCGCGCATCACCAACGACAGCGACTGTCGGAATGTTCAATAGCCTACTTCATCTTCTTTTTTGAGTTTGCTTTGCCCACTAATTGGAACCCCACATATTTGTTTATATATTTTCTTGAAATGCATAAGTGAACTCGATAAGTCGGTGAACAGAAAAGTGTCTGTACAGTCGATAAAGACGGGCGGCTTACTTTCTGAAGAGCATCGGCACCACATGAAGCGCTGCGCTGCTTTCATTCCTCTCCTGTGAGCAAGCTGGTGCGTCTACGCTGTCTACATTTTTTTTGCCTTTGTGCAGCCACCGCGCTGTTTTTGCAACGCAGCCGACCAAACACACTAACCTCTCTACACAGTCTTTTCTTTGTATCCCCCTCTATCTCTCTTCGCACTCACTGCGCGCATCACACTACGAGACTTGTACTTCGTGCTTTTACAAAAAAAAAAAGGAAGCGATAAAATCCCCATGCTGAGCCCTTCAAGTGCTGTCCTGAGCTGCGCTTCTGACTCGTAAGGTGAAAGGAATTCTTCTTCGGCCTAGCATTGCTATCGAAAAGCATTAATAAAGACCTCCTTGCTCCTTTTTCTTCGCACCTTTTTTTTCTTTTCTTTCTTTTCTTTCTTTTCTTCACACAAACACCCCAAAATTGTATCAAAGCTTGTCATAAAGCTTTTGTCTTGCTCACACAGAAGCAACCGGCCCCAGCACCACCAACGACACCATGTTGCGCCGTACCTTCTACTTCCTAGCCTTGCCCACAGACAAGAAGGCCTTCATGGAACTCGTCAAGACGTTGCGCTACCGCACCGAGGCGCCCATCACCGACTGTACTGCGGCGCTGAAGGAGACGGATGGGGACATGGATGCGGCCATGGAGGCGCTGCGCAAGCGGGGAGCCGCGCGTGCCATGAAAAAGGGCGACCGCGTCACGGAGCACGGCTTCGTAGTGAGCTGCGTCGGCTCGACGCCGGCGAGTGGGGCTGCCATCATCACCGTGTGCAGCGAGACGGACTTCGCGGCGCGCAGCGACCACTTCCAGCGCATGTGCATCAAGGCCCGCGATCACCTGCGCGGGCTGCTCGATGAGACGAAGGGGACGGTGCTGGCGGACCCCGAGCAGGCGGTGAAGCAGCTGAGCGAGATCATGGTTGACGAGGTGCGGGCCGGCATTGCGGTGCTGGGCGAAAATGTTCGAGTGCGCAGCGTCGTGCCCCTGCGTCCCGCGCCGCACGCGGCGGAGCACCTGCTCATTGGCAGCTACACCCACGGCTCGCTGAACACGGAGGATGTGGGCCGCATTGTTGGCCTCGTCGCGGTGAGCCAAACGCGCGAAGATGAGGTGATCTCGAAGGATGTGCTGACGTCGGTGGGCCGTCACTTCGTCGCCACCTCCGGGGCGGAGGGCAACTACGCCCACCAGAACTTCTTTGGAAGCGAGACGGAGACGGTGGGGAAGTGGCTGAAGCAGCACAGGCTGAAGTTCAGCAGCAGCGTGGTGCAGGAATTCGGGAAGGAGCCGGTGGTACACACGGCGCCGGAGCCACACAGTTAAGGCAAATGCCTGTAATCGAAGTGTATGTGTGGGTCACTGTGTGGCGGTGGAGAGGATGGAGCCTTGGGAGGTCGAGGTCCGCTTTCGCCTCCGTTTTTTTTTCTCTCGCTTTATTGTCGTCTTAACGGGCGTTGACGTGCGCTGTTGAGGACATTTCACTTATATATATATATATATATATATATTAAAAGGCTGTGCATTAGGACTGGCGCAGCGATAGGACCGGACAAGAAACGCTTCGGCTGACAACAAGAATGGGAAGAGTACCAACTACTCCGCCAACAAAAAAAAACACACAAGCAAATATGGAGACTGTGAAGGAAGTTGGCGTCAACAGGAAAAATGATGTGTGTAGCGCGGCGCGAAGGGGTCGTTTTCGTTCCTGCGTTTTCGGCTGCTTAAGTGGCATTTGGAAAAGTAGCTGAGAGGGAAGTAGGGCCCGCCGCTCCACCCCGCGTTGGCCGGAAGCTGCGTGGAGCGCAAAGCGGCAAGCAAGACAGATGCCCCGCCACACTCATTGTGTGTTTCATTTTGAATTCTTGCTCCCGTGTCGGATGTTGACGATGGACCTGCGCTCACCTCCATTAGCACTCCCATCTTCTTTTTTCTTTTACATTTCATCATCATCATCGCTGCAGTACTTTTTCTGTCTGCCTAGTGCGATCACTGCTGCCCGCCCCCCCCCTCCCCTCCGATCGCGTCCCTAGCAGCACCCCCCGCACTGACCTTCAAACGGCAGGCGCTCACCAAAAGCTCCACGACCGCTCGTGGGTGTCTTCTCGTTTACCCCGCCGGCAAAAAAGCGAAGCAGCGCGTCGCCGTCGGTGACAGCACCGGCCTCTTCAGGGTCTTCTCGATTGGGAAGCGGCTGGAGCCGGTGGTGGCCTTCGAGACACCGGAGACGGTCGTGCCGGGTGGTGGCGCTGAACAAGGCAAGAAGACGATCGCCGCTGCGACTCTCTACTCGGATCAACTCTTCTTTATCCAAGGCAGCGTGCTGCACGCGTACTCGCGAAAAGGCAAGCCGTTCTTCACCGTGGACACCAATGTGACGGAGAGGGTGAATGCCTTGGCGATCGACACGCCGTTTATTTTTATTGCCGGCGACTTTATGGTGACCACCATGAAGGAAACAAAAGAAATGGGCTTTTACTTGTCTCCCGATCGGGTGAACGACATGTGTGTCTTCGTCACACCAAGCGCAACGTCCAATAGTGAAGAGCGCCAGCTGGAGGAGTACATCTGCTGCCTGGCGTGCAACGATCGCGTGCTGCGCCTTATACAATCCAACAAGTTGATAGAAGAAGTCAGCTGCGAGGCGGCACTTACCACGTTAGTCTTTCTCCAATCGGAGAAGCTCCTCTTCTACGGCACCCAGTCCGGGTCTATTGGGGTATTGACTGTGAAAGAGAGCGGCGGGCTGCACAGGGTTGGAAGCTCCGTGCCAAACAGCGGCAGCAGCAGCAGCAATATTACCAGCTTCGGTTTGGCGGACGTTAACGCTGACGGCCAAGATGAGCTGTTGGTGGGCTGCGACGATGGCACAGTGAACGTCTTTGCCCTGCAGCTGACTCGCTCCTCCAACACGGCGGTCGAGTCCGTCGCTCTCGCGCTGGTGTGGACCGGCAGCGTCGGCGAGCGGGTGACGAGTGTAGCGGGTGGTGTCATTACCGGCGCACCGGAGCAGCCCGATGTGCTCGTCCACACGTATAGTGGACAGATTGTGGCCTTCACGCTCGACACGGACGCCGTGAAGGAGGACGTGCAGGCGGCTGCGGCAGATGCGGCGGACCGGCAGGCGGCGCTGCTGGCAAAGCAGGAGGACACGCAAAGCGAGATTGCCAAGCTTCGCCGCCTTATTGCACAAAGGACAGAGGAAATGAATGCGGCGCCCGCCGTTCCAGCTGCCAAGGCGGCGGCACCTCCTGTGCTAACGGTAACCGCCACCTTTGCGCTGACGGTGACTCTCACGCCTCTTGAGGCCGCACCGATGCTCTCCTTAGTGATCTTCGCTGATGTTCCTTTAGAAGGTGCGATGGTGCGGTGCAACTCGCAGCTGACCTTTGTGTCGACGAAGAGTGCGGTGGTGAAGACTCGCCCAGCAGCAGGATCCGCCACAACGTCCGCCTTCTCCGCTTCCTCTTCCGCCCCTCTCATCGCCACCATCCGCCCAGTGCAGCACGGGAGTAAGCGCGTGGAAGTACACCTTTGGGCGGACGAGGTCGTCGCGGACACGCTGCAGATAACCGCCTACAATGGACAGGCTCCACGGACAGCACAGGTCAAGTACGTGCCTCTCTACGCACTCCCCTTGTACGTGCGCGTCTCCTCCGACAGCTCGGCGGCCCTCGCACCGGAGTTGCTGCAGGCGATGTCGCGTTGGATCGTGCTCGGCAACTTCCTCGGTCAGGACGTGCTGGAGTGGATGGGGCAGCTCTTGCCGGACTTGGCGGACATCCCCCACCGTGCGACGACGCGTCGGCACATCTTCGTGAGCGACTTTCTGCAGTCCACGTTGGTCGTGGAGCTCGACGAGGCCGAGGCCGGCAGCAGCGGCGGCGGGGGTAATCGGGCCGTCTTCAGCTGCAACTCCCTCGTTACCCTCGCAACGGTGAAGCGGCACGTGTCGCAGGCGTGTGCGCAGCTCGGCGTGACCATCACGACGCGTGAACACGTACTCTTCCTGACCGCGCAGCGCCAGCTTCAGCAGCTCTACCCGATCATGGCGAGTCTGTCGACGAGTCAGCGACGACTGCAGCTGTTAGAAGGTCTACGCGAGCTGCAAGGCGCAGAAAACGACTTGAGTTTCCTGCCCAACCCGCTGCAAGAGGTGCTGGCCTCCGCCGAAGAAGTCGAGGTGGAGGCAGAGGCGCAGTCTCACCAGGAGTCGTTCCTGAAGCGCGCCGTCGCCGCCATTTACCGCAGCCTCGTCTACTTCAAGGGCCACGCCCCTCCACTCAGCGACGCGGTGCGAGTGCGGTTGGAGTCCGCCGCGTGCGGCCTCGGCTTCGATGCGACGCAGCTGGAGCGCATCTTCTTCCCCCGCGATGAGCAGCACGAGGACGCGACCGCACTGGAGGCGGGTGGCGGGTCGGCGTATTTTCCCATCACCACCGCCACGTCACCGACAATGGAGAGTGCTGCGACCGAGGCCGCTCCTGCAGTAGCTGCCGCGGCGCTGCGCGAGACGTCGGAGGTGCCGAGTGCGATTATCTCCGCCTCGACCTTGAACGAGGCATATGAGCTATAAGGGGAGAGGGGGAGGAGGAGCAGCGGACCCCAGTAGGGCGCCTCGCACTGTTGTTTTTTTTTTTCGTAGAACGCACCCTTTTCTTTGTTGCGTTGGCGGTTCATTGTTGTATCGTAGATGGAGAGAAGTCCTGCGTGGCGGCCCGCTTACGTGACTCTCTGCAGCACCGTTTCTACTCGACTCATTCTCATTCCCAGACGGTTATGACGGTGTGTCGTCGTTGCACTGCAGAAACGACCTAAAGAAGTGTCTTTAAGAGCGGCTTCGAAAAGTGCCGCGTTTTCCCTTCGGCCCTGCGCGAAGAGCGGTGTGGGAATGATGCGTGTATGGAGGTTGCACAGCAGCTGCGTGTGAACGGGCTCTATGGATACCCTCTTGCTGTTGGAAGTCGCTCTACGTGTTTGTAGTCTCTTCCGAACTGGAGAGAGGACAAGAGCGCGGAATTGCGCTGGCTGCACGGACACATGTCCCTTGCGTTCTTTACACGGAGAGAACGCGGTGAAGTTACGTTCACCTGCTTCACCTGTCCGTACCTGCCTCTTCCTCTCCCTCTCCCTCTCCCTCCTCTGCCCTATCGATTCCATCAGAGCAACTCGAGGTTTTTTTTTCGCGTTCTAGCTCTCGGTACTCTCCTTCTGCATCCAAGGCAATTATTGTTCGTAGACCAAATCAAAAGAGAGAGGAAGAGTTAGCAAAGCAATGGCCGCTAGCGAGGGAGCCTTTTCACGAGTCATCGTCGAGGCGCCCGCTGCCGAGGCCTCCTTCTACTCCCTCTCCTACGTAGCCGCCCTACAGCAGTGCGCGGCGCTCGCTTACCAGCCTACGCTGCACAGCGTCACCAGCTCCACCGGCTCGAGCGGGGTCTGCGGGGATGACTTCACCGAGTGCGTCACTCGCCTACGCCTAGAAACTGAGCGCCGCATCGCGGGGCAGCTGCGGACAACACTGCTGCAACAGCCGTCTGCTGCTGCTGTTGCTCAGGCTAAGGAGAAAGATGATAAAGTGCACCCGAGCACTGAGGCCGAGGTAGAGACCGTCGCGTTGGGCGAAAGCACGAGTGGCACCACGGGCGGCCCTTCCCCGCGGCGGGGTCGTGTGCCGTCGGCCGCCGTCGGGTCGAACGCCGCCTCCGCGAAGCCGTCGCGGCGGAGCAGCAGGCAGTCTTCTACCGGGGCGGCACAACGCAACTCCATCCTCTCCGGCACCCTCTCCGGCACGCTCACCGCATCCTCGCCAGGGAGGCGAGGCAGCAAAGAGCTGTTCTCCGCTACGTTGCCCGCTACACCGGTGGGGGCCGCAATGGCGGTGAAGCTACTGCGTGAGGGGCTCGCTCGCGCATTTGGATGGCCATTGCCGTCCTCCTCGCTGTTTGCGGAGGCGAAGCATCAGAGCAGACAGGAAGGAAACGGAGGCATCACCGACAGCGCTCAGCTGAAGGGCCTGGCAGATATTCTCTTGTCGCGGCGCGCCTTTGCGCAGATGCCCCCGGCTCCGGGATGGACTCCTACCACGGGTGTCCTGCCCCAGATGCCGACCTCTGCCTCCGCAGCTCTCTACATGGAGCTGGAGGATGCGGAGGGGCAGCAGGATATTTTGCTAGAGTGGATGGAGGATGTGCTCATCTTCGCGCTGCGCCAGAAGTTTAACGCCGCGCAGACGCAGTGCCTCCTCCTGGACAGCGTGCTGGCCTTGCAGGTGCTGGCGGAAACCCCCAAAAGAGAAGGTGAGGCGGCGGCGGAGGCAGCTGCCGCAGAAGAAGAAAACGATGCTGCCTGGGAGAGCCGGGTGTCAGCGGCGCTGCAAGACGTCTTGTGCACGCAGACCTGCCCGACCGTCGTACGCGTCATCGAGACGGTGCAGCAGCGGCAGCCGGTGGTGCGGGAGGTGCCGGACCCCGTGCAACTAGCCGCCCTCGAGCAGAAGCGCCAGAAGGCGACGACGCAGAAGGCGCTGGCGGCACTGGAAACGGCACAGGCCGCTCTTCCGCTGGTGCAGCAGACCTTCATGGAGGACGTCCACACGGAGGTGGAGAAGGACGCCACGCTGCCGGCGTTCTTCTCCATGACGGAGGCCGCGGCAGTGGTGGAGTTCATTACCCGCTCCACCGTGATGCACCGACGCCTTTGGCGGTTGGTGCTGGTCGGCGCCTCGAGCACGCCGGTGAGGCAGCCGCTGCGACCGGTGATGGAAGTTCCATTGTGCGTGTACGTCGAGGACGTGCCGCCCGTCTTTCTGCCGCCGCTTTCAGCCTTCTACTCCACGAAGCTTCAAAACGAAGTGGACGCGCAGCACAGTATTTACAACGACTGCGCAGCGGAGAAGGAGAGCCTGTTCCACACCAGGTACGAGCTGCCGCTTGCTGCGCTGGGCATCGAGGAGGCGACAGAGCGACAGGCACTGCTGATGGCCGCCAAGCAAGCCGCAGCCGCCGACCGCGACGCGGCGCTGACCGCGCAGGGGTGCGTGCACGTCGAAAAGGCCTTCGCGCTTCGACTGCTGGACACCGTGAGCCACAACGCTCGTCCTTGTCGCGGCGATGCCGTCTCCGCGTCTGCGAGCACCCAAGGAAGAGGAGGGGAAGGAGTGCCGATGGCCAACTCTACGCCGGCGTTCGCAGCATCAGCGCCGGATTCCTCAAAACGCAAAAAGAAGAGTAGTAATGCTGCCGGTGCTGCGAAGGGCTCCAACTCCAATTCAAACGTGCTTGGGCAACTAATGCTCTCGGCAGATGCAGCTGCTGCCGTCCCCTTGCCCTCTGGCGTTGTTTTTACGCTGGCTGACGTGGAGAAGCGTGTGGATCGGATTACCACTGCCGCGGAGAGCTTACCGAGCCCAGGCGCATCGGGGGCAGCAGGCCGTGGTGGGCAGCGTCGTCGCTAGTTGCTTGATGGTGAGAAAGCCTCTTAAAAGTTTTTTTCCCGCACCTATGCGTACCCACAAAGGTCTCGTCTGTCTCACGTACTCGGACGCGGTGGTGTTTTATCGGAACATGGTGCGAGAAAGCCGATATTTATGTAGAAAAGACAAAGTCATCTGTTTTCCAGCTGGAAAAGGCAGATTAAGATGTACAAAGCACACACAAGTACGCCGTTGTTTTTGTTCTGTTCCGTCCGTTTTTTGTCTCTTGAATATGCAGTGGCAACGCACAGTACATCCATGCGTTGCGTGGTGGGGAAATACGGGGCTACGACGGCGCTGGCACGGCTCGTCGGCTGACCAATAAACACAGAAAAAAGGCGTTGTGAACGAGGAAACGCTGAAGCACTGATCTGGCGATATGGAGATGTCGTGATTGTGTCTTGTTAATGGCGGCGGATTTCCTCCGTTGAACAGCCCCTTTTATTCCTGGCAAGCGGAAGTGGTGGGCGAAAACTTCTTTCCCTTTTTGCGTTCCCGGGTGGCTGCGTGCGCTTGGGCTTCAACGTTGGCAGCGTCCACCGACGGCGAACGCTACGATTAAGCCGGCTGTCTAACAAAGGCAAAGTTCGGTTGCAACCTTTTTGATTTTGGGTTTCGTTGGCTACTCCCTTCATTCCTTCTACACAATTTTGTGTCTTGCTTCGAGTCTGTGACTTTACGCGACAGCGGTGCGCATCGCGATAGCTTGTCTGTCACCTCACGCAGGTACACCATCGCTCACACAAAGCATACGTGGTGGAAACAGTTCCACGTACTCGTCCTCTTAGTCGATCCTTTTAGTAGGTTCTTTCTTCTTTTGTATTCCCTTATAGTGCTGCCTTATAGCAATTTAGTCACTTTTCTTGTTCTGTAGCGCAATCAGTGAAGTACACACACATACAGGTTTTTTTCCCGCTCGGCATTCTACGCACCTCTGCTCTTTGTGTTTATATACATTTATCGTTGACTCTAGAAGGTTTGTGTAGCGGCGTTCAGCCTTTCAACTTCCGGCTCCTCTTTAACGAGAAGTAGCCCTGCGCAGTGCTTCCAACCGCTTTCGTATTTCCAACCACACGCCGGTACGCAAGTGCATCCGCTTGTCTCCATGTTACTCCGCACGGGTGCCTCCAGTGCGCTGCGCAGGCGCAGCACTACCGCTACCGGTCCCCTCGCATGCGTCTACTCGCAGCAGCGCTTTATCGAGTACTGGGGGGCAACAGTGACCGGCCGCACGCAGGCCTACGCGCAAGGCGACATGCTCCCTCGCGTGGACAACACCCGGTACGTCGTGAACAAGGCCTCCAGCGCCGCAGCCAGTCTTACCGGCAACCCCAACGGCATCGCCTACGACGCTTCCAACATCTTTCACGTAGAAGGCTTTAGTCCGTTGGAGAAGGACCACTACCAGCCGCTGCGGGGCATTGCGACGCACAAGGCCGAGCCGCTGGCCGCCTCCGCGGCGAAGGACGCGGCGGTGGTGTTGAAGGACTTGATGGAGGAGGGGGCGATGGAGGAGCACTGGTGGGGTCGTGTGCTGAAGGACTTCCCGTCCATGAAGAAACCATGCACGCCCGAGTTCCGCAGTGAGTGGGAAAAATTTTACGCGCAGGCGTGCGAGGTGGCGCACGACAACGAGGCTGTCAAGGCGATGGCGCAGCCCTTCCTGCGCACCCAGATGCAGGTGAACTACATCTCCTACGCCATGGTGTGGCGCCTGGCGGAGCGGCTGTGCGACGCCCTAGACACAGCCGCAGATGTGAACAAGTACGAGCGGCGTGTGGGCCGGCTGGCGGTGGAGCGGGTGACGAAGCTGATGCTGGACACCATCGCGGACGAGCCGTGGTCCAACCAGGACGCCACAAACCCGCTCTTTGTCGATGTGTCGAACTTCCGCGCGTGGCATGAGGCGGGCAACTGGTGAGGTGCACTGTGTTTGTGTCTGGGGAGGGGGTGACGCCTTCGTATCTCTACCAAAAAAAAAACATACTTGGCCATGTTGACCAGCGTCTTCCATGTTCTTCTCCGTTGTTCTTCTTGCCTACGTCGTGTGCTGACTTTGCCCTTTTTTTCTTCCTTGTCCGCTTGTCGCTGCCGTCGTCTACTTCGATCTTACTTTTTGCCTGTGCTTTGTGTTGTTGTGGTCAAGTCCTGTTCTTTGAGTTGTCAGCACTTCTCTTTTCTATTTCCTCCGTCTCTGGTGGGCTCTGCTTTCAAAGCACACACACACACACACTGCGCAGCCTTTTTTCTTGTACGGTGTTTACGTGTGTTTGTGCGTGCGCAAAAGCAAATAGCGTGTTCATCACGTAGCAAACGCAAGGCTTGAAGGGTCGCACGCAGGCACAAATGGTGATGATGCAGCTCTCTTCAGGGCAAAATCAATCACGCTATTTTTCGTTTCGTTTTCTCTTTTTGCATGGTGTGCGTGCCAACACGCAAGTGGACCGACTCCGTCGTTTCTAGGTAAAGGCTCAACGAAATGCATGAACAAGATGCACGGCTCTTCTATTTAAGGCAGATAACGGTTGTTGACAAGCGCACATGCTGCTTCGTGCAGGAGGACAGCAATGTAGTTGATGGCGACGAATAATATGCAGTGTATCAAAGACCATGTTAGCCAGAGAAATGACCATCATCGTCAGCGTATCATTGCCTGAACAGCTTTTTGCGTTTTGCAAGTTGATTCTTCGTTTCTTAAGTTATTTTCAATCTCCCTCTTCCCTTCCTTCTCTCCTGGTGTTCTCGTTTTCATTGGTTGTGTGCGTTGGCGTTTCCCATTGCACCGTGCATTGCGCGCTGCTCAGTTTGCTTTCCAACACACAAAGGAACCTGTGTGTGCGTGTGCGCGTTATTAGCGTGCTGCTTTACTCACTGCAAGACGCACACGGAAGTAACACTGGCTAGTCTTTCTGCCGTAGTGTCGAACTGCTATCTCACTCACGCGCATCAAGCTCACAGACTCGCCACACATATATCTTACTTCGTGTTTTTCTTTTTTGAACTCTATGTTTCGTGGACGGGGTCGAGGCAACGGTGCCGGTCGCGGTCGCGGTGCACACCCCTCCGCCCAGCGCACCTCCGCCGTTCCCGCCTTCCCGGTTGTTTCTCGCGGGGCCCCTGCGGCGGCGCAGGAGGAGTCGCCCGCTGCCACCTCCGCACCGCGTCGTTCCTCCCTCAAAGGTGCCACCGCGGATCACCACCACCAACACCACCGCAGCGGTGAAGACGATGACGCACCGCCGGTGGCTGTGAGTGCGCGCCGCAGCGGTGGTGCAGCGGCTGCAGCGGAGGAGGAAGGTCACGCCGGTTTTGTGCCACCGAGCTCCGCGCGCGGGGGCGGAGGCGAGGACCGCGGCCGTGGACATGATCGTGGGCTGTCTCGCGGTCGCGGTAGCTTCCGCGGTGGTCGTGGCGACGGTGGGTTTCGCGTTGGTCGTGGTGGTGCCGTCGGCCGCGGCGCCGATCGCAACTTCCGGGGCGGTCGCGGTGGGGCGTACGCCCAGCAGCGCGGCCGCGGCGGCTTTGCACGCGGCGGTGGTGCCCCGCGACACGACGACGACGGCAACGCCGAGGAAGACGCACGCGAGGAGAAGAAGAGCGACGGCCCCACCCGTGTCATCACCACCGTGACTGATAGTGGCACGGAGCTACCGCGGAAGCTGAACACGAAGGTGTTCCTTGACGGTCTGCCCTACACCTACACCCCTGAGCCGGGCAAGCCGACCTTGGAGGAGGAGGTGCTGCAGTTCGCGGCGGCTTGGAAGGTGGGCAAGCCGCTACGGCTCATCAAGAAGCCCGGCCAGGGGTTTGGGTTTCTCGTTCTGCAGTCGCCCAACAGCGTGGCGACGGCGGTGCGTGTGCTGAATGGACGCAAGTTCCTGGGGCGTGCCTTGCGCGTCGAGGAGCCGAAGCCGAAGGACCTGGAGAAGATGAAGGACATTGGCGGCATGAAGGATATGGGCAAGGACAGCTTCACTCGTCAGGTGCTGCTGACGGACCTGGCCAAGGTGGCCCAGCCGGAGATTATTCGTGAGGTGCTACGCGACGTCGCCCCGCAGCTGGAGAAGAAGCTTGAGGCGATCAAGATGACCTCGCAAAACCGCAAGGCCTTTCTCACCTTTGAGTCCGAGACGGATGTGGCGCCGGCAATCACCTTCTTGGACGGGTTTCACCTTTTAGGTCGCCGCATCAGCGCGGCACAGGCAGCAGCGCCCGGCTCGCTTCCCTTCTCCCACGGTGGCACCGGGCCCTCACGTGGTGGCTTAGCGGCGGCTGCGGCTGCAGCGGGGGGTGCCAGTGCATCGAAGAACCCGGCCGCCGTTGCGAGCCACGAAGTGGACGAGGAGGAGGAGCTGACGGTAGTCCCACTCGGCATGGCGCCGGTGAAGTCGTCCGCTGCCCCCTCCACCTCCACTCCCTCTTCAGCCGCGGTGCGGCGTCGCGAGAACGCTGTCCAGGCCACTGCGGCATCAGCGTCGGGCGCCGGCAGCAACGTCACCGGCCGGACGGAGAAGTACAACCTGCTGGACGACGGTCCGAAGGATATTTACGTCGGCAACGTTGGCGAGGACGTGACGGAGTCGCAGCTGCGGCAGCACTTTACCCCGTGCGGGGCCATCCGCAAGTGCGAGATCCTCGTGCACCCCGAGACGCACCTCTCCACCGGCATCGCGCACATCGAGTTCGCCGTGCCTGCGTACGCGGCCTACGCACTGGATCGCTACCACGGCTCGCGCCTGCGCGGGTGCGTGCTGCGCGTCGACCGCGGTGATGCGGCGAGCGTGCCACTGGCGGCGGAGCTGCCACCAGCGGAAGCCGAAGACGACTACGACGAGGACGCTTTCATGGAGCGCTACGGTGTCAAGGACAAGAAGACGTTCTTCAGGGGCACCTCGGTGGCGGCGGAGATGGGCGCCGCCCCGGACTTTGAGGAAGAGGAAGAGGAAGCGGAGGAGGACGACACGGCGGTGGCGGCCAACAAGAGGGGAAGAAGAAGAAGAAGGTGAAGCGAGAGCGTGCGGCGGAGGAGAAGAACAAGAGGACTGCTGCGGCGTCGGCGCCCGCAGAGAAGCGCGCGCGAGCGGAGCCGTTGGCGGGCAGAAAAGCCAAGGGTAAGGCAGCTGAGGTTGCGGAGGAGGATGAAGACGATGACATAACCCTCATCACCTCGCATGCCATGGAGGACAACGATGACGACGATGAGGAGCACTTCTACGACGCAGATACGGTCCCTGTTGCCGCGACGAGGTCCGGCACGGGTGCGCCGTCTGGTAAGAAGGCAAAGAAGAACGCCAAGGCGAAGGCGGGGAAGAGCAGGAGGTAAGTGCTGTCGTCCTGTCCCTGCTCCTTACTGTTCGCCGTCTTTGCCGGGAAGTTCTGTGGCTGTGGAACGAGGTCTGGGAACCGCGAAAAGAGTTGTTTTCAACTCCACGATTGTATGACTCAATCGTAGTTTTAACACGTAATAGTAGAGGGCGAATTGCTCTGGCGCGCGTATTCAAGTTGTCGATTAATACTTCTGTACTTCTACGAGGTTTTGTTTTAAATTAAGTTAACGGCCTTCCGAAGGTGTTACAGAGAGTCCAAACAACCAAACACATACAGTCACACACACGCGATGGAGGTACGGAGGCTTCTCGGGAAAGAAACAACGCCAAGGAAGCACGGCGGCTTTATCGGTCTTCTTGTTCACCGTAAAGACTCATGTTTAACTCTGAGGGGCAGCGGCGCCACCGTCGATTAAAAAAAAAGAGAAGGAAATAAAAGTGGCAATCACTTTTTGAAGGAAGGTACCGTATGTGATATGTTGCTGCTGTAGAGCAGCCTTGCACTGCGATGTAAAAGACCGCAGTGTTTTGTTTCATGTCCGTGTTTCGCGGCTCGCGTCTTCACCGCTTTTCCCTTTTCGCCTTCTTTTTCTTCTGTGCCTGTGAGCGTTGGTAATCTTACGTTTGTGCCTCTCCCTCTATCTCTCTTCCGAGAATCTTTTCGACATTTTTCCTCCCTCCTCTCTCTTTGCGCCTTCAAGGAAAGCGCTTGGCAACGACTATTATCAGCTGCGGTGGCAATTTCAAAGGACGGGGTCGGAAGAAAAAGCGCTTGTTGGCTGTTTTTTTTTCGGGGCTCTCTCTCTTTGCTTCCTCACATTTAAGCTGATTTTTGACTTAGGTGTTCAGCTGAGGTGGCGAAAGACGCAGACACGTTTTCACTGGAGTCATCACCGATTTTTCAAGTTTGTTTTCTTGTTTCTCCCCTCTCCGTTTCTTCACAGCAGCACCGCGCATATAGAAAAGCGTTGGACATCATTCATAACCAGCGTAGACAACTTTAGGAGTTCCGTTTCGCAGATGGCAGTCAAGAGTGCTTTTTCGCGGTACAACTCGCTCACCACGCGCCCCATCATACGCCGCACGCGCAGCTGGCGCGGCATCATGCAGGTCCGCTTTAACGACACCCGAGCCGATCGCAATAAGCTGGGCAGACAGGCCTTTTTTTGGGCTCCGGTGCGCATTTTTGGCCTCGGTCTCCTCGTCACCTGCTGTCTCTACATGGGCATGGGCCACGACTCTTTCATTCACAATTTGCTGGGATACGAGTCGGAGATGCAGTACGAGGCACGCGTGAACCCGGTGCCCGAGGACTTCCAGAACTATATGGTGTTAGACAGTGACCGCGCGTGGAAGTCGCCGCTGCGCAATCTGGAGAAGCCGCTGCACCCGAACCGTGAGTTCGACGTGCTGCGAGATCCCAAGTCAACGTAATCGTTCTGGCTTGAGGTGGAGAAGGGCTTTTATTGTTGCTGCTTGCTAGTATCGGATGCCTCTCTGGTGCAAGGAGGCACGGCAGGTGCTAAACCTGATAAAGGGTGTGCGTGGATCATTTGTACAGTCTTCTTTCTTCTTCTTTTTTTTTCGTGGTGAGAGCCAAACTGGTTTTTATCTGCACCAAAGGCTTTCTTCGTTGTTGAGGGAGATTTCTGACGGAGGTGACCGACTCGTCCGCATTGCGTTTTATTGAATGCTGCTCATTCGCTCTCACCTTTTTATCGAGATATATATTTTTCTCCCCAGCGGCACGTGTATTAGAAAAGAAGAAGAGGGGATTTTCATTCACAACAGTTTTTCTTTTTTCTTTTTTTTTGAAATGAGCGTCAAAATCAACGCAATGTCACGAAGAAAGAATTCAAGAAGGATCCACAACCAACAGTATTAAAGATATCACCAACGCTCTGTCATTCAAGAAGCGGCGAATACACATTGACGTTTAGGCGGTGGCATTCTTGACTTCTTTCTTGTCTTTGAAGGACTCTACGCGCCTTGACTGCGTCACACACCGGTGCACTACGCGCTGCCGAAGACGCCCAGTTTACCGTCTTCAAAGACGTCGTTGTTTCTCTCCAGCGGATTGTCTCTCAATGCAAATATGCATTTTCTCTCTTTTTAATATTCCTGCTGTTCTCTCTTCCTGTGCGTCCTGCCCATGACGTCGCCGACAATACGCTCTCCCGCTTCCTTTCATCACGGGTAATAATAATAATATTAAAGGAGCATCTACACTGCAGACTTCTGCTCGCTGCAAACGTGTCTGAAGTCGTTAGTGGGCTGAGCACACACACACACAAAGGGTAAAGAAACAATAAACCCCCCAAAACAACAAACAAGCGCACGATGGCTGGTGTCAGCGCGGACGAAATCCGCCACTCCCCTCTGTGGGGACACATGACGCAAGTTCTCGCGCAGGTGGTGCGTGAGCGTCCGGCCGACGCGTTGGAGGCGATGGAGGCCGCGTCGAATCAGATTCTGACCGGCAGTGCGGTGCCGCCTATGAAGGGGGTGATGTACGCCGATCCCCGTCCCACCGCCCGCACCGCGGCGCCGGCCGACTCCTTCAGCAACGCGCGGTGGGCCGCCAACACGAACACCGCCCTCGCACCACCGAAGCCACCGCGTCGCCCACGTCGCGCCGACGGCGAGGAGGAGGAGGAGGAGGACATGGCGGATATGGAAGAGGGGCAGCCCGGCGCGGACCTCGCCGACCACCCTGGCACCCTCAGCGACGTCACCACCGAGCAAAGGCACTTCAACGAGGTCGGCCTGGGTCTGCCGCCGAGCGACGCGTACCGGCTGCTGGTCGGTCTGCGCCAGCTCATCCGCGCAGAGCCGCTCGCTTCGGTACGCTTCTGGGGCGTCGTGACGGGCAGCAAGGCGGATTACTACGTGGCGGAGTGCCAGGTGGATGCGGAGCGCGTGCAGGAGATCGCTGCCTTGAACGGCGACGAGGAGGAAGAGGAGGACGACGGCGACGGCGACGAGCACGCACCTGTGTCGCAGGTCGCCGATGTTCTCTGCACTTCCGCCGCTCACCGCCGTCCCCGCCGCGGACCACGTCCCTCTACCCCAGCGGAGGAGGCCGGAACTGGCCTGAATAGCCTCTGCTACTACGTTTCCACCAGCGCCGACCCGATGACGTGGACGCGGCTGCCCGATGTGGCGCCGCACCACGTCGCGGTAGCCCGTCAGCTGCGGTGCCGCTTTTCGGGCAATCTCGATGCCCCCGTCCACGGCCACCCGCGCTTTCTGGGCTGCGAGAGGCACTACTTACGTGCGCAGATCGCCCGCATCACGAGCGCCTGCCGCATCGCTCCTACGCAGATGTACACGACGGAGGGCGCCATCCCAGAGCCGGAGGAGGAGGAGGAGGAAGACGGCAAGGTGCGGCCGCCTCCGACCTCCGTGCCGGCCTACGCCGCCGTCCCCCCGTTGATTCCGCAGGAGCAGCCGGACGACGAAGACGCGGAGGCCGTGGCGGCCGTGGAGGGGTGGTTTAGGGGCTACGCCAAGGAGGAGCTGATGCAGGCAAAGGGCTGGGCGCACATCGCTCCGACGGTGCTCAACTGCGGCCGTGTCACGGTGCCGCCGCCGCCCGAGGAGGAGGAAGACGTACAGGGCGAGGACGGCGACGACGGCGAGGGCGGGGAGGCAGCCGCACCGCCGCCACCACCGCCGGCGCCGGAGATGATTGCGCCGTTTCTCTCCTCCGTCAGCCTGGATGCGGCGCTCACTTACCCGGGTCACAGTCGGGCGCACATCCCAGCCTGGACCTTTCGCAAGGCCTATCTGGGCGAGGGCAGCACCACGGCCGTGTACGTGGCGAAGTCTCTCCTCTGGCCCGGCGCCGCGACGTACGCCGTGACGACCGCGGGCCGACCTGGGGCGTCGTACCAGATGATGTACTGCGGCACGGGACTGAAGGACTTGCAAGGGGCTTACTACGCCCCACCGCTACCTCCGCCCTGCTGCGACGAGTACGCCGAGAAGCCGGGCGAGTTTGACGGTGAGCGGGACTGCACCGTGGACGAGGAGCTCCGTTACGCCCCTCCGCCGCCGCGGCCCGCGAAGGAGGCCGACGAAGAGGACGAAGAAGACGAAGAATGAGTCCAATAAGAAAAGCAATGTGAGGGTGAAGAGTGAAGAAGACTTGTGCGTCTCTCGCGTCCCCCATCCCGTATGGGCGCGCCCGGGGTGGGGGTGGGGAGATAGAATTGATGGTGAGAGAGGAGGGAAGAGAGGGAGAGAAAGCGCTGGGCTGGTCTGGTGCGCAGCCCGGCTTATGTACATACGATGTTTTGTGTGCACTGAAAAGTGCGTCGCTTTTCTCTCATCTGTTTTCCTCTCTTATTAAAAAAAAAACAGAACAGAAAGGTGTGCAGGTGTGTGTCCCCTCGGCTGTCAAGGGCGTTTGATAGCGGAGACACTACCATGAATGAGCTTGCCACCTCTGGTGAGAAGAAAAGAATGAAATGTTTTTGTTTTCCCTTTGCCGATGTACTCTTAGCTGACTGTAAAATCAGAGCTGCAGTTCAACCTTATCTTAATAGAAGCAAAAGAAGAAAAGTAAAAAACTGCGAATTACATAGCGGCCTTTTTTCCTGGCGAGTGTGGTGCGAGCTGCATTCGTTAGCCGCCTCTTCCGCCCATGAAAAGAAGGCGGATGAAAACGAAGCAAACGACGAGGAGCATTCTTCTTCTCGTCAAACCACCGTGCTTCTCTCATTTGTAGAAAACAAAAACATAGGTGGGGCTGCAAAGCCAGTAACTTGCCAGTTTCCGTTAGTCAACTTCTCGGTACCTGCCGCTGCCGAGGACCTAATGTAAGTGAACACGCGCTTTCGGCACAGCTGCATTCGGTAAGGTATGCTACGTTGTTTGAATGCTCCCCGACACGCTCTTACCTATTCCCAACGCCTCCTGTCTTCTTCGCCTTCTTTTTTCCTTTTCACCATTGCTTTTTTTTTTCCCCCTTTTCTTCTGGCCTTTTCCCATCTACTTCTTCGTCGCGTGGGTATTAGTTTCCCAACTAGCGTACGTAACAGTATATATATATATATATATGTATGTATTTACTACCTTAATTGTGGGTCTCGAGATTCGAGTACGGCAGGGTTAAAAGCGCGACTTCCGGCAGCCCGTTTCCCCATTGCGTTGTTCTTCGCTTTCTTTTCGCATTTCGGGTTCAAACAGCACACGACTGATCCGTCGCTACTTTCCTCCGTCGTTAAAAGGGACTCGCGTAAGGACTTATTTTGTGTTCTTGCGCTCTAGTTAGCGCGCGATCAATTCGGACTCACCCGGTGTCGGTGCACGAGTTGCAGGCGATCGATCAATGCATCTTTTCCCTTAGCACTTGCATCTCCATTACCCCTCCTCCCCCCCAAAAGCGCGCAGCCAGCTCTTTTGCACACATCGGGTTAACGGCCTGCCATCGCAGAAGGAGAGAGCGAGGAAACAAATAAAAAGAAGAGGGAGTTAGGAAAGTCGCAGTCATGGCCATTTCAACCTGTCAGCTGGAAGTGGACACCACGCTGCCGTTGGTGTGCATCTGCACCCTGCTGTCCTTCCTCTGCGGCGTCGGCATCGGTGCCAACGACCTCTCCGCCAACTTCGCCATGGTGGTGGGCAGCGGCTCTCTCAACATGCGACAGGCAATCATCTACTGCACCGTCTTTGAGCTGCTCGGTGCCGCCTTCATGGGCGGACACGTCAGCAGCACGATCCGCAACGGCATCGTCGACGGCGCCCTTTTTGCGAGGAACAAAGATGTCGTGGTGGTCGGCATGACCTGCGCCACCTTCGCGGCGGCGCTGTGGCTGTACCTGTCGACGGTGTTCGGCCTCCCTGTCTCGATCACCCACACCGTCGTCGGCTCCATCCTCGGCTTTGCCATCTTTGCCTCGGGTGGTTTCACGTATGTGAAGTCGAGCGGGTTGGTCGTAATTGTCATCTCGTGGCTCGCCGCGCCGCTCGTCGCGTGTGCGGTGACGGCTCTCATTTTCTATTACATGCGCCGCGACATCTTCAAGAAGAAAGGGCGCTCGTTCGAGCGGGCGCTGAAGGTGCTGCCGTACTGCCTCTTCTCCTCCTTGTTGGTGGACTTCTTTTTTGTTTTAATTGAGGCGCCGCCCATCATGTCGCTGACCTTTGCCGCCTACGTGCCACTGGCTGCACAGTACCTCATCCTTCTCGCCTTTATCTTTCTCTTCTGCTGGTTGGCCACCGTTTTCGCCTTTCCCCAGGTCGCGGAGGCCGCGCAGGAAGCGCGCTCCTTTGTGTGGGAGAGTGAGGCGCTGCGCACTGAACCGGTGGAACCGGCCGCCAGCAGGCGCAAGTCGGAGGAGCTGAAAAACTTATCCTTCTTCAAGCCGAAGCACGACAGCGGGGCGGAGGGCGTTCCCCCGAAGCGGTGCACCAGTGGCCTCTCGAATGCGACGACACGCAGCGCGACGCCCGCACCTGCACCTCCACCGTCATCGTCATCCGCGCTGCCAGAGCCGCACGACCTGCTGGCAACGAGCTCCGTGTCCATGGAGGTGGTGCCGACGTCGGAGGCGGCAGTGCACATCCAGGACCCTCACCCGAGAGCCGGCTCCAACCTCGCGACGGAAGCCTCGCTTGTGTTGTCCTCCATTGTCGCCTCAGACAATCCGGTGGTGCACAAAGGCGGGGCGGTGCGCCTTGCCCCGGTGCGGACCTCGCGGACGTTGTCACCCGCACCGCACACGCAGCTTTCCGGATCCAACTTCGCTTGTGTGAGCTCCGTTCCGATGAGCGAGGTGAGCTACCTGCCAGGCCACAACGTCGAGGCGTCGAACCAGGAGGAGCGTGAGACGTGGCCGCTGCACACGGCCGCCGTGGACGACTACGGCAGCACGAACAACACGAACGTCTCCAAAAGCAGTTATCGAGAGGCGGAGATGGTCGACCCGAGGACGCCCGCCTCCGTGCACAGCGAGGACGAGTTCGGCGAGGACGACTGGGACATGGACCACCCCATGCAGCCCATCCGCTTCGGTGGAATTCTCATCAAGCCCTTCAACCCACGTGCGGAGTACCTCTTCACCGGCTTGCAGGTGGTGGCGGGCAGCATGTCGAGCTTCGTCCACGGCGCCGTGGCGGGCGCCAACGCCACCGCTACCTTCGTCATTTTGTACGACGCCTTCACGGATCACGAGCTGGAGACACCGGGCTTGAGCTCGCGGTGGTCCGTGCTGCCGGCCATGCTGGGCATCGCCATTGGCATGTTTGGCCTCGGTGCGAGCCTCATGAAGACGGTCGGCATGGAGCTGGTGACGGTGACGCCGGCGCGGGGGTGGTGCATCCAAACCGGTGGCACCCTCGTCACAATGATCCTCACCGGCATCGGCATTCCCGTTTCGCTGTCGCAGTCGCAGATCGGCGCAGCTATCGGGTGCGGGGTGCTGGACGCCAAACTTGGCGGTGTATCGTGGGGCATCGTAACGAAGGTGGTGACGGGCTGGGTGGTGACACTGATCATTAGCGCGCTAACCACAGGCGTCTCTATGTGGGTTGTATCAGCGTTGCTGTGCGCTTAGGCCCCCCTTTCTTTTATGTATTTACATGTACCGTTGGGCTTGTGAGACGCGGTGGAATCCGTAGCGACAAAGGTAGAGCTCTATTTTAGTTCTTCTTTTATTATTATTATTCTGTCATGTGTGGCTTTCTTTCCCTCCGTAAGTGTCCTGTTGCACCCACATGCCCTTCGTGTTGTTGTACATCCCCACTTTTCTGGGCCTTGCCTCAGAGAAGGAAGAAAGGGTCACTCTTCAACCCCTTCCACTGAGGTTCAGGTGACGTGGTAGCTATCCGCGTACGATACGTTATAAAAAGAGTTGTGAGCAGCGCAGCGTAGCACGGTGGCAGAAATAAAAAAAGTCTCAATGTATGTCGTGCCAACGAAGGCTGCGCGTCTTCTGTGCCTTGCAGGGAGCTGAGCGTGGGCTGCTGCAAAGGCTTGAAAAGCAGAAAACCCAGTGTAGAAGAACAGTAGCTAAAGGTGAAGTATAAATGCGCAGGGTAGCGGAAGGCTGTGATGGGCCGCTTTTTCCCCTCTTCTTGCCAAGGATATCTTTTTTACTATTTGTTTTCCTAAAATGTAGGGACGAAACACGTCTGTTCCATGTCCCACGTGTCGCCAAGACCGTGTGAATGACGGTTCAAGATCAATAAGGAAAAGAAAGTCGATCGAAGAGTTGAGCGTCAGAGACGTGAATTGCGCGAACGTGCCTCTCACTCTTGCAGCGTGCCACGAAATTTGCTGCACACCTAGCGTATGCCACGCTCTTGATGGCGGTTTCCGCGACACACACGCGCCGTTCACGAAGTCAGCGGAATCAATTCATCGATCCCCCCTCCCTCCCTCCGCCACAGAAGAGACACACTTGATTTTCGATGGAGTAACATGCTAAAGTGACGATTCAAGCGGCAGAAACGCACACCTAGTACCCCTAAAGATCTGCCTTTTGCTTCTTCTTTTCTTTATTTTAAAACTTCATGAACCACTTTCGTGCTGGTGTAATAGCGTGTGGACTGTGACCCGAGCGTGTGCGCACGTGGCTGCCGCATCACTGTTATCCTTATTCTCTTTTTTTTCTCCTTCGCGGCGCCTCTCATTCAAACCCATAGATGCACCCTTCATAGGTCGCTGAGACATCTCATAGACAAGCGTTATCATCGCAAGCAACAACAAAATAATTCACTGTTTTCCTATTTTCCCCCTTTTACTGTCTTTGCTACGGAGGATTTGCACCTTCATCTGCAAATGCAGATGTCTCGCCTTCTGCGCCGGGCAGGCGCGGCTGCAGATCGCAAGGGCCACACGAGTGGTGGTAGCAGCAGCCCGCGCACCAAGCTTCCATTTCTCATCAACGTGGTCAAAAAGGCCCAAAAGTCGGCCAACACCGTCACATATAAATCCGCACCGGCATCGCCGTCGTCGTCGTTGTCGTCGGCCGATGTCGCGTTGGCACCTCAGTCCTTTAAGCCGTACCCGCTGCTGCGACCCGGCGACACAAAACAGGCGGCCGGGAGCTCGCTGCTGTACAAGGACGAAACGTGTATTTTGGTGAACGACGCCTTCCCCAAGTCCATGGTGCACTGTCTGGTGATGCCGCTGGAGCTGCGCCTTGTCTCCCTCGACGCGCTCACGAAAAAAGATGTGCCGCTGCTGAAGCACATGATCCACGTGGGGAACGAGTACGTGCGTTTTTTGAAGACCACTTCTCAGAAGCTCTACGGGAATCGGCGCTTTATCTCCGGTTTTCACGCCCTCCCGTCGTTGCCGATGCTGCACCTGCACGTCCTGTCGATGGATCTGGACAGCGTCTGTCTCAAGAACAAGAAGCACTACAACAGCTTCGCCACCTTTTTCTTTCTTTCAAGCGATCGCGTTGTGGACGATTTGGAGCGCCACGGACGTGTAACGATCAATCAAGACGTAGCACGACTGCGCCAGATGGAAGAGCAGGATATGAGGTGTCTCTGGTGCGGGGCGGCGTTGGCGAACATTCCTGCCATGAAGGCGCACGTGAGCACGTGTTCGGAAAACAAGTCCGTTGAGAAATGATGGCCTATTCGACTCGGTATCCGTTTCCATACTCCGTCTCCTTTACTTCTGCTGTTTTTGCCGTTCCCCCATGAGTGTTGATCACGCTTCACCTTCCGACTCTTACAAGCTGATACGAGAGGACGAAGATGACTGCGTAGGTGTCTCGCGCGTAACCTGGAGCAGCTGCGCACTTCGCTGAGGATGTCCAGGAGCAAGATGGACACCGTGCGACTGCATTCGAATTGTAGTTGACGCAGCTGCTGAGGGTGCGAGTAAGAGAGAGAGAGCATGCATGGCCGCGTCGTTCACACATTCTTTCCAAGATCTCACCGACCAGTTGAAGTTCTCCTTCATCTTGGGGGTTGCAGCAGAACATGCTGCTGTAGAAAAGGAATCTATTTCAGATTTTGATGACGATGAAAAAGAAGCAAAAGGAGAGGAAAAGCGAAAGGGTAAGACCCGTGAAAGGCAGTCAGACGACGAGACGGGGTGCTAAGAGGAGCAAGGTACTGAGGAGCGGCGTTGTGCACTGGTGAACCGGCCTTGCGTCAATGATGTCTCCTTTTGTCTACTGACGCACACACAGAACATCGAATGAAAGACGGATTCAATTATCATAAGCACCTTTTTTTCCCCGTCCTCTTCTTCTCTGCCCGAGCTGCTGCTGCTGTTGCTTGTGCGGGAGGGGGAGGGGGAGGAGGGACTGACAGTTTAGGTCAGCTGCTTGTCAGTTGAAGCGCCAGTTCCCCCCTCCTATGTATCTCCACTCGAGAGCGCAGGGAGGAGAGAATCGACGTGTTGCTGGAGTTTGATGCGGACGGGCATCTGCACGCATTGTATCCGAACAACAACGTGCTATCTCACACGTCGACCTTGCCAGCACCGTGGTTTCTCCAACATCAGGTGGGGACGCGCGATACCCGACGAAGTAAAGAAAAAAGATGCGAAAAAACCGAATCGGCATCTTTGCCTGAAAGCTCTGTTCTCTCTCTCTCTCTCTCTCTCTCTTTAGAATAAACAAATAACAGAAGCAAAAACAATAACCAAAAAAATGAATAGCATTCAGCCGCAAAGCACACTGTTTCGGCGTCGAGACGGGCACCCACAAGAGGAGAACGGCAGTCCCTACGGCGCCTCGTCCTCGCCGATGCCGCTGCAGCCGCGCAGCAACGCCGCGAGCCCTTCTGCACCCCTCCACACGAACGCCGCGCAGGAGCAGGAGAACGACGCTCTCATGCAGGCTCTTTTAGCCGACATGCGCAGAACGAAAAAAGGGTTCACGAAGCTCGGCGATGAGGTGCGAGAGCAAAACGCCTTGTTGGAGAAGCTGAAGTTGACGTTTCGGAGCGCGCAAGGCTCCCTGCGCAAAACTATGCTTAATTTGGACAAGATTGGCTGGGGCAGCTTCAAGCACATGTGGATTCTCGCACTCTTTGTCATTGTGTTCTTCATGCTTCTCTATCTGATGCTGAAGTTCCGCTGATGTGAAGCATTACACCTCAGACACCAAGCCAGATGCTGAAGACGCGGGTTGACGAGCTAACGAGAGTGCCGCCCCCTTTTTGCGGCTGCTACGGGTGGGATTCGGAACAGATAAACACGTGCACCATGCACAGGCTACCCGCTTCTCTTCATCAAATGGGTGACGAAGGAACTGTTTTCTTTCTCGCACATGTGTTGTTCAGCTCGTCGCCCTTTGCTTTGTTGACTCCGCGTCCCATGCACTGGGTCGCCATCGTGTTGGACCGCTTGTTGGGCGCCGTTGCCCGCTCCTGGTATTGGTCTTTCGCGTACGTTTGACGGCTGCATCTCCACGCGCGCGCGCAGAAGTTTTCATTTCTTTGTTTATTCGTGAACCTCTTTCTCTTTCTTCCACACTTCCTCTGCTTCGCACGACTATTTCTTTGTTTATTTTGAATCTCAACCTTTTGATTGCATCGGCGCTGCTTTAGACCGAAAGCACTTAGCGTAGGCCTCTAGTGGCTTGTCGATTGTGGTGGAGATGAAATTGGCCTGCTTGCAGTATCGCTGTGCGAAAGGGCTCCCCCCAGCTCGAATCTGTAGCAGAGTCGAACGCAGGAGCAGGTTTTGTAAGCAGCGCTCCGACAGGTCCGTCCTTGCGTTGTACTTTCCATTTATGTTCTCACATTCAGAGACCACGGCAGACCATACACAAGCACACAAATGCTTCACCCACAGGATCTGTACAGAAGAACGAAGTTGCTACGCTTACCTCGCGATTGGATCGCCTTTCAAAGCAAGTGGAGGCGTTTCGTAGTCAACCTTTTGGTCCGTGGAAACCTATACAGGCTACACGTTCCCAACAGACGTTGTGTCGATCTCCGCCGGCTGCGGTTGGGGTCGGCAGCGACGCATCTGCGCGCACTTTCCGCGGCCTGGCTGCTGCTCTTCTTGCGTCCCCATCGCGGTGGGCCGTGGCTGCGCGCCGCCTTTCCATGTTGCATTGCTAACTCTTGTGCCGGTCTCCTCCCTCTTCGACACTTTTCCTGCTTCTCAAACCCTTTTCTTCATCGGGAGTGTTCTTGGTTTGTTTCTTTTTTTATTTGAACGATGTGCTCTTGACATGGGTGCGCCGTATTCTCTCCCCCCCCTCCCACCGCCTTCGCTACTTCACCGTTACCGCTGCCGCCACTCGTGCGCCAGACGTCTATGTTTTTCCTCCGCTACCTTTCCTAGCCGAATACGAAAAGCAATAGTCTTCGTTAGCTGCCGTCATATTGTTGTTTCTGTCTCTTGTTATTTTCTTAATATATTTGTTTTATTATTTGCTATTCATTCGGTGCTTCGTTCGTACCCGCTACCCAGAAAGGAACGCACCGTGGCTATCGGCGCCTCTTCTCCGTGCATCACGCTTCCTCTCCCCGCGACACCGCTTCACCTCGAGAGATCGTTGTCTGCGTCGGGTGAGCGTTTGACACGAGTTTCTGTGCACTGCACTCGAAGCTGCGTAGCCGGTATCGACCAACCCGATTGATGTAGGACATCGCTGTCCTCTTTCCTTTTCGTTTCTTCAAATCTAAGGCTCTCTGCGGCCTCCAACTTCCGGTTTAACCCGAAACAATCCAAAAAAGTTACAAATACTCCTTTCAAAAAAAAATATATACAAGCAAACACCATAACTACTTTCTTTTTTAAATTTCTCTTCGTCTTTCGCTCTCTTGATTCATCTTTAAGTTTGTTATCCAGTGCTCTTAAACCGTTATCTTTGTCTTCTCTTTTTACTAAAAACAAACTCTGTTCTCACTGTCTTCCAAGCGACGGAAGAAGTTGACAAAGCAGAAATAGTTCAGCACCTCTGTCCGCTCTTTCGTCTTTAAACGTGACCCTTTTTGCTAGGCGAAAGAAGCAAGTAGAGCGCAAGTGTTGTGCTTCCGCCACCTAAGCCTACAAACCACAGCCACTACCTCTCTTTCTCAACCACTCACTGAGAAAAGACACACACACACACCGCACACTGCAGGTATCGCCATTAGAGCTTCGGTTTCTGGTGTCCGATATTTGTCTGTTGGCTTTGAGTACGTGAAGTGCTTCCAAATAAAGTACAACCACTACAACAATTTTTTGTTTTTTTCTCGTAAGCGTCGGCGTTTTTAGGAACTGTCGATTCGACGGCTTTCCGCTTTAGTGTACCGTCTTTTGGATACTTTGTTCGCACACTGCGTTCAGCAGAACGTGGACCTTTTTTCTCGTGTGATCTAACTGTTAGTATCACATATATATTTTTAACCAGCGTTTCGCCTTTTTAATAGCAAGGCGCGTTTCTGCAACGCTCTCCCGTACGCACACACGTGGCTGAATCCAGTTGTACAAGTAACACCGACTTCTTTACGTAAAAACTAAGTACGGAAGCCGTCTTTTTGTGTTTTTCAAGTAATATTTCTTTTCTGTTGAAGTGTTCTTCGCCTTTTCCCCTCGTTCGGATCGTTTGTTAAGGTTGACGGCTGAAGTACCTTGCTGACGTGTCCCCACAATTCTCTGTGCAGCCGCCCATTTCGATCGCGACGAAGTGTGGCGCTGACCGCTGCCTGACTCATCAAGGGCCCAATCAAAGGATCGGCAGCAGCATTCGCTTTTTCTCGCTTTCCCCAGTTCTCTTGTGATCTATCGCGCTGTTTCAGGTGCTAAGAAACGTGCGTGCTATCATCAGATCACGACCACTGAAGTAGCAGACCCGCAGGCCCACTACCCTTGCGTCAACAAGATCAAGCGCGCTTTCCCAACCCCACTGCCATCCCCTCACACTCACACACACACGCAACAATGTCGTTCTTGAGGCAGTACTTCATTCAGCTGTATGGATTCCTCGTGAAGACGTTCCTGCAGCGGTGGCGGACGCCGGTCTCGACGGTTGTGGAGATCCTGCTGCCATGCCTGTTCGTTATTCTTATGTCGATTGCGTACTGGCGCTGTGAGAGCACGATTGTGCCGGCGACGACGTACGACGGCGGGGCTGCGTCGCCTGCGTTGAACATGACGGAGTTCTTGACGTACTTCGCATGCAAGAAGATGAGCTCGAAGCTGAAGGTGCCGTGGTACCCCTGCAGTCCGACGTTGAACGCGACCACCGGTGTGTGCATGAGTTTGATCGGGAACGGGGAGGAGGTCTGCTTCCCAATGGCGTCGTACGGCAAGATGAGCGGCATCATTTACGCCATGTACTTTGGCAGCGGCCCCCTTGCGCTGAACTCGATGGACGGACACCTCACGCTGGCCGCCATGGTGACGCAGATCGCGCGCCAGGACAACCCGACGTACTTCGGCCGCAGCGGGCGCGCGAGTCTGTCGCACTACGGCAAGCTGCTGGTGTCGAGCGACTCGGATGCTGTGGCGCAGCGCTTCATGAAGTTCTGCCGCGAGAAGAGTGCGATGTGTGGGGAGGTGCTGCACAGCACGCCGTTTACGTCGCTGGACGCTGCGCAGGACTACGCGGCGGCGAACCAGAACACCGTGTGGGGCATCGTGGACATCCCCTCCGCGTCGCTGACCACGACCGGGGAGACCGATTTCACGATCAGCATGAATTTCACGGCGACGGCGAACACCGCGAAGGGGCAGGTGAAGTCGCTGTTCTCGCGCGGCCTGGTGACGGACGGCAGCGCCGGCTATGTGCTGTACTGGACGAGCGGCTTCATGACTCTCCAGACGTTCGTGCATGAGTTCTACATGCAGGAGGCGCTGAGCAAGTTCGCCGTTGTCGGCCCCGCCGCCTACGCGTCCGATGCGGCGTCCGGCGTGGAGGGCATCAGCAAGTATCTGACGCCGTACGGGTCGGAGGTGATTCCGATGCCGACCAGTGCGCACTTCGACAACGCGTTCCTGACGAGGTGGGCGTACTACATGCCGCTGCTGGCGATGATGGCTGCCCTGTACCCGACGTCGCGCCTGGTGATGCTGATTGTGAGCGAGAAGCACAACGGCATCCGTGAGGCGATGCTGATCATGGGCCTGAACCCGTCCTGCCTGTTCTTTGGCTGGTACGCGTCGACGCTGATCATCGACATCATCGCGTCGCTGCTGGCTGCGATGTTTCTCAAGGTGGGCTTCTTCAGCCGCGTGGACTACGGGCTGCTTGTGCTCCTGTACTTTTCGTTCATGCAGCAGAACACGGCGCTGTGCTTCTTGGTCAGCTCCATCTTCAAGAACCCGCGCGTGGCGAGTTGGTTCATCGCGTTCGTGCTGTTCGTGTGCGCGATCCCGTCGTATTCTTTTCCGGTCGGGATGACAGACATCCAGAAGATCTTCTGCTGCCTGATTCCGTGCGTGGGTTATGCCGAGGTGTTCACCATGATGCTGAACTACGTGTCTGCCGGGGTGCATTACGGATGGCCGCAGGCGCGCGTGGGCTACTTCGACTACTCCATGGCGATCGGCATGATGTGGGCGTCCTTCGGCATCCTGATGCTGCTCGGCTTCTACCTGGATCGCGTCTCCTTCGGCGCCGTTGGCCGCCGTGCGCACCCGCTCTTCTTCCTGATGCCGCTGTGGAACATGTTCCACAAGCCGAAGGCCCCCCTGATCAAGATGAGCGACATGGGTACGCCGCTGGTCCGCGGCTCGCTTGTGACACCCGAGACGCCGGAGGGCTCGGAAGCCTACGGTGAGTCTGCGAATACCAGTGCGCTGAAGAAGAGCAAGAAGGAGGAGGAGGACACGCACCGGCTGATCGAGCACTACAACGACGTGGTGGACCCGCTGGACCCGTCCATCGCCGCCGTGTTCCACCGCCTGCGCAAGATTTACATTGGCGGCGGTATCGTGGGCTTCTTCTACACGTACTTCACCGGACTGTTCCGCAACGGTGACCGTGTGGTTGCGCTGGACGGAGTGACGTTTGCGATGCGGACCGGCGAGGTGAGCGTGCTGCTGGGGCCGAACGGCGCGGGCAAGACGACGATCATGGGGATGGCGATCGGCATGGTGAGCCCGACGAACGGCGACGTGTACGTGCGTGGGTACGACGCCCGCGAGCACCTGGACGAGTGCCGGCAGAACATCGGGTACTGCCCGCAGAACGACATCGTGTGGTCGCACCTGACGGTGGAGGAGCACATCACTTTCTACGCACGCATGAAGGGCGCCGAGTCGATCGATGTGCGGGACAAGGTGGCGCACGTGATGGACCTCCTGGAGCTGACGGAGAAGCGCCACTGCAAGGCGAGCAACCTGTCCGGTGGCCAGCGCCGTCGCCTGTGCGTTGCCGTTGCGATGGTGGGCGACTCGTCGGTGCTGTTTCTGGATGAGCCGACTGCGGGCATGGACATCAGGGGCCGCAAGACGGTGTACGACGCGCTGAATCGGTCCCGCGCGAAGCGGAGCGTGCTGATCTCGACGCACTTGCTGGACGAGGCGGACCGCATTGCGGACCGCGTGCTGATCGTGAACAAAGGGCTGCTGTGCGCGGAGGGCTCGACGATGTACCTGAAGTCGCAGATGGAGGTGGGCTACGTCGTGACGTGCCTGCTGGAGGGCGGCATGACGACGAGCGACGAGAACCGCGCCGCGGCCGCGCTGGTGGACTTTGTGCGCGCAGAGAGCTACACGGCGCAGCGGGGCCAGACGGGGAGGGAGGACGGCTGCGTGGTGCTGGGTGCGGAGCGCCGTGGCCGCGAGGTGTCGTTCCGCTTCCCGATGACGCTGCTGGGGTCTGCGGGCGTGGGTCTGCTGTCGCTGATCCAGGCCAACAGCAAGCGTCTCGGCCTGCGCAACGTTGCGCTGAACCTGACGACGCTGGAGGACGTGTTCTTCACGGTGACGCGCACGCGGCCGCTGATGGCTGCCGTTGCGGAGGGGGAGCTGGTGACCGGCATGGCCGCGTCGAGCGACTCCGCGGTGAAGTCGCCGCTGTCGCCGTCGTCGACGGAGAACCTGTACGAGACGAACGTGGGCGTTGCTGCGGTGTTTTGCCGCCACTTCCGCGCGCTGTTCCTGAAGCGGTGCCACTACGCGCAGCGCGACATCAAGCTGCTGGTGTACCAGGTGCTGCTGCCGGTGATCTTCCTGCTGCTGTCGCTGCTGGTGAACCTGGTGCGCGACCCGAACCAACCGTCGCTGCGGCTGGACATGACGATGTACCCCGAATACGCGACAAACCCGTCGCAGGTGATGACGGCGTACTCGGACTTCAGCGGGCAGGTGCGGCACATAGGCCGGCCGTTAACAGTGACGAATGCGTTCCACCTGAGCGCGGATCTGCCGGACAGCGCGTGGGGCTCGCACTACAAAACGGACTACCGCAGCATCGCGAGCGGGCAGGCGAACGCGACGTACGACATGAGCAACTTCCTGATGGAGGACATCGACACGCACACCTCGCCGCGCTACATTGCGATTGCCCCCGTTGGCGCGGTGTTCCAGGCAGGCATGCCAAAGATACTTCCGACGCTCATGCACAACACCACGACGAGCCACGCCGCGCCGCAGGCGCTGGACGCGCTGTACCGCCTTGCGCGGACGCAGCTGTTTGGCGCGAGCGTGCCGCAGCACACCGTGGTGAACTCACCAATGAAGCTTGGCGAGTTTGAGAAGAATATGGTAGCTACCAGCAAACAAGTGATGATGGGCATCTTCATTATCATACCTTTCATCTTCATCCCGTCCAACACGATTGGGTACATTGTGGAGGAGGAGGAGTCGGGTGCGCGGCACATGCAGTGGCTCTCTGGAATGAGTGTGTTTGCCTACTGGATGAGCAGCTTCATGTTCGACGTGGCGTGCTACATTGGGACGCAGATTCTCACCTTTGTTATCTTCGTGATCTTCAACCGCACGGAGTTCGTAAGCAAGGATACGGTGGGCCCTGCGATTGTGATGTTCCTGTTCTACGGCGTGTCGTCGATCCCCGTGAGCTACTTCATGAGCTTCTTCTTCAAATCAGCGTTCTCTGCGCAGTCGGTTGTGTTCTGCATCAACTTCACGTTTGGCTTCTTGTGGGTGACAGTGGAGTCGATGATTGCGGAGCAGGCGTTGCTGTTCGCACAAGTTGTGACGTATATCCTTCGCATTTTCCCTGCTGTCTGCTTTGGCGAATCGATGTACGTGCTTTCCGGCACGGAGATGGCGAACATGATGTTCCCGACGCGGGTGAAGACGAGCCTGTTTGCGCTGCTGAAAATCAACGCCAGAGGCACTCCAACTGGCGGCATCGGAACGGGCCTGATCTACATGTCGTGCGTTGGTGTGGGGTGCACGATCGCGTTGATCATCGTGGAGTACCTGCGTCTGCAGCGCCTGAACGCATTCTTCACGCAGTGCTGCACGAGCGCGAACGAGGAGGATGCGGCGGAGCACGCGCTACTGGAGCAGCAGGACCCCACTGTGCTGGCGGAGGAGCGGCGCGTGTGCGCGGACGAGACCGGACCTGCGACGGACCGGATTGCGGTGCAGCACCTGCACAAGCGCTTCATGGGTGAGCACCACGCCGCGGTGGAGGACATCTCCTTCGGCGTGCGCGAGGGCGAGGTGTTGGGCCTGCTGGGTCTGAACGGCGCTGGCAAGACGACAACGGTGGGCATTCTGGCTGGCGAAGTGATTGCGACGGGCGGCAAGGCCTTTGTGAACCACTACGCGGTGCAGAGCCTTGCGAGCCGGTCCTACGTGGGCTACTGCCCGCAGTACGACGCGCTGCTGTGCAACCTGAGTGCGGAGGAGCACCTGTGGCTGTACGCGCGGCTGCGCGGGATCCGCGAGAAGTACATCGAGGTGGAGGTCCCTGTCCTGCTGCGCGAGCTCGGCCTGTCCCCGTTCCGCACGCAGGCGGCGGGCTCCCTGAGTGGCGGCAACAAGCGCCGCCTGTCGCTTGCGATTGCTCTTGTGGGCCACACGACGAGTGTGCTGCTGGATGAACCGACGTCCGGCATGGACGCCGTGGCGCGCGCGCAGACGTGCGAGATGGTGCGGCGGCTGACGGTGGACAAGTCCGTTGTGCTGACGACGCACCTGCTGGACGAGGTGGAGGCGCTGGCGGACCGCGTTGCCTTCGTGGTGCGCGGCAACCTCCGCTGCGTGGGCACCCCGCAGGAGCTGAAGGCTGCGTACAACACGGAGGCGTCCTACACGCTGAGCGTGCTCTTCCCGAACACGGTGCGTCTGCAGAGCGAGGAGAAGGACCTCGTGGAGAAGGTGCGCGAGTACGTGCTGCAGACGGTTTCCGCGATGGGCACGCAGAGCGACGCCAAGCGTGAGATCACGTGCGAGGTGAGCGAGGTGCACCCGTGCTCGATGGTGCTGCTTGTGAACGGCGACCTGCCTGCGATCTGCGCGGTTGTGTCGCAGCTGCAGGGCGGGCGTGCGGAGGGCATCCCCGCCACCACGTACGTGAGCGTGAGCCAGCCGACGCTGGAGGACATTCTACTTCTGCAGTAGCCGTGTGCGTCGCCGCGCGAGCAGACGAGCATTGTTTCTGTTGATTATCTTACCGGTAGTTCTTTATCACGTAGGCATCTCTTTTTTCTTTCTTTCCCCTGCCGCTCTGAGATGGCAGCAAGCGGCGGAGTCCGCACCGGGCGGACTGCACCACCGCGTCTTCTTCCCTTGCCGCACCACGGTGGAGACACCATCGGCGGCAGTGAGGCCGTGTGATGCACCGCGGTGGTGGCGTGGCCGACTGCGAGCTCAGCGAGGTATGGTAGCAATAATAGTAAAAAAAAATAACCAAACCAAACAAAGAAGCGGACGGCTCGGTTGGCGTCTCGTTCTTTTTTCCTTCTCTCCATCTCGTTCTCCTCCGTGCCGTGCGGGTCCTGCCTCTCTCCCACAGGCACCCCCACCCGGACGGGCCGCCCTCGACGGACACTCGCGCCTCGCGTCGTCTGCGCTCCTCCTTCGTTCCGACACGTTCCTTCCTGCCTGCCGTGCTCTACACCCGCTCTCTCTCCCTGACCGCTGTGCGTGACGGGCGGGGCAGGCGGGCGACGGCGGCTGATGCTGGCGTGTGGCGGTGATAGGTGTGTGTGCAGCCGACGCTCCCGGGCACGGAGAACCTGCACCCCCTGCGGGGTGAGAGGACGAGTATCAACGCCAGCGAGAGGGCAGAGCGCGGTGCGGCGTACGGAAAGGGTACGTCGCTTGTCCGCTCTTTTCTGTGCATGAAGCAGTAGCGAGACACGGTTGGACGATTAGACGGCGGAGATGAGTAGGCCGAGCGGTTTATGTCTGTCTTTGTTTTGTTTCGAATTGTATCTCTCTCTATCGTTGGGTGGGTTTGCGCTCTGGAGTCTTTCTTGTTCTCTTGTCGTCTTGAGAACCACAAATCCATAAACATCTTCGCTGCCCTCACCTGCCCAACCCTCCTTGGCTCCCGTGGGGTGCACTCCCCTGAGGAATGTGAGGTCTGGGTAAGGGTCTTGGAGGTGTACCTCTCCACCCGCCAGTCGGCTCAAATCCGTATGGTCGCCAAGGATGGGCAGGGAAGTCCGATGATGTTGAGTTGCAAGGCGTCTGATGAGGGCGGAGGGATCGTGGCGAATCGCCTAATTGGTGCGCTGCCGTCTTCCCGAATTGCGGGAAGAAGTTTCTGCGTCCAACGGCCGGATGGACCGAGCCTTTCTGCCTAAGGTTTTGATATTCTGCATGGGTGGCAGAATGCAAGAAGGCCGTGTGATTTTGCAGTTGGAGGGGTGGTCTCACGCCTTGAAGATCACCTCCGCAGAATTGCGGCGCCAGTCGTGTTACGTGAACACGAGGCACGAGGCGTTGGGGCAACGGAGGCCAGCAGTCAGACGAGAAATTCCTCCTTCCGGCGGCTTTGCAGGAGCACGTGGTGGACCCGGATTAGTTAATGGTCGACTTCCGGTACCACCGAGAGACGTTCAAGAGCGGGTCAGAGATGCTCGACAAGGACGGGCCAATTGCCACGATAACAGCGCCCCAGTCGTACCCCCCGTAGGGGCGAGTCTCTCCTCCGCTTTGGTAATCGATGCATCGCTAGATGGGCGGGGGAGCGATGCTTTTTCTGGAGAACGGCGGAATCAGAGTCCCCAGTGAGGCATGGGAAGCCGCGCCACCGATGATCGCTTCTGATACGATGCGTGCCGTCTATTTCGTCCTGGTGGCTTTCGCACATCATATGAGGGGCCATGTTGCGATTCGTGTTGGCAACACGGCAGCCAGGCATGTCCTCAAGAAGAAAACGGCGAACTCCCAGGCTTTACAGCCTGGGCTTCAGTGGCACCTGCAATTGCTGCGAAAGCTCCATTTAACGGCTTCGTATGCGTATGTGCGGTCCAAGGACAATCCGGCGAACGCTTTGTCGAGGGGTCGCCTCTTGACCGCCCAACGACGTGGCGACGGGGAAAACCTTGCGAAGGGGAGGACTGAGGGTGAATGGAAAAGGACTTCTGCCGCTTCGTTTGTTTCTGCTACCGTCGAACAAAAGAAAGAAGAATCATGAAATGCACTTTTGCTCTTCTCAACTATCTGTATTCATTCGTGTTTAAGAGTTCGACACCTTGCTCTCCCTGGCTTGCATTATGATGCAGTTATAAATGCTTGTCACCTTCTTTCTTTTTCCTTTTATCTTTCCCCCTTCTCCTTCCTCGACCCTGAAATCGTCCACAATTATTCTGGTACGCCGTATTCTCTCCCCCCCTCCCACCGCCTTCGCTACTTCACCGTTACCGCTGCCGCCACTCGTGCGCCAGACGTCTATGTTTTTCCTCCGCTACCTTTCCTAGCCGAATACGAAAAGCAATAGTCTTCGTTAGCTGCCGTCATATTGTTGTTTCTGTCTCTTGTTATTTTCTTAATATATTTGTTTTATTATTTGCTATTCATTCGGTGCTTCGTTCGTACCCGCTACCCAGAAAGGAACGCACCGTGGCTATCGGCGCCTCTTCTCCGTGCATCACGCTTCCTCTCCCCGCGACACCGCTTCACCTCGAGAGATCGTTGTCTGCGTCGGGTGAGCGTTTGACACGAGTTTCTGTGCACTGCACTCGAAGCTGCGTAGCCGGTATCGACCAACCCGATTGATGTAGGACATCGCTGTCCTCTTTCCTTTTCGTTTCTTCAAATCTAAGGCTCTCTGCGGCCTCCAACTTCCGGTTTAACCCGAAACAATCCAAAAAAGTTACAAATACTCCTTTCAAAAAAAAATATATACAAGCAAACACCATAACTACTTTCTTTTTTAAATTTCTCTTCGTCTTTCGCTCTCTTGATTCATCTTTAAGTTTGTTATCCAGTGCTCTTAAACCGTTATCTTTGTCTTCTCTTTTTACTAAAAACAAACTCTGTTCTCACTGTCTTCCAAGCGACGGAAGAAGTTGACAAAGCAGAAATAGTTCAGCACCTCTGTCCGCTCTTTCGTCTTTAAACGTGACCCTTTTTGCTAGGCGAAAGAAGCAAGTAGAGCGCAAGTGTTGTGCTTCCGCCACCTAAGCCTACAAACCACAGCCACTACCTCTCTTTCTCAACCACTCACTGAGAAAAGACACACACACACACCGCACACTGCAGGTATCGCCATTAGAGCTTCGGTTTCTGGTGTCCGATATTTGTCTGTTGGCTTTGAGTACGTGAAGTGCTTCCAAATAAAGTACAACCACTACAACAATTTTTTGTTTTTTTCTCGTAAGCGTCGGCGTTTTTAGGAACTGTCGATTCGACGGCTTTCCGCTTTAGTGTACCGTCTTTTGGATACTTTGTTCGCACACTGCGTTCAGCAGAACGTGGACCTTTTTTCTCGTGTGATCTAACTGTTAGTATCACATATATATTTTTAACCAGCGTTTCGCCTTTTTAATAGCAAGGCGCGTTTCTGCAACGCTCTCCCGTACGCACACACGTGGCTGAATCCAGTTGTACAAGTAACACCGACTTCTTTACGTAAAAACTAAGTACGGAAGCCGTCTTTTTGTGTTTTTCAAGTAATATTTCTTTTCTGTTGAAGTGTTCTTCGCCTTTTCCCCTCGTTCGGATCGTTTGTTAAGGTTGACGGCTGAAGTACCTTGCTGACGTGTCCCCACAATTCTCTGTGCAGCCGCCCATTTCGATCGCGACGAAGTGTGGCGCTGACCGCTGCCTGACTCATCAAGGGCCCAATCAAAGGATCGGCAGCAGCATTCGCTTTTTCTCGCTTTCCCCAGTTCTCTTGTGATCTATCGCGCTGTTTCAGGTGCTAAGAAACGTGCGTGCTATCATCAGATCACGACCACTGAAGTAGCAGACCCGCAGGCCCACTACCCTTGCGTCAACAAGATCAAGCGCGCTTTCCCAACCCCACTGCCATCCCCTCACACTCACACACACACGCAACAATGTCGTTCTTGAGGCAGTACTTCATTCAGCTGTATGGATTCCTCGTGAAGACGTTCCTGCAGCGGTGGCGGACGCCGGTCTCGACGGTTGTGGAGATCCTGCTGCCATGCCTGTTCGTTATTCTTATGTCGATTGCGTACTGGCGCTGTGAGAGCACGATTGTGCCGGCGACGACGTACGACGGCGGGGCTGCGTCGCCTGCGTTGAACATGACGGAGTTCTTGACGTACTTCGCATGCAAGAAGATGAGCTCGAAGCTGAAGGTGCCGTGGTACCCCTGCAGTCCGACGTTGAACGCGACCACCGGTGTGTGCATGAGTTTGATCGGGAACGGGGAGGAGGTCTGCTTCCCAATGGCGTCGTACGGCAAGATGAGCGGCATCATTTACGCCATGTACTTTGGCAGCGGCCCCCTTGCGCTGAACTCGATGGACGGACACCTCACGCTGGCCGCCATGGTGACGCAGATCGCGCGCCAGGACAACCCGACGTACTTCGGCCGCAGCGGGCGCGCGAGTCTGTCGCACTACGGCAAGCTGCTGGTGTCGAGCGACTCGGATGCTGTGGCGCAGCGCTTCATGAAGTTCTGCCGCGAGAAGAGTGCGATGTGTGGGGAGGTGCTGCACAGCACGCCGTTTACGTCGCTGGACGCTGCGCAGGACTACGCGGCGGCGAACCAGAACACCGTGTGGGGCATCGTGGACATCCCCTCCGCGTCGCTGACCACGACCGGGGAGACCGATTTCACGATCAGCATGAATTTCACGGCGACGGCGAACACCGCGAAGGGGCAGGTGAAGTCGCTGTTCTCGCGCGGCCTGGTGACGGACGGCAGCGCCGGCTATGTGCTGTACTGGACGAGCGGCTTCATGACTCTCCAGACGTTCGTGCATGAGTTCTACATGCAGGAGGCGCTGAGCAAGTTCGCCGTTGTCGGCCCCGCCGCCTACGCGTCCGATGCGGCGTCCGGCGTGGAGGGCATCAGCAAGTATCTGACGCCGTACGGGTCGGAGGTGATTCCGATGCCGACCAGTGCGCACTTCGACAACGCGTTCCTGACGAGGTGGGCGTACTACATGCCGCTGCTGGCGATGATGGCTGCCCTG